ATATGCCTGAGAATGGCGGGCTGGAAGGCTGGAGGCCTGGAGGGCTGGACGGCTGGAAGGCTGGAAGGCTGGAGGTCTGGAGGGCTGGAAGGCTGGAAGGCTGGAAGGCTGGAAGGCTGGAAAGCTGGAAGGACGGCTGAACTGGAAGGCTGGAAGGCTGGAGGTCTGGAGGGCTGGAAGGCTGGAAGGCTGGAAGGCTGGAGGTCTGGAGGTCTGGAGGGCTGGAAGGCTGGAAGGCTGGAAGGCTGGAAGGCTGGAGGCTGGACGGCTGGAAGGCTGGAAGGCTGGAGGGCTGGAAGGCTGGAAGGCTGGAAGGCTGGAAGGCTGGAAGGCTGGAAGGCTGGAAGGCTGGAAGGCTGGAAGGCTGGAAGGCTGGAAGGCTGGAAGGCTGGAAGGCTGGAAGGCTGGAAGGCTGGAAGGCTGGAAGGCTGGAAGGCTGGAGGCTGGAAGGCTGGAAGGCTGGAAGGCTGGAAGGCTGGAGGCTGGAAGGCTGGAGGGCTGGAAGGCTGGAGGGCTGGAAGGCGGCTGGAAGGCTGGAAGGCTGGAGGGTTGGCAGGCTGGAAGGCTGGAGCTAAAACATACGGATTAAAACAGGTGTCTCATACTACCTCTGTTTGGATCTTGGGTTGCCCGCCCCCCACATGTTTTAAAATTCACCGTACTATAAAGGTACTGTTATAATATAGGAACCTGATTAAGAACCTTGGGCGCGCAGGGTTTAGGGTTTAGGGCCTTTAGGGAGTATAGGGGTTTAGGGTTTCAGGGTTTAGGGTTACTTAAAATTATTATAGGCCTTACACTTTACCCAGAGTTAGGGACTGAAACGGTCCCGCCTTTACGCCAGCCTTGTTTTTGAACCGCTTGCGGTCCAGTTAGGACTGGCTTGGGGCAGGACTTAGAGTTTTACAGCTCAAGCTTTTTGGAGGCTTACGACTCAGACCTTGAACCCTGAACCCCTGCAGCCTCAAGTGGGGGTTTTCGAAAAATAGGGATACATTATTTTGGTGCCCTGATAATAAGAATCCTATTATTTAAGGTACTATTGTTAGGGTCCCCTATTTTCGGAAACCCACAAGTGATTGAAAACCTACGGAGTTTCAAGGGCCAAAGCTTTGGGCCATCGAAGCCCAAGCAGCCGCAGGACGGATCTCTGTGCCAGCAAATCCACGGCACGCCGGGACATACTGCCTCGGGTCACCGAAGCTGAATTTAAACCCTTCTTGCAGGCGAGTTCTATACTGGGACAACAGCGTTTTGAAGGCTCTGTGATCGTTTTCAAGCTGCTGCACTGGGCTTACGTAGAAAGTTGTGTAATAACGGCTACTTATGACACACCGGTTTAAGGCTTCCCGGTATCGGAAACCTTATGACCCACCAAAAGGTCATGGCATTTTAGCTTTCAAGTCCTGAAGGCCGAACTTCCAAGGCAAGGAAACCCTAAACCCCTAAGCCCCTAAACCACTAAGAACTTCAAGCCCATGACGCCCTCTTGAGGTACCAGGCGCTCCAGGACAGGATGTTGATCTTTACAGTTTCGGGCGTTGGGTCTGTCAGACCAAACAGCAATAAGAAGACCAGGAAGCAGAACAATAACGTTAATTGATCACAGTAGCTTCAGCAAAAAAATCACACCGATAACACTAATGATGAGATGATGGACTCTTGCCAAAGTACGTGGGTCAGACTACGCAAGATGGTCCGCCGTACAGGGAACTCTCACTTTGAAGCTTACAGACAAGACTCCTGGCCGCTACAGTGACATCCATCACCCTAAAACCATGTAAAACCCCTCAACTCAGATCCCCTGATCTGGTTTGGCTGCAGATTCGTGGGCCAAAGTCACGTGCAACCCGCAAGATAGTCTCGCTTGCCCTAAACCCAAACGTCCTTCTACACCACAGCCCTAAGCCTAAATGCCTAAATCGCCAATCCTTCTCTAAACACCCTCAACCCTACACTTTAAAGCCTTAGACCCTAAACCCGAAACCAGTCCAGGCGCAAGCTCGCCAGTGGCACTGTGCTACACCAGCTTGGATATCCGAGGCTGCTTCTGCTCACCTTCAAGCCAGGCCTGCAAGGGAAAATGAATACTCTCTCTCTCTCTCTCTCTCTCTCTCTGTATATATATATATATATATATATACATACATATACACATGTACATATACGTATATGTATATATATATATATACATACACATATATGTACATACATACATACATACATACATACATACATATTAACATTAACAAATGAACTCATGAGCCCGAAACCCAAACCCTCAAGGGGTTTTAGATTGTCAAGATTGAACCCTAAAAGCAAGTTCCACCACGGCTACTTACCTTGGTACATGAACAAACCTAACCATTTTGACTTATGAAAGCCAGCTGTATAAACTCATACGTGTATATATATATATATATGTACATGAGTGTATATGTATATATATATATACATATGTAGATCTATGTCTGTCCCCATGGCATATATGTATGTGTATATCTATCTGTATGACCATAAACATTTTTACCCACCAAGCTATAGAAACCTATCTATATGAAAAACATATATACGAATGCATATCTATATATATATAAACAAACACGTATGTATATATATATATATATATATATATATACATATACATATACATATATATATATATATATATATATATATACACATACACTTCTGGATACATATATACATATCTTTTCTATCAAGATGCATCTCTCCGTCTCTGACTGTTAAATGATCCGGCCTTGGCTCGGGCCAAGGCTCTCCAACGGCCTTTTCCTCCACGGGGACCTCGCTGTCTGTACGCAAAAGTCCAAGATGCGTGTGCACACGTGTGCGTATGTGTGTAAGTGTGTACACATATGAACAAACATATATATACATATATATAGATGTAGATATAGATATTGATATGTTATTTGTGGAGGCTTAGCGAGCTATCAAACCATCCGTCTATCTCTCTATCCAGCCTTCTAGCTGCCTGAACTATCTACTTAAACCCCTGCAAAACAATCTATCTGTCTACGTATCTATCTACCTATCTATCTACCTGCCTACCTGTACTTTCTGTCGTCAGGCAATGTAGCAACTAACCTTTCAACTTATCTACCCCTCTATCTAGCTGTTCATCAACAGCCCTATCCCTCCACTATCTATCTATGCTTGTTTGACACAAACAAACATATGAATTGGTATGTGTGCACGTACAGACTATACCAATGCGGTTGTGTGTGTGTGTGTGTGTGCGTGCATGTATATATGTGTGTCGATATGTAAGCAATAATGTCTATGTGGGTGCATGCCGTGCATGCGCGTGTGTTGTGTGTGTGTGTATATCCAGAGTTGCCATCATATCTATGCGCGCGCGTGCGTGTGTGTGTGTGTGTGTGTGTCTGTGTGTTTGCGTGTGTGTTATGGCAATAACACCAGGGGGTCGCAGCTTGAGTCAGCCCATCACTGTGGGGAGTGTGGAATCTAGCGTTTAGAGTCTAGGCAGCCTAAGCCCACAACCCTATAGTTGGGAGAGCTTACGGAAGCCTCGCCTTGCGTGAAGTTCGAATTGGGGGCGCCGTGGGTGCTTGGAGCTTAACTTAGTAGCTGAGTTCATAAGCCCCCCAAAAGTGTACACTTTCAGTTCTAGAGTGGGTAAGATTATTATCCCAAAAAGTGTAAAGTGTATCCACTCAGCTGCTAAGTTAAAATTCTGACTCAGCATTGGACACGGAACTTGTTGTTCGACGCATGTGTCGCCTTTTGAACATTTTAGGTAGCTATGTTAAAAGGACGCGCTTGCGAGGTACTCAAGCGCCTATATTCGATGCTTTGGTGTCGGTCTCGTTGCTTTGTTCGTTCACCCCTAAACCTACATACAGTCTCTAAGCCTAGTACTTACTAAGCTCCAACAAAACCACCATAATTACCTACACATCCCGCTGGGCCTCAGCCGCCGCTCGCGCCACGAAGAACAAGAAGAGCGCACGGAGAGCCATGCTGTGAATGCCAGGTACTCTAGAGCTCTACGAAAGCCGAACCGCTTCGGGTGCCTTTGATGGAGAAAAGCAGCAAGCTGATGGGTAGCAGGCAAGGCCTCAAGCAGCTAGAGATCAAAAGGGCATTTAGGGCTTCCTAGACCCTCAAAAGCAAGTAAAATAATGGCCCAAAACCAATAAAACGCTATTATTCTACAGACTTTTGGGGTCCAGGTTAGGGTTTGTGTGAGGACTGGAACATCCACCTAGATGGTTCTGAAATCCAGTTCTGGGTAGCCCTGCCATTCTGCTGCTGCCAAACATGTACGAGGATCTTCCACGGATACCTCGACTCTACCTTGCAAATGAAGTACCCAGGCCTTCCCAATTAAGGAACAAACACTAAACCATGATAGGATCCCGAAGATGACTTCAGATCTGGGTAGCCACTTCAGGTCTGAGTGGGTAGCCAGCAAAAACAATACGGAGAAGTTTGCAGGAGATGGGACCCCGAACCTAAGCAAGAGTTAAAGTCTTAAACACGACACTACGACTGTTGCCTTTGAATCCGATTTGAATCCTAAACCGCACAGCCCCACACTGCAACATCCCCCACACCGAGCTCCTAAACCACAGACTGTACATTTCTGATTCGCTGCGTTCTCAGCCTGCATCCCTTCTGCAGAATTCTACATGCCAAACCTTCATCTCGAGAGCTATCCCCTCCTGAACCTATCCTACGTCTCAAAACAAATCCGGATTCCGCCTGAACCTCTGATTCTATGCCATAAGCACTCATTCCAGACACTACCTCAACCCCAAGTACCTTACCCTTTTAAGGACTTCTATAAGGAAATCATAATAAAGATCCCCAAAAAGCCTAATATCTTTGGGGTTCTACGGGACATCCTGAAACTGAAACCTGAACCCTTTATAGAACTCTTATAAATCCCTTAAAGGAACCCTGTAAAGGGGTTATAACGGTACATCCCCAGACTGAAACCTGAACCCGGCCTGCGAACTTGGAGCAAATGTCCTCCGCACGTGGGCACGCGGATGTCAGGGCACCTGCCAGCACGAGGATTCCAGGTTGAAGGTTGATTTTTCGTAGTTAAATTCGAATTAAGCCCTACACCCTCAACCCTAAACCCTCACAATTCCGGTGCTCATCTTCGTAGCTATACCCATAGGCTCCACAGTAGTTCCCTGTTTGGGATTACCTTATAGGATCCTAAATTGGGCATCTTTGACGAAGGGCTACACCCCATTCTCAGTCCTGAGCTCTGGACCCTCCACCGACAACCCGAAAGCCGAATCCCTTAAACCCTAAACCCCTAAGCCCTAAGAACCTAAACCCAAAACTTTAAACCCTAAACCCCTAAGCCCTGAAAACCTAAACCTTATAAACCTTAAACCCTAAACCCCCAAAGCCCTGACAACCTAAACCCTAAACCTTAAACCCTAAACCCAAAGCCCTAAAAGGCCACAAACTGCACGGGCGCCTATACTTCCCGGGCCGCCAGCATCGATGGCCCCTGGAAACCGGTAAGCTCGATCGCTTTGGGTCCGAAGTACGCAACAACTACGGGTTCCTTTAAAAAGGGGTCTATAAGGGATACTATAGTAGGGCTCTATGATATACGGGTAACTACGGGTTCCTTTGAAAGGGGGTCAATAATGATGATACTATAGTTGGGGCTCTTTGATATAGGGCCCTTAATCATTGCCTATGCTGTTTTGGGGGTTCCTTCTTAAAAGTAAGTATCATTAATCAGCCCCAAAACCCTGGTCAAATTATTAAGGCCCTTACATTGATAACCAAAGGGCTTTCTACGAAGCTTGTGTGGGTTTATAAGGATGTTTGTTGTAAGTTGTAAGAGTTCGAAGGGGCCAAAGATGGCAAAAGTACCTCCTGGAGGCGGGCTTTTGTATGGGTCAGCAGTTTGAAGGCCAAAGTATTTACTGAGCAGGTTTTTGGGGCTTATGGGATTTATGACAGAAGTAATGTAGGTAAGATTCTAAGCACTTGAAAGTTGCTGAGGGCCCGCAGTTACGCTTCAGGGTTTCGAAGGCCTTAACGTTCAGGATTTCGTGAAGGCATAAACGTGTACAGGAGCTCTGGGGTTTTCAGGGGCTCGGGGGTTTCAGCTTTAATTTCGGTGGCTTACGTTTGAAGGTGTCGTGGTTTTCGATCTACCGTTCATGGTTTAGGGCCTGGGCAGGTCAAAGCCCAACGCTGATCCCTAGGGATCTAAGGACTCATATATTAAGGCTTTTGGGCCCAAAGACCATACTATATGAGGCTTTTGGGCTAGTTTGATCCCTAGGGGATGGGGTTAATGGAGTTTAGGGTCTTGGAAGAATATGCTTTTGCATTGGGCGGGCGTTGTAGTTTCTCCTTGCAGGAACCAAGGTTTGCTTTGACTTTTTTAGGGGTTAATGTTCAAAGGCAGCTTTACACTTGTGGGTTTCGTTTGTTCTTGCTTTCATCGTTTCGATGCTTTTTCTCTTCACAGTTATCTGTGTTTAGGTTTCGGAAGGTCGCATCACACGTACACAAGTTGCGACATCACCTACACACAAATACCTGCCTTCCTGCGTGCATGCATACATACTCCATACGTACGTGAATGCACAACGTACATGACAGACACCCCACAGACTTTCACACACACACACAACATTTGTAAGCATACATACAGGCACATACATGTCATGTCATGTCGCGGCTCATCTCGAACATCGCAACTAGTGGTGACATCTCAGCTCAACAGGAACACAACAATTTGGGAGTTTCCGCAAATTAGGGGTACCTTACTTTTTGGGGATCCCACTGTTTAGGGTACTTTTTCAGGCTCCCCTATTTTCGGAAACTCTAAACCCTAAACCCTTATAGAACCCTGATAGATCCCTTAAAGGAACCCTTTAAAGGGTCCCCCGTTTTGGAACACAACAACTTCCTTGCGGAAGAGGGTCCTGCACACGGCGCGGCGCTGTGGCAAAGCGCTCCGTCCTTCGGGGCGTGTCTAAAAAATAGGCCCCATAGTAGCTCCTTTTTGGGGGTGTAGGGTTTAGGGTTTAGGGATGTAAAAGTCTCTGTGGTAAAGCTACTATCGGGCCTATGGGTCACCGTGTGTGCTTGCAGACGGAAGATGTCGCTGCCCCAGTCTACTTGGAGGTTCCTAGGTAGTTATAAGTGGGGGAAAAGTAGAGTAACTATAGTTATAAGCCCTATAAGGGGACTTATCACCCTACCTATAACTACCCATGAACCTCCAAGTAACCCTGTACCCAGCTCACTTACAACCTGTCGCTGATGGAGCCGGCAACGGCTCGCCTTATAGAATTGCTAAACCTCTGCATTCAGTGACGGTGCTTGTATAAACCCCAAACGTAGGCAACATAACGGCCCAAAAGTTAGAAACAGGCCACTATTCTACATAGTTTCGTGTCCAGGTAGGGAGTCTACAGGGAAAAGGGGGTTTCAGGGTTTAGGGGTTCAGGGTTTAAGTTTTTTTTTAGGTTCAGGGTTTGGGGAAGGGGCTCCAGGCCTCCCGAACAGACTCAAGGCTTCCAGACGACTGTATCTCTAGTTCTTGTTTGGGATATTATGAAAAATTTACATCTTTATTCTGATCCATACTGGGTTTAAGTACCGATAAAAAAGTAAAATGTTACCCAACTATGGCACAGATCTGAGCACTGGCCCCCAAAACCCCAAATCTAAACCCTAAACTATGGAAGCCTAAACAACCAAACTAGTGTTCATAGACTAGAATGAATATCATCAATGATCAATGTACTATAAGGAGCACTGAGGACTACCCGCAAACTATGGGGGCCTAAACAAGTAGGCGAGTGTTTAGATGCTATATACATAGGGTTAAGGAACACTGAGGAATAGTATACCGACTACGTACTATGGAGTCAGGCCGCCACATGACCGTTTACGGCTCAAGGACGAAACAAACTGAGGCGGGTGGTCGCGTAAACGATGGGAAATTCCATGGGAACCCCTTGACCCATACCCGCAATTTTGACTGAAGTCCTCCTCTGTCAGTCAACCCTATCACCCCAAAGCACAAGTGGTTTCGTCGTTGTGCTTGCCCTGAATGCATGAAACGCCCCAAAACCCCACCCTCAACCCTAAACCCCTAAACCCTAAACCCCTAAACCCTAAACCCTCAACCCTGAAACCCTATAGCCCTTCATCCTCAGAATTGAAATCAAAGGGGAAAAGGAGGGACCCTTAATGCGGACCCCTACCCTATAATGGGCGATATAATGGGTATAATATCTGTATTAAGGGTATATACCTAGGGGTCCTTATTAAGGGTCCCTCCTTTACTGTTGGATAAAAGTCATAAATCCTGCAACGCCTTGGACACTAAAACACCAAACCGAAACCGCTCTATCTGGGTTCAGGGTTTGCCGTTTAGGGTCAAGCCCTCAACCTTAAAACGCATATTCGGAAAGCTGGGCACTTGCATCCTTGATGGTGTACTCGCTGTGAAGCAGCAAGGTCGTAAGCCTGGATCTTTGCCCAGCAATCGCCAGACAATTTCGACAACCCGTGATCGGGAGTAGACAAGGGTTTTTGTGGGGACTTCATCTTCCTACGTTGGGGAACGAGGAGGAATACTGTTCCTATTACATTATCTAGCGGGAACTGGAGGAATACTGTTCCTACTGAATCCGTCCGACAGAAACCCTTAACCCTAAACCCCAAATTCAGAAGAACGGGCGGACGGCATGATCTGCAATCCAGGCCGAAGGCCGTCCTCCCGTCTCAAGGGCGAAGCCGCAGCCCTGATTAAACCCAGAGATCCCACTACCCCTTAATTAAGGAATATACCTTAAATCATACCTATTAAGGCCTTCATGGCTTAAGGTATATTCCTTAAGTAAAGGGTATTGGGTTCTCTGATTAAACTGTCCCCTTGTACAATGGGACGGGCCCTGACCCAAATGCGCGACTGTCGTCCCCGGGTCCTCCTTCGTGACCCGTTTCCGCTTCATGTAAAGCGCCCGCAGCGATGAGATTTACGGACTGCCCAAATGGGAGCTTCCGAAAATTAGGAGGTACCTTATTTGGGGGTCCTTATATTGAAGATCCTACTATTTAGGCTACCATGTTAGGGCCCCCTATATTCGGAAACTCCCAAACCTTTCAAGGTCTTGAAGTCGTTCCGCTTGCTGCGGGATCCGTTCCCCCCGGATGGCACCAGAAGACCAGACCATGGCCTGCCCACTGGCCCGGCGTGCTGCACGTGCAGCTCGTTGTGATGATTCAGTCCCCTGCACCACCTACTTGGAGGGTCGGGGGACTTAGTAACTGGTTATTTTAGGGACTTATAAGTACCATAACCCCAATTAGGGTCCCTTTTAGGGTACTTATAAGTCTACTTACTACCTACTTACTAAGTCCCCCGACCCTCCAAGTAGTCCCCTATACTACCTGGACCCCAAGAGTATGTTGATAAATAGCCTTTTTGTGTGGGCTTTCGGCTATGATTTTACCTACTGTTGTGGGTCTAGGTACTCTCAACCCAAAGGCCTTAATATCTGAATCCCGCAACTGCCCACCATTTTACGGAAGAAACAGCAGGGATCCTAAATGCCAAACCCCCAAGGCCCCAGTCAACCCTAGAAATCTCGATGAAGACCCTGATCACCCACGGAGAACCTTGTGAAAACCGGCTGAAGCCCTGTACACCACATAGAAGCCCTTTGTTACGGAACCTTTCATGCGATATAAAGCACCGGCACAGCATACATGGACCCTGACACCTTGCCACAGCTGGGTTCTTGCTAAGGGATTTACCTTAAGTTACCATAGTAAGGAAACCATAATATTTACTCTAGATCTCCATTATGGTTTCTAAAACTTCTTAGCAAGAGTCCAGAAAAGGGGGTGTGGCTCGATAGCCTCTGAAGGCTTGGGTCTTCGAAACATGGACCCATTATGACCCATTCTATCCCATCACACACCCTTCTGAGCAAAATCGTTATAAGACATATCCCGCAATATACCACCCCGACCCTGGTTGTGTTCGAGATGACAAACCCTCAAGACGGAAAAGTCTTGCAAAACCTCGCCGGCTAAGCCCCAGAAATCCTAAAGGCTTTACAGGCCCTGAACCCCTAAACAACCCCTAAACCCCGAAACCCTGAACCCTAAACTCTAAACCCGAAACCCTAAAACCCTAAACCCCTAAACCAAAGTAGTAGTTGAAAGCCACGCTGCATGTCCGCTGCAGAGGCCTCCCCTTCCTCGCCGGCTTCCTTTATAGTTGCCGAGGTTTAGGAGTTTAGGGCTTAGGTGTTTAGTGCTTAGGAGTTCAGGGGTTTAGGGCTTTAGGGTCTTTAGGGTTTAAGGTTTAGGAGTTTAGGGGGTTAGCTTTGGGGGTTTAGGGCTTCAGGATTTATGTCTTTAGGGCTTTAGGGTTCAGGGGCTTTAGGATGTCGGTGTTGAGGGCTCAGACAAAACAGTTTAGGAAGTTTAATATGGGGCTTCCATACGGCATAGAGAACTTTGGCAAACCCTTCATTGAGCCCGCACCTTGCCCGAGGCTATGGCGTGCAGACTGGCCCAAAGCCCCCTCAACCTAAGACCCTGAACTTTAAACCAAATCCTGAATCCTGTAGTATACTCGATGACCAGAAAACTCGATGCTATCTAAACCTTACCAAACATTGTGACAGACCCCAGAGAATCCCCGACAAAAAGACAAACCAGAATTCCGTTAGATGAGGGTTGGGGCCGACGACTGCATGCTAAACATAAATATAGTATATCGACCAGCCTCAAACAATGTGGCTAGGGGTTATAACGAGGTTCTAACCGCGAAGATTGGCCCTACAGTCTAAGCCCTAGTGCTGAAGCCCTAGTGCTGAAACGCTATAAGCCCTGAAACCATAAACCACCCAAATACCTGAACACAACATGGAGGTGCGACCGAAAGGCTTTCGACTCTGCCAGGAGTGTGGCGAGCACGGGCACCGCAATGGAGCGGGACACGCCTGGATGTCTTGGCATAGAAACCCCGAGACTCCAATATCCCTTAATTAAGGAATATACCTCAAATTACAATAGGACCCCTTATATGATTTAAGGTATGTTCCTTAATTGAGGGATATTGGAGTCTCTGGGAACCTCAAACTTGAAGGAAACCTTAAACTTCCCAGAGGCCCCAAAGTAGGTCCATTTTGGGATTCATATACAGAATCCTGTAAGGTAATCCCAAAAAGGAACTACTAGGGGGCCTCTGGGTTGAAGCACCCGTACCTATGGTCTCCATTGTAGTTCCTTTTTTGGTTTAACCAATTATATATGAAGGATCCCAAAACGTAACCCCAAAAAGGAACTACAATGGAGACTATAGGTACACTTGAAGCACCCCCCTCCCGCACCAGGAACCCTTGATCGACAAATCGGGGCCTGAACCAATAGGGGGGGGGGGTTGCCGCAAATAGGGGACCCTAATATAGTACTCTAGATGCTAGGATCCTGATTATAAGGACCCCATGTCAAGGAACCCCTAATTTTCGGAATGGGCGGTTGTCAAAATCATGGTCCTTTTTGGGCCTCTATTATTATAATAGTACGGCACCTATTATTTAGGGTCTCCAAACAGGGGACCCCCCTTTTGGCAACCACCTATATATATATATATATATACTATACATAAGCCCTATAAGTCCTAAACCCACCGTTCGTTCTAGTAGTAGATCGAAGGCCATCAGTCGACAGCTCCGAGGCAGAAGCCAAAACCAGTTCAGGACCCCTGTAGGAAAACCTTGGCTGCGGCCCCCATACAGTAAGAGTCTATAATAGGGCTACCATAAAGGTCCTACTATATCTATATTATGAGCAATATTCGACTATTTTCCTACAGTGTTCCTTGGGTACGGCCCCCACTCAGTAATACAGTCATATTGAATAATATTCATAATACAGATATATTAGGACCTTAATAGTAGCTCTATTATAGACTCTTACTGTATGGGGGCCGTACGCAAGGAACACTGTTGTAGGAAAACCCCAGCATTGTCTGCTGGCTTCCCGGTGTGGGTCCAGCCATACATTTCTCTAGGGGGTCACTTATGGTCAAGAAAGCCCCACGACTAAACCCTAAACCCTACTCAACCCTCAACAAGCAACAAGCAACCCGCCCGACCTGTGCCAACTTCGCCCAATGCCAGCAGCTCCTTGACCTTTCGACTTCGCCATCAGACATGGGAGATTCCGAAAATAGGGGGTTCCTTTAAGGGATCTAAAAGGGTTCCATAGAGGGTTTAGGGTTTAGAGTTTCCGAAAATAGGGGATCCGAATATAGTACCAGATACTAGGATCCTTGGCAAGCTCTTGGATAAAGGTTTCGTACACCCTACAATGCCCTACAAGGTACGATCACAGCGACAGCTACCGTAACCCTGAATCACCTACCTCTTCAAGGACTTACAACAACAAGGACCTGGACCCTAAGGAACCTACCTTTTTAGGGTTCCCTAATATGATTTCTTTATATAAGTCCTTGAAAAAGTAGGTTACGTGGGGTTAAGGGAAATCCTAACATCAGCTGAACTCTTGACCGACGAGGGGCCGCTGATGTGACGGGGCCGATCTCCTCTGTCTTGGAGAAGAGTTGGCGCTCGGCCTTTGCTATGAGAAACCCTAAATCCTAAATCCAAACCCCCCTAAGGGCTCTGCGGAGTCTTTACAGGGTTTTGAGGGGGTTTGTACGGCTTTACCTGGGTTTTTGTGCTTGTTGTAGATGGGGTTCTATGTACCGGTAACCCAAATCTCTGCCCCCTAGACCTTCAGCCTAATGCGTCTCTAAGCCCTACGCCCTAACCTGGAAGCCTGGATTTCGACTTTCAGTGACCAAACTCTTATACCCGGAATGTCACACACCCTAACCCTAAACCTTTATAAACTCCAAAACCTGAAAACTCTTACATATAATATACCAGAATGTCACAACCTACACCCTAACCCCAAACCTTCAACTCCAAAACCTTAAAACCTGCAGGACCTGTGGACTTTTACGGAGTTCACGGCTTCTGGCACTCCTTAACGCAGACCAGGACCCTCCTTGTACCCTCAAATAGGGGTATATGGTCCCAAATAAGGGGCATTTAGGGTCTAATAGAGGGTAGATGGAAGGTCTAGGTACTTGAGGCTTTTCTGCATGCGCCGAGATTGAGAGTTTATGAGTCTCGGCATTCCAGGTTTCGGGGATCAGACGATCGAGTACAATGATTCGCGCTGTAAGTGACTGCAAAGTGTAAACTGTAAACATCTTGTGCGACTGTGCGACCGTCCATTGCCCCTACGGTTCCCCGATACATTCATAGATCGGAAACCCTCCAAACTGAAGATAAATTATTCAACCTCGGTGCACCCCCAAGCCCCGAGTGCCGTCAGCCGGCTCTTCGCAGGGTTGGATCCACGAGAGCGGCAGCCAGTTCGACAACACAGCCGCGCGCCATGAACACCGCACCTGCTATGCCAAACTTCAGAGCTTTGGTGCTTAGATTGGGGCTTTAATCAAAGGGGAAAAGGAGGGACCCTTAATGGGGACCCCCCTACCCTATAATGGGCTATATAATGGGTATATATTAAGGGTATGTATCTAGGGGTCCTTATTAAGGGTCCCTCCTTTTACTTAAGCGCCTTCGCATTCCACATGAATATCGGGCTCCTCTCACGGCTTCACCGGTGCAGTTGGGCACAAGGGTGAAGATCTCAGGGTGCCTCCTTTGAAAAGGGAAAGCCTACCCAGAGGAGAGGCCCCATAGTAGTTCCTTTTTGGGATGATTACCTTATAGGATTCTATATGTGAATCCCAAAAAGGAACTACTTTGGGGCCACTGGGTAGAGGTTCAGGGTTTCGGTGAGCATCCAAAGGCAACTGTATGTCTTGGTCTTGTGCTGAGATGAGAGGTTCACGTCCCACGGAATCTATGCGATTCTGTGCGCCGTGAGTCATGGGGCGCAGACAATTGACACATGCATGGGTCTTGGGGTTCTGGATTGGGTTTCCAGATTTCCAATCCACAAACCGGACGACAGCATTTTTCCGCCAGCCTTTTGCTTGAAAAACCCAATTCCAAGCCCTAGGTCCCAAGTGTTTTGAACACAACAAAAACAAAGCAATAACACCAATCGCCGAAGAAACAAACCAGATTGAAATCTTCATTCCGTTGACGGAGCCTCCACACATGAACCCTTAACCCGAACTGAGCCTGAACCCCTAATCTTACCAGCTGGGTCATGGGACACAAAAAACCCAAGTAGAGTTCACTACGTGGGTAGTTGTCAAAACTAGGATCCCTTTTTGGGTACCCTAAAAAACAGGTGCCGTATTATAATGACACAGAAAGGGACCATAATTTTGACAACCACCTACCTCACTGCTTAGGACCCAGCGCAACCCATGCCCCGAAGTCCCGTAATATAGGGGCCTTAATCTTTAGAATTGGGTTTTGGGCCCATTATACTAAAACTAAAATTTAGGAACCCCAAAATAATATGGGGAAAAAGAAAGAGGCCACTTTAGTAACCAAAAGGTCTTTGGAAAATCGACCCCTCAGAGGCAGGCGCCTTCTCCCACGCTTTGGGAGATGAAGCCGCGGATGTACTGGCAAGTCTCCACCAGCACATCGCGCTTCTTGTCGCCTTCGGACCCCAGTGCCAGCACGCAGAGGTTGACAGCGGAGCCCGAATGGTAGATGGTAGGAGAAAGGCTGGATTTGGTTTCATGCACCGGGTTAATTACACCAAACCTTAGCCAAAATGAGTTGAATGGTGAACCTCGCTCTCGTACTGATAGGACAGTGATAACATCTATGTGAACATATTTGTTCATCTTGGCTTTGTGGGACTGACAAACCCCTGTTCGACTGTATACTTGGCAACTGGTTTCAACTCAGTCATCTTCTTTAGTTTTGCTCCTACTCTTTCTCCCGAAGCGCGGAGAATGCTGCGCCGGAATGCACAGCACAGACTGGTGTCAATGCCTTCGAGTTCGGACTACATCGCATGCCCAACACTGCCATCGACCGAATTCCTTAGCTAACCATTGGTTTTGGGGTTCCCTTGGCTCTTTAGCTCCTTATTTGGTAGGGATTATCATCATAACTGGCTCCTTAGACCCTCCAAGATCAATGGCTAGTTAGTGTCCGAAGACCTGCCTGCCGTGTGGGGTTCTAGATAGACCAGGCTCGGCATGATCAGATAGTCGCTGACCACATCAGACTTGGGAGTTTCCGAAAATTCGGGGGTACCTTATTCTGGGGTCCTTATAATAAGGATCCTACTATTTGGGGTACTATATTAGGGTCCCCTATTTTAAGAAACTCCCACTTGCAACGCGAGATGTAAGTGTGGGGCTCATGTCTGGAATTTGAGACTCAGGGCTCAGAGTTATGAGATTCAATCCTGTAACTTCTGGGATATGTCAAAAAGATAAACAAAACGAACACAAAACCCAAAAACACAAAACACGTACACCTAGCCAGTAACCACAACAAGGAACAAACAACAAAACAAAAACACACAAAAAGGAACAGAGGGCAGGTGGAGGCGTTCACCTTTTTGTTGTTGTGTTTTTGCTTTTTCCTAGTGAAAAAAAGCAAAACAAAAGCAAAAACAAACAACCAACAACAACAAAACAACAGCAACAACAACAACACCCGAAAAAACCTCCACACCGTGGTGCGTGCTTTGTTTGTTTTTTGCTGTTGTTTTGATTTTTTCTGATATATGTTGTTTTTTTTCTGATATTTGTTTTGTTTGTTTAATCTTTTTGTTGATTTCCAGAGGTTACAGTGTTTTGAATCGCATAAGCTTAGAGTGTACAAACATCATGGCTTCTTTTCTTCCAAGATTCTAGGACTTCCATGTCCTTTAACAATAGAGTTCGTGCTTACTGTTCACATCCTTGATACCTTGTGAACTGCATGCCTCATCCTGTACCCCCTTAGAAGATTAGAACCACAATAAAAACAGAAATACAAACCACATACTTAATGTTCTGTCGGGTTTTATATGAACAAACATTAAAAGAATCCTAAGGAAAAAGTCTCCCTAAACCCTAAACTCTGAGAGCCCTAAACCCTGAGACCCCTGATTTTTCATCCTCGATTAAGGCCTGGCGCGAGGTCGCCGAAAAAAGCAGGGTAGGCAACCCGTCGGGCCACCACCGCCCAGTAAGCGACGTGCGGAGGCTGCAAAGAGTCTAACTCCTGCATTGGGCCATTCCGGGGGTTTAGGGTTTAGAGGTTTATAGGGTTTAGGGGTCAGGGTTTTCAGGGTTTAGGGGTTTTAACGGTTTACGGGTTTAGGGCTTGGGGTTTTAGGATCCTAAAAGAAATCTACAGCTTTCTTTGTTCGGGGATCAGACGCGAGTTCATGCACACCCAAAGCCGTAAACCTTGTAGGCACACCCGAAGCATTGTGCCCTGGACTCTGAAATTAATCTACGCTGGCTTTTAGAGTTGTGGGGTTTAGGGTTGAGGGTTTAGGGTGTAGTGGTCGTCTGGTCAGCCAAGCAAGCCGATTATCAGCCTAAGTGTTGAGGGTGTGCAGTGCAGAACGACGACCTGGCAATTCCAACAAGAAATTGAATTCAAGTCCGGCAAGCTATTCATAACCTACAATTAAGATCAATTAAGCTACTTTCTAAGTCGTCATAAACATGACTGCCTGATTCTCGTCTTCGTGTATATAAACAAAACCTCGTTTTGTACATATACGTACAACAAGACTTTGTGGCTGTGCTTCCCGCATCCCAACTCCTAAACCACATGTTGATGATGTGCAACCACTTCTGAACCCTCCCCCGACCCCACGCAGTTTTCTGCTGAAATCTTTGCTCCTGCAGCAACTCCGCAGCAACCTCCTTGATTGCACCTCATAGGCATCGTAATGGGGCCCTGGGATCTCGGGCGGCTGAGCTTCTGCTTCGAGCACCACTCTCGCAGGGATTGCCAAACAGGGTGGGGAGGTTTTTTGAACCTTCGAACCAACTAGGCACAAAGACAAAAACGAGCGGAACTTCGCACTGAGATCCGCGGCCCTGAAGGACACAAGGCACCGCAACCGTAGCCTAATTGCAGCCTAGAGCAGGCAAGCCTCGTAAATCGAAACTTCTGACCCTAAGCCCTAGAATCGCCGATGCACTCATCCTTCTTAGGGCTTAAGGGGTTTAAGGTTTAAGGGTGCGTGAAGCCCGAAATCCCGGAGCGCCTGTGTGCTCCGAAAGCGACGTCAAGAAGTGCTCCCCTGCGAGAACCTACGCGGCAGGGCCGTACTCTGCTGCGGGGGCCTTAATAACTAGAATGGGGCTTTGAAGGTTCCTCATTTTTTTGTAATTAATTACCTGGACCGCAAAAGTATGTAGAATAATGGCCTTTTATAGGTTTGGGCCATTATTTTAACTACTTTTGAGGGTCTAGGTACAGTATACTATACCTATTCTAATTCTGATTAAGGTCCCAACTTTTCCGCAGCAGCGTTTAAGGGTTCAGGGTGAACTCTAGGGAAGCGGGGTCAATGCATGTCTTGGCAAGGTCTCTACGCATTCTGTATACTGGCTCATATTATATTGATATTGGGACCCCAGAAACAATCGGTTGTAACAATGAGGGACCAGTGATTTCCTACAATGCTATTTCATGCTATACGGTGTGAAATCTCATATAAGGCCCAGCTACTATATAGCAAAGGTGCACTCTACGAAACCCTAAACGACAGTATGGGACATGCTTTTGGCCTGTATTTCTATAAAGTTGATGCATTCGAGGGACAATGGCCGAAAGAGCCCGCCACTTTGCTACCAGGAACACCTCGGTCGGCAAGACTGCTTAGCGCGTCAAACCGAGCCTTAAGTGGGTTGCTTGCTTTGGCTTCCATACACTAAGGCAGGGCCTTTTCGCATGCAGGCAGGGCCTACTTGCAGGTTCATGGGTAGTTATAAGTGGGGTGATCAGTAGGGTAACCATAGTTATTGAGCCCTGTTCGAGGACTTATGGCCCTACTTAGAACTACCCATGAACCTCCAAGTAGGGTTCGCTCGCTTATGTTTGGCCCTGCTGCTTCGTGGGGTCTGGCCGAAGAGTCCCAACATAACACAAACATTGGGCCCAAACCCACCCATCCCTAAACCGTAAACAAGTCTCTAAACCCTTAAACCCTGAACCCGAAACCCTAAACCCTTAAACCCTAAACCCTAAACCGTGGGATCGTGGACTTTTGAAGCCGGAGGCTCGGGTCTCCCTTGCCCCCCTGAATAATCAAGGTGCCCGCCTTCCTATCGTTGTTTAGAAAAACCCAACCTGCAAAAACAATACGACTAAGAGGGTACTATTGTACTTTTGTTTAGAAAATCCAACCTACACAAACAATACTATTAAGAGGGTACTATTGTAATTACTTTTGTTTAGAACCCAACCTACTAGTAAGAGGATACTATTGTACATTTTGTTTAGAAAAACCAACCTACAAACAACAATACTACTAAAAGGGTACTATTGTAAAGCCTGAAACCGTTTAGCCTCTATCCTGAAGAACCTAGGCCCTACAGTAGCCCTGAGAGACCCAGGAGGTCACAGGTAGGAACCCTAAACCCCAAACCTTACCACCGGTAGGAACTTTCGTGGCTGACGAGCCACCGCCGCTACATCCCGCCATTCCTGCCAGAAGTGGAGAGAGGTCCCCCAGTGATCCCGGGCACAAGGGCGCAAGGGCACAAGGGCACAAGGGCACGGCAAGGGCACGGCAAGGGCACCACAAGGGCACCACAAGGGCACGGCAAGGGCACAAGGGCACAAGGGCACAAGGGCATGAGGGCATACGGGCACAAGGGCACAAGAGCGCGAATGCACATAGACATATATACAAATATACAAGTATACATATACACATGTATACATTTCTACATATGTACACATATACATATAACACGTATAAAACATACATATGTATGTACATATACAAAAGTACAGATGTACATATATACATCTATACATATATACACATATACGTATATAAACATGCACATAATTACTTATGTACATATACACATTTTGATATATATATATATATATATATATATATATACATACATACATACATACATGCATGCGTGCATACATACATACACATATACATATGTACACGTACACATATATACACAAAACACGTGTACACATATACATATATACATTTATACATATATACATATATACACATCTAAATATATGCATCTACACAAGAATACATAATTACCCATACACGTATACACATATACATGTACACATGTATACATATAAACATGAATAGAGTTGTGATTTTAAAATCAGGGGCGCCCCATCAGTCCGAGGCCCCATCCTCGGAGTTCAAGGGTGATAAGACTTTTGGTTTTAAAGACAGGACCGCCCTATCAGTCCGAGGCTCCGTCCTCGGAGTTCAATGGTGATAAGAGTTCTGATTCTGAAATCAGGGGCTCCACATTAGTCCAAGGCTCCATCCTCGGAGTTCAAGGGTGGTCAGAGTTCTGTTTTTTCAATATCAAGGGCACCCCGTCAGTCCAAGGCTCCATCCTCGGAGTTCAAGGGGTGGTGAGAGTTTTGATTTTAAAATCAGGGGCGCCCCATCAGTCCAAGGCTCCATCCTCGGAGTTCAACGGCGGTAAGAGTTCTGATTTTAAAATCAGGGCCGCCCCATCAGTCCCAGGCTCCATCCTCGGAGTTCAATGGTGATTAGAGTTCTGATTTTCAATCCTGGGGGTCCCATCAGTCCCAGGCTCCATCCTCGGAGTTCAAGGGTGATAAGAGTTCTCATGTTCAATCCAGGGGGTCCCCTCTCAGTCCCAGGCTCCTTCCTCGGAGGTCAATGGTGATAAAAGTTCTGATTTTAAAATCAGGGGTGTTCAAGGGTGATAAGACTTCTGGTTTTAAAGACAGGGCCGCCCTATCAGTCCGAGGCTCCATCCTCGGAGTTCAAGGGTGGTAAGAGTTCTGATTTTAAACTCAGGGGCGCCCCATCAGTTCGAGGCTCCATCCTCGGAGTTCAAGGGTGGTAAGAGTTCTCATTTTTCATCCATGGGCGCCCCATCAGTCCCAGGCTCCATCCTCGGAGTTCAATGGTGATAAGAGTTCTGATATTGAAATCAGGGGCGCCCCATCAGTCCGAGGCTCCATCCTCGGAGTTCAAGGGTGATAAGACTTCTGGTTTTAAAGTCAGGACCGCCCCATCAGTCCGAGGCTCCATCCCCGGAGTTCAAGGGTGGTGAGAGTTCTGATTTTAAAATCAGGGGCACCCCATCAGTCCAAGGCTCCATCCTCGGAGTTCAAAGGCGATAAGACTTCTGATATTGAAATCAGGGACGCCCCATCATGCCAGGGCTTCATCCTCGGAGTTCAAGGGTGATTAGAGTTTTTATTTTCAAGCCAGGGGCGCTCCATCAGTCCCAGGCTCCATCCTCGGAGTTCAAGGGTGATAAGAGTTCTCATTTTCAACCCAGGGGGTCCCATCAGTCCCAGGCTCCATCCTCGGAGGTCAATGGTGATAAGAGTTCTGATTTTAAAATCAGGGGTGTTCAAGGGTGATAAGACTTCTGGTTCTAAAGGCAGGACCGCCCTATCAGTCCGAGGCTCCATCCTCGGAGTTCAAGGGTGGTAAGAGTTCTGTTTTTTCAAAATCAAGGGCGCCCCGTCAGTCCAAGGCTCCATCCTCGGAGTTCAAGGGGTGGTGAGAGTTTTGATTTTAAAATCAGGGGCGCCGTATCAGTCCAAGGCTCCATCCTCGGAGTTCAAGGGTGGTAAGAGTTCTGATTTTAAAATCAGGGGCGCCCCATCAGTCCAAGGCTCCACAAGCTGCGCAGTTGGCGCAAGCGGCGCAGCCGGCGTCGGCGCACCGGCGCATCCATGTGGTGGGTCGGCGCACCGGCGCACCGGTACATCGGCGCATCCGTGTTCCAGCGGCGCAACGGCGCACTGGCTGGCGCATCGGCGCAACCGAGTTGCATGCGGTGCACCGACGCACCGCGCAACTGTGAGGTGCTGCACCCATTGCCCCCACGCTCCATATATACATATATATATATATATACATGTACACATATACATGTACATACATGTACACATGTAAACATATATATATATATATATATATATAAATAAACATACATACAAACATACTTATATACACATACATATAAAGGTAAATATATGCATGTACACATATAAACATAAATACACATGCTCTAAGCATCCTGGCATCATCAGCAAAAGAACAGGAACGAAAGCGAGGCGTTCGAAGCTTCATACCAGCTTGACAAGCCCGATGCCAGTGCACAAGGACACCAGGGCACAAGGGCACAAGGACACCAGGGCACAAGGGCACAAGGGCACAAGGGCACAAGGGCACAAGGGCACAAGGGCACAGGGCACAAGGGCACAAGGGCACAAGGGCACAAGGGCACAAGGGCGCAAGGGCACAAGGGCACAAGGGCACAAGGGCCCGGGAACAGGAGAGGACCGAAGCCCAGAAGTGGCCCCGGGGTTTTGACAGGGTTGATACTTTGTTGTTCTATGTTTTTGTTAGATAGTCTGGCTATGTAGTGGCCCGTTAGCTACATTTTGTTGGGTAAATGTTGGTCGCATTTATTTGTAGCCTGTGTGGTGGGTTTCTGGGCACGGGGTTTATACTAATGTAGAGTTTGGAGGAGCTTTCTTCAGGGCTTCGGAGGGTTCATAGGGTCTTGTGAGTCTACCTGGGACGAATCAAATTTGGTTGGAACATACTACCTAAAGTCTCCAATGTAATTCCTTTTTTTGTTACACCTAATACATTATGCGGCATCCTATAAGGTAACCTCAAAAAGGGAACGACAATGGAGACTATAGGTAGCCTCCTTTCCACAACGTCTGGCCTGTACACGTCCCGGCCCTTCACGGTCGATCCGTGCGAGATCTTCATACTCCTGTCAGGGTTCTCTTGCTATTGTTGCTATGAGAAGTAAACAAAGACAGACAGTATGACGGCAATGGGGCCCGACAGCTGTTCCCTAAGCTCTACAGCCGACGCGGAAATAAGGGCTTAGTGACGATGACTCTTACTTGTCGTAGTTCTACAGCCGACGCGGAAATAAGGGCTTAGTGACGATGACTCTTACTTGTCGTAGTTTACGTGGCTGTAGTTACAGCTGCTGCCTTCACCTCTGAGCCCAGGCCCGTCGCGTCCCTATCCTCGCAAGATAAGGTATATAGACCCTTTTTAGTAAACCCCATCCCTTGAGAAGAACTATTTCCTCGAGCGATCTTAATGTAGGCCCCGAAAGCAAGGCGGTTTGCTGGTCAGAGCTGTACACTACCCCAGAAGACAGGTGTCCTCGAAACGCTTTAGATCTAATTTCGGATTCTGATGTTACAGCAAAACTGGCCCTAGACCAGAGCCGCCTTAAACCCTAAACCCCTAAACCCCTAAACCCTAAACCCTAATAGTACGAAGCCAACCCCAGGTTATCACTCCAACTACCTACTTACTGCTACTAACCGCTTGTACCCACCCTAAACGACAAGCACCAGACCCTGCCATTTCCGACAATACCCTACGAGGAAGGCAGCAACCACCACAAAATAGCCCGCAGCCCCAAAGCATGCAGAAATTATTGTTTAGGGTGTTTGCTCAGGGTTGAATGGTTAGTTTGGGCTTTGAGGGTTACTGAGTACTAATGCCTTGATTGGCCTGCAGCTAGATAGAGAGTACAACAAGGCTCTACCCGATGTTGGTCGGAAGCAAAACAACGAATGCTTGCTACTTCTGCAACGTAAACTCCGAAAATTCCTAGAAAAACCCACTCTTGGGGTCTAGGCAGGGGCTAATATGGGAGTTTCCGACCCAACATAGTGCCCGAAATAGTAGGATCCTTCTTACAAGGACCCCAAAATAAGGTTCCCCTAATTTTCGGAAACTCTAAACCCTTGGGGTTTTGCGGGGCAGTGTTGAGACACTTCTAGGATCATGGGACTTAGTAAGTAAGGTTATAAGTACCTCAATTTTGACAACCACCCACATGGACTCTTAGGCTTCCAGCCCACCCTTCGACTTCCTCCAGTCGCGTCCGCTGCCAGGTGCCAATATCTTCAGAGATGCCGATGCCGAAACGCGAGTCGACTACCTGGTCAAAGGGGAAAAGGAGGGACCCTTAATGGGGACCCCTACCCTATAATGGGCTATATAATGGCTATAGAATAGCTATATTAAGGGTATATACCTAGGGGTCCTTATTAAGGGTCCCTCCTTTTACCCTTGGACCTGAGCTTGTAGGACCCGTAAGGGCTATAGGGTTCATGTGGTGTAGAGTTTATAGAGGTTTAGGGGACAAGAGTTTAGGTTTGGAGTTTCTCAAAGGGTCCAAAGTACCCGCATTGTAGAATGTTGGGGTTCTATAATTTATGAATTGGGAAAGTAGCCCTCCCATAGCACTACCTAGGACCCTTTGGGCTTGTAGGATCCTTAAGGGAGGGTGTTCAACAGGAAAGGGATGGAACGGGTATTAGGGACTGGTCGAAATTGTGAACACTTTAAGGACTACACGGTAGATGTCGGATTGCTGGGATGTATGCCCTGCTGCAGATAGCGCGATGGAGGCAAGGATTTGTCATAGCTGATGTTGACTCCGAAACTGTGAAAAAATCTTGGGCTCTACTACAAAGCCCTCAACAAGCAGACCCTAAAGCCAGTATGAACAAATCACGAAGCAAAGTTTTAAGCCCGTATCCTAAATCCAATGAACTACCCTCAACCCGACCCTGTATGATCCCTACCTGTGGCCCAGAAAACCTACCTGTTTAAGGAGCTATAAACATCATTATAACGAACCCTGAGAAGGCAAGTCTTTCGGCTACAGGTACCTGACCCTCAAAGTATGTAAAATAATGGCCTTTTATAGGGTTTGGGCCATTATTTTGCCTGCTTTTGCTTGGTCTAGGTAAACCTCAAACCCAAGGTCGAAGCAAGCGACTCCTTCAGGCTTCCGCTTGACTTGCGCACGCCAGAGAAGCATGAAGAGCTCGCATCTGTCCTCCGGGCTACGGTTTAAAGGGCTTAGGCTTTAAGGGTTACGGTTTAGGGCTTAAGATTTAGCGGTTGCGGTTAAGTGCTATAGGGTATAAGGGCTACGGTTTAGAGCTCTGGGCTTATGATTATGGGCTACGATTTAGAGCTTTGGGGTTACGGGGCTTCGGGTGATTATCATATATGTTGCCTTTCATTCATGGGGGTTGGGGGGGCTCCCTTTCTCACTGCGGTTACGAGTGTGGACTTCCTGGTGAAGGAAGAGCCCGGGGGTGTTGGGGTGTCGGTGTCGGGTTTAGGGCGTACCTGGACTCTCAAAGTATGTAGAATAATAGCCTTTTAAAGGGTTTGCCCCATTATTATCTTACATACTTTTGGGGGTCTAGGTAGGGTTCAGGTAAAAAGCTAGTCTCCATTTCAGTTCCGTTTCTAGTTGACCTATCTCGAGGTTAGGACTCTACAAAACATTTTTAGGAAGCCGTAGGGAAAAGGTAGGAACATGAATCAGAAACCCTGGCCACATAACACCAATATATTTGGATTCATAAACAGAACCCTGACAAAGACCCAGGGGTTCTTGATCGGGCTTCTAAGTTGAGGTTCACGGTTTGTGAGTCTTTACCGCTTCGAGATGTCCTTGGTGCAGGAGTTCTGGAGTTTTGCGCTTTCAACTAGCTTGGCGGATGCGCGACGCCCAAGCCCAAAACCACAGAATCCTTGAACCTAAGTCTCAGCCGCGGCTCCACTAGCAGGAGCCTGTAGCACGGCTTGCGAGGCAACCCCAATCAGCACGTGGCTTATAGGGTTGTTGCAACTCAGAACATGGATGTTAACCCACTTGACTTCCCCAAATCCCGACGGGGAAAGCACTGAGCGCCATAAAACCCTAAACCCCAAAACCCTAAACCGTGCCTTGGGTGCGGCGTGGGGCGCCAAAGCGCCCAAGATGGTGGCTGCAGCTGCGGAGCCGAGCCTGGAGGGGGCAGGTACTGTTGATGACATAAATCTTGCATTACCTTTACTAATGATCCTAAACTATGCGAATTATATATGGCATATACCTTAGTATGGGTAATGCAGGATTTATACTATCAACCGTAACACAGGGATTTGGGTTTTAGGGTTTGGGGTTGGTTGAGATTTTAGGGCGGAGGGCATGTGGTTCTAAGGGTCTTGCATTGGGGTTTTCAGGGTCTTAGGGCTTTAGCCTTCAGGACCAAGTAATACTGTTGATGATACAAATCTTGCATTACCTTCATGATCCTATGGGAGTTATGGTATATTCCTTATCATGGGTAGTGCAGGATTTAGATTATCGACCCCGAACCGCACCGGCACTCCCAAAGCTCACGCGACTGCTATAACTTGGAGCCTTTAGAGTCCTGAAAATTTGAAGCCTAAACCCTAAGGACACTAGGTACAAAGAGATGGGGTAGTGCAGGGATAGCTTTAAGCCTTAAACGACTCAGGCTCCAAGAGTTCTTATGTTCAAAGCTTCGAGCCCAAGAACCATACCATACTGTACAAGGGCTCTCTGGGCTATCTTAAACTTGGGCCTCCTTCCTTGCGGTTGCTATCAGTCTGTGAGGATTCAGGGTTTGGGGTTATTAGGGTTTAGGGGTTTAGGGTTTAGCGGTTTAGGGGTTTAGGGGTTTAGGGTTTAGGGGTTTAGGGTTTAAGTGAAGTCTCCGGTTGGGCATTTGGATCTGAGAAGCTTCTACGCCTCGTCTTACTGTGGTGGCCTCTTGGCACTGCGGTCGTTAATTGTTCAAGAGACCCGTGCGGTAATAACCCGGTCCTTCAAGGCCTCCGTTTGGGCTCGCCCTGAACATGAAACCTTGTTTAAGCGCTGAAGCTCAGCCGCCGACAGCTCTGCTGGTGTCTCGGCCATCGGTTTCTTGAGCACGTCGCGTGCTGCTGCCAGCAGGGCCTGATAGTATACTACAATGTAGTTTCGGATACTATACAAACCCGGAGAATACACGAAGTTATTGCTTGGGCTTCTAGTCATGCTTCAACACCAGCAGCTCTTGTGATACCTAGACCGCCAAACCTGGGGAAATTTTGGGTGTTCTTGGAGTGTGCCCCTGCTTGAGAATGCATGGTGCTTGAGATGCAAGGTTCTGAAACGCGTAACTTAAAAGCTTATAGATTTTTGGGGCTCTAAGGACTCTTTTTTTAAGGCTTTTGGGCCGAGAGGCCATACTATATAAGGCTTTTGGGCTATTTTGATCCCTAGGGGATGAGTGTGCTTTCAAGTACCATCGCTGGGAGCCTTGTATCCCTATTCACAGGGGTGATTGGGGCCTGTGGCAACAAGTCGACTGCAGTATCCAGTTGGACCCTGGTGATTCTTATCCCCAAATAACCTACCCCTTTAAGGACTTGTATAAGGAAATCATACTAGGGAACCCCAGAAGAGAAGGTTTTCTAGGGTCCAGGAATTTCTTTAATCTAGAGACGGATCAAGACGTGGAGCCTCAGGATTGAATAACTAGGAGATGGAGCATCTTCGGGTGCTGCACCGAAACCTGAAATGCGCAGTGTTTGGGATTTTGGTTTAGGGTTTACCCGGAATTCCACCAGGTATGTAGACTAGTAGCATTCTATATGTGTTGGGCCATTTGTTTACCTACTTTTGGGTGGGTTCTGGGTTTCAGGACAAGTGGGACCAAACAAGAACATGAACACATACTTGGAGGTTCATGCGTAGTTATAAGTAGGGTTATAAGCCCCCTTATAGGAGTTATGTCTATAGTTACCCTACTTATAACCCCACTTATAACTACCCATGAACCTCCAAGCAAGGACGCACAATTCTTTGTTGAGCCGCTCTTGCCGGGTGGGGTTCAGGTTCCGGAGCCAACACCGCATGGTCACATGGGAGTTTCCGAAAATAGGGGGACCCTTTAAAGGGTTCCTTTGAGGGATCTGTAAGGGTTCTATAAAGGGTTTACGGTTTAGGGTTTCCGAAAACAGGGGACCCTAATATAGTACCCTAAATCGTAGGGTCCTTATTATAAGGACGGCAAAACAAGGTACCCCCAATTTTCGGAAATTCCCATATCAAAGGCTTGAGAAAAAGTGGCCTACGGCATGTATAGAAGCTAAGCTCATTTTATTTCTCGGCCTCAAGTGGCGTACCTACATTGGCACTTTCAGGCCTAAGTGTACACTATATGGGCGGTTGTCAAAATTATGGTCCCTCTTTGGGTCCTTATTCAAATACGGCACCTATAGCCTAGGGCACCCAAAAAGGGATCCTAATTTTGGCAACCACCCATATAGGTACATGGAGTTTGAGGCATCACCACTGAAACTGTGTTCCACCTGCGACTGCTGCGATGTCGGCAGGCTCAGCCGCTCGAGCACAAAGGCATACCTCAGAGCTCTAAATTATATGGGAGTTTCCGAAAATAGGGGGTACCTTATTTGGGGGCCCTTATAATAAGGATCCTACTATTTAGGGTTCTAAATTAGGTCCCCTATTTTCGGAAACTCCCATGTGGCTTCCCGATTACCTGAAACTCTACCCTACATGGATGCCTACGCTATTCCGGTATTCAACTATATTTTCGGGCTTACCTGGACCCTCAAAGTGTGTAGAATAATAGCCTTTAAAGGGTCTGGGCCATCATTTTACCTACTTTTGGGGGTCTAGGGGTATATACCCTTAATATAGCTATTATATATCCATTATATAGCCCATTATAGGGTAGGGGTCCCCATTAAGGGTAAACCTGAAAGAGTTGTATGGAGCTCCAGAGGCGCCAATCATTGGTGTACCTGGGAACTTCACCCTCGGCTTCATCGTGGGGTAGGGCCATACGGGTGATTGTCAAAATTAGGGCGCCTTTTGGGTACCCTAAATATTAGGTGCCGTATTATATAAACGACCCAAAAAGGGACCGTAATTTTGAAAACCAGCCATATATTCTCAGCTTTGAACATGTTAAACCTCCACGCTCAACTTTACCTCTCAAGCGGTGTGAGGTCCGAGGGTAACTACGAAGCCCCAAACGACGGTTTAAGGTCCGGGGTTAACTACGGAAGTACAACAGAAGCGACCACTAGACCCGTGGAACCCTGCCTACTCAGCTAAAAAAATAGACCTCTGAGACCAAGGCCACAGAATTTATTACTGTAAGGTTAACAGTTGGAATAGGGCTTTGGGGTAAACTCTATAGTAGCATTGTAGTCTAAAAATCCTGTTATTGATGATTTCGGCTTCTATCATACGTCTGGCGTACCGTTGGACAGCAGGGAATGGAAGAATGGTAGTAATAGTAGCTATAGTTGTACCCCATTCCTCGTTTAATTGCACGCCGTTCCTCCATTCCCAACTAGCCCAAGGTAAGTGAAGCCCTAATTAAATCCTGAAACCTATTAAAACTCTAAACCCTAAACCACGGAAACCTAAAACCCTAAACCCTTACTTCTGGGCCGAAGGTGCAGCCACACCCAGCAGGCCTCTTGCACAGCATCTTCCGGCCTGCGGGATGCACAGCCAAAGCTCCCAGCGATTTTTTATCTTTGCGAGGGTGGGCTTGTTAGGGGGTTACGGTTTAGGATTTAGGGTTTAGGATTTAGGGGTTAAGCTCTCTCGTTGAACTCCTTCTTTAAAAAAATGAGTTCCTTGTCTAGGAGCCGCCACCTTCGCCAGGACATCCCGAGAGGTCATGCGACCAGGGGGCCGGGATACGTCTTGTAACCCGGCAGAAAAGGTCAAGGGTAAAGGGATGTGATTCCTAAACCGTAAACCCTACAAGATTCAGGTTTGGGGCAGTTTAGGGGCTTAGGGGTTAGAAGGGGTATGTCAGGGATCTATATGACGCTACGATAAAGGCTTTCTTAAGGGTGCTGCTTTGGGGTGGGTTTGGGAATTGGGTCTGAAGATGTGGTGTTTCCGGCTAGGATTGCAACAGTAACAAGAAAATGATGAAGCTCCACAATGCCCGCAGCTTCAATCTGCTCATCGGGTTTACGGTGGTAAGCATGCACAAGCTGCCATTGACGTAATATAGAAGCCAACGGACTTCAAATGGGCATGGTTTAGTACAGAGCACCTCCTGTAGTCTCGAAGGAGTACCATAACCCCGAACCCTAAACCCTAAAACCCTCAATCCCAAAACCCTCAACCCTAATTCCCTAAACCCTCAACCCTAAACCACTAAACTCCGAAATCCAAAAGAACCCTATAAACCCTCATTAAACCCTCAACCCTCACCCCTCAACCACTAAACCCCCAAAAAGACCCGAAACCCCTCATTAAACCCCTATGATAATATAGATATAGTAGGACCTTCATAGTAGCCCTATTATAGACTCTTACTGTATGAGGGCCGTACCTAACCTATGAACCCTAAGATGCCGAGTGAGCCGAACTCACCGCCATCCCCCCGCCTCCCGCGGCCCATGGCCGAGAGCGCATGAGCCTTTCTGGTGGCGGAATAAAGCGGCTTTACAGGGTTTAGGGGACCGTGGTTTTTTAAGTTGGGTTGACGTCCTTCTTTGTCCGTCAGGGAAAGGGTTTAAGGTTTAGGGTTTCGGGTTTAGGGGATAGGGCTTAGTAGGGTTTAGTTTAGGGTTTAGGGGATAGGGCTTATTAGGGTTTAGGGTTTAGGGGATAAGGTTTTTATAGGGCTGTATGTTGGGCTTTTGTAGGGGTGTATAGGCTCTGGCCGGATTTCGATGGAGTTTTTGAAGGTTTGTCTTTGGGCTTGATAGGGTTGTATAGGCTGGTAATGGGGCTTTATAGAGCTTTGCGGTTTTACAACGGTGCATAGGTTTTTAGAGCTGTTCTGAGGGTTCCTACTCTTTAGGGTTTACAGGAAATTAGAACCCTCGGGGAGTTTCCTGGTTCTTAATTGGGAATTGATCGCCATGACAGTCCCAAGGAGTACTAGGTGCCGATTTCAACAGCCCCGACATTGTTCATAATTGCGGCTCTGTTTTAGGCCATAAGTGGGTGGTTGTCAAAATTAGGGTTCCTTTTGGGTCCGTGATATAGTACGCACCTAATATTTGGGGTACCCCAAAGGGGACCATAATTTTGACGGCCACCCAAGTGAGATCAACAAGCGATACCAAGGTGCCTCCACGTACGCCAGGATCTCTATGAAGGCAGCCTCCTGCCTCTGTGCCTGCAGGGGTTCTGAGGGTGCGTCGCGCTGTATATATATATATATATATACACATATATTTTAGGTCCAAACCTCAAGTCTCAGCTTGTTCGGGTGTATGGGACTCCCAGAGATGACTGTTTTAGAGAACATTTTTGGGATGTGTCGTGGTGTGAGGGTTTCAAGAGTCCGGGGGCTAAGGGCCTGAGGACACTTCAGGCTTGCTGGGGTTTACTTGGAGGTTCATGGGTAATTATAGGTGGAGTCATAAGTAGGGTAACAATAAGTATAACTCCTAGAATACGGGACATATAATCCCACTACCTGTGGCCCAAAAGACCTACCTCTTTTTAAGGAGGTATATATTACAGAAATCATAATATAAGGAATCCTTAAAAGGTAGGTTTTCGGCAACAGGTATAAACTCCAAACCCCAAGCCTAAACCCTAAACCCCAAACCCTAGACCCAAAACCCTGAACACCAAGGCGTAACATAGGGGCCTTAACAAGTAGGTTACGGAATTGGGGTATACTATCTTGTAAATATAACAACGACCCCCCTCAAAAATAATATAGCATTGTTAATGATTCAGACCCCTATATCATAGAACTCTACTATAGTATCCCTTATACACGCCGTTTAAAGGAACCCTACTTAAAGGGTCATGGGACTTAGTAACTAGGGTCATAACCATTACTTATAACCCCAATTAGGGTACTTATAACCCACTTACTAAGTCCCATGATCCTCCAAGTATTCGTTAAGGGAGCCCTATTAAAATTTATTCAAAGCCCCTTGTTCTAGTATCCCTTATACACCCCTTCTAAAGGAACCCTATTCTTTAAGGGAACCCTATTAAAATTATTCAAACCCCCAGAACCTAGGCCTGGGAGCCAAAACCCGGCACCAGGCTTGCCGAGTAGGCGCAGGCGAACAGGGAAGCCACCTGGGAGTTTCCGAAAATTTAGGGTCCTTTTTTGGGGTCCTTATAAGAAGGATCCTACTATTTAGGGTACTACATTAGGGTCCCCTATTTTCGGAAACTCCTGTCTGGTTCTTAGTAGGGCTTAGGGTCACTTAACTTAAAAGGGATCCATAAGGGTACTAAGGGATCTATCGGGGTTTAAAGCTTTCCACATCAAGGTCGCTGGAACTTTAGGGACTTTCAGGGTTACCTATAGTCTCCACTGTAGTTCCTTTTGGGGTTAACTTATAGGATCCTGATTATATAATTGGTTAAACAAAAAAAAGGAACTACAAAGGAGACTATAGGTAGGGTTTAGGGTATACTGGGGTATCAAGTTGTTTTTTGAACCCTCTTTTCTCCCTGCCTGAGTTAGGTTGGTTGAATGCCACGGGTGGCTGAGGGGTGACTGGGGAAGCAATGCAACACAAATACCCACTTAAATCAACATCAAACCACAATACTCATCATTAAACTACACTCCCTGTTCCCCAGTGGCTCATGCGGAGTAGTCTCAACGCACGACCTGACTCGGCCCAGCTTGTCAGCTGTTGCCCCGAAGATCCAAATATTAACCAAGGTACCTACAATATCCAACCCCACAGCACTGGCTTGTAGACATGCAGACCCACAGAATTGGTTCACTGCTACTGTGTCCGTATTTCGTCATGTGGGGAGTCTCCACCTCAGGGTCGTAACCGAGCATCAAGTCGGGGATAAGCAGTTCTGCACCAATTCGCGTAGGGATGTCCTGGGAGCCTCCACGCCCTTGAGAGATCACCTCTTGCCAATGGTAGCGAATTGAGGTGAACAATGCAGGGCCGAGAGGACCAATAGCTCCGCCAATAAGGCACCAGCTGATGAGCCTTGAGAGAGTAGGGATGTGCTCATTAAGCAAGGCGACAGGATGAACGAAATGAGTTGCCTGTCGCACTTCGTTCAGATGGGGAACGCGAAGGCGCTGGAACACATCAACTGGTATCAAAGGTTTTAGGGTTTAGGGTATAGAGGAAAAACGGGTTTGGGGTCTAGGGGCTTTGGGTTTATGGGAGTTTTGGTTTTAGGGGTTTAGGATATACTTTAGGGTTTTGGGGGATGGGTTCTTTGGACTATAAGGGACACTGAACGGACTATCATAGGGATCCATCATAGGGATCCATTCCCCCATTCCCTACTACGGGCCAGACAGTCAAGGTTGCCAGCAGTTTGGGGTGTAGGAGTTTTGGGTTTAAGGATTAGGATATACTTTAGGGTTTATGAGTTTAGGGTTTGGGGTTTAGGGGTTTGGGGTTTATAGGGGTTTTGGGTTTATGCTCTAGGATATACTTTAGGGTTTAGGGGTTTGGGGTTTAGGGGTTTAGGGTTTGAGGTTACAGGGGCTAGGGTTTAGGCTTTCGGATATAATTTAGGGTTTAGAGCTTAAAAGTTAAAGCTTGATAGTTAAGGTTTCGAGCCAATGGATTACTACTATTTGCTTAAGAACCCCCCCAAAAATAAAAAAAAATCCTTATGGGGGTAATATAGGGATTATTTTTTTTATTTGTTGGGTGTTTCTTAAGCAAATAGTAGATTAGGTTTTAGGGGAGGCTTGAAGGATTATGGACCTTGGTTCGACTCGAGGGCTTGGGGTTCAGAGTTTCGGGTTCACGTCGGGCTTAGGGTCGAGAGCTTAAAGGGAACTCCAGAAAGTTGGAATATGGATTAATGCTAGGATCCCCTATACTTTACCTTAAAGGGATTACGATAATGATATTCCAACTTTCTGGCTTCTACTGTAAGAGTTTAGAGCTTCGGATTTACGGCCTCTAGGGCTCGAGGCGTGTGCCGAAACCTTTCCTAGACCCAAGAGTAACCCAGGCATAAAAAGGATGCCCTTTTTGGTTTAAAGGGGCTTATAAGGGAACCTGAACCCTAAAAAAGGGAATAAGGGCCTACTCTGGGTCCTAGTTTCAGGGGAAACACTTTACATGAGGCACCGGAGGAATGCCCTGTGATTGAAAGCAGTAAACTTTCGCCGAAAAACCAAATATAGGGCCTTAATAATTCGCACTTAGTGCCAGCCAGCACGATCCTTGTATTACGTAGGAGAGACTAGAGAGAGAGAGAGAGAGAGAGCGAGAGAGAGCGAGTCAGTCACATAGAGAGAAAGAAAAATAAAGAGAAAGAGAAACAGACCCTACCCTAGACCCCCCCAAAACCCTAAGCCCCAAAACCGTAAACCCTTGCTTAAGGGGCAATTTTGTTAAGAGGTAGACTTGGGCTTTACCAGGCCGGGTCACCGCAGAGCGCCGAGGTAGGTAGCTGCGACGATGAAGATCCTGCAGCGTTGGTGCCTGATGAAGAACAGGGTCCCGAAACTCAAGAACCCTGCGGTTTTGGGTGTGGGTGTACTACTATTATGAGAAGCCGTACTGCCTTGGCTAGACCATAACTCTAAGAGGGAATTCCGAACCTTAACGAGAACCCTTAACTACCTTAAACCGACAAGCCAGGATATCTGGCTGACGCTGAAGACCCCTACGTCTCAGCTGTCAGCTACGCCCCAAACGGAGGGGTTTTTGGATACGAGCCAGTATGATGCTGCATACGAACAAGAAATAAATGTGTCTGTAAACCCCTGGCTCATAACCCCCACTTCATTATGTCTATGATGCCGACATGGGTGGTTGTCAAAATTACGGTCCCTTTTTGGTTGGGTACCCTGAATTTTAGGTGCCGTATCATAACAAGGACCCAAAAAGGGACCCTAATAATTATTGACAGCCACCCACATAGGGATCGAAATATTACTTTCCTGCGAGACAGGGGGTGCATTAGTCTCATGGTCAAGGACCCTACGGAACACGTCAAAGGAAGCCTTCATTCTGAAGCCCCCCATTTTTTGCTCTTGACGAGAAGCCATGGCAGGCCAGACTGTGGCGAAGACGTCCTGCACATACAACAGAGGCCGTAATAATTAGAATAGGATTCTGGGGCCCATTGTACTATTATACTTATAGTTAGGAATAGTAGCGGTAGTTGTTTAAGCCGCTGTATAATGGGTTTTGAGCTGGCGGTGCTGGCCATCAGGACAAGGTAGTGTTGATGAGCAATCTTGAAACCTTCAAGGTCTACTCGGTAGCCCCTAAACCCTAAACCCTCCGACAGCTCAGGGCCGAAGGGTCACACGTGAGAAGGCGTTACACGGCTTGACACGGTTTAGGGTTTAGGCTTAGGGTTTAGGGAGGCAAACTCTGATACAGAGCTTTGTACGTGTAGAGCTGAGCTTAAGGGATTGAGGGGTCTTGGGATTTAGGTTGACCAGGGGTCTATAGGGCCTATGGTTTAAGTTTAGTTTGTAGGTTTCAGGGTTTAGCATTTAGGGGTTTAGGGGTTTAGGGTTTAGATGTTTAGGGTGTAACACCCAAAAAGATAAAGGATACCTATACTCGGATAGTAAGTCTATAGTGTGCTAACGAACTGCAGGACATATTTCATATCTTGAAGCCCGAAGCCACAAGGAATAGAGGAGGAACTCGCGCCACAGATACACGGTACTTTGAGGCGCCGGGCTGAGCGATTAGGGCTTAGAGTTGAGGGAATTAGACCCTAAACCCCTGTAGATCCCTTGTAGAACTTGCTTAAGGATCCCTTCTAGAAGCCTCAAAGGCACCCTTAAGAAAGGTACTACTCAAGAACCTACAACTTAAACTCACAGCTGTAGGGATGTCAGTTGGGAGCTTCGCGGAGGTTAGAGACTTGGACTTGGGGGGTGAGGGGACTTGGGTGCCAGGGCTTTTGGGCTACATTATGCTGTAACCATATTAAGGAACCCCACAATAGTGTTGGCAATCATTTAGGCCCTTAGTATCACGCGAAGTGTTGAAGCTCCATGATGCTCCCAAGCTGCAATCTGAAACCCCGAAGGAGTTGTAACGAAGGCGTCACGTCTTGTTAAACAGTTGTTTGTTGACATCAGGCAGTCCCTGAACCCTCCAAAAACTTCCATAAACCACAAAAACCTCGCAAAAACGCGTCCTCGCACAGAACCGACAGGAGTCGCACGGTGCCCATCGCCAGCGGAACAACTTCCATGGGCTTTGGATCCGGCATAGCTGGGTCCTTGCTCCGGGAAGCTTGGTTTTTTGGGCTTAATACAGGGGCCTTAATAATTAGACTAGGGTTTGGGGGTATACTAGACCATAATAGTGATAAAGAGCCGCTGAGCCCCCCAAATAGCATAGGGACTTATTGAGGCCCCTATATTAAGGCTTATTTGTGCACTTGCGGAGCCCTAAAGACTAAACTGGTGAAGTAGTCGTCGAGCCTCGGTAGTGTAATGACATCAGGACTAAGTTGCTTCCCGTTTTGCCACAAGCCACAGTGCATAACCTGCAGCCCACAAGTGTTTCGATGGGACCCTGTCTTGTTTTCCTGGAGTTGTGGGGTTGCTGCTGACGGTTTCTGAAATCACAAAGCCACCCTGTCTTGAAACATAGCATGTACTTCGGAGAACCTATTCTTGCTGTTGTTTTTTTGTGTCAATGCGCACTTTCCGCTTTTAGGATTCCGGTTTAGGGCTTAAACGCGACCCCTACATATGTATCACGCAGTCAACTATGCACCCCAGACTCCTATGCTAGCTTCGCACTTGCATTGACACCTGCGTTTCTCCCCAAATCCTCAAGCCCAACCCCTCGACCTCCAAATAACCAACCATTTTAGGGTGCGTTCTCATAATTTGATCTTCTTAAGTCCCCATTACTTAACAACGTAGGTCATTTGGGGTCAAGGACAGCCGTTGACCGCTGAGATGCTCTGACGGGAGGTGTGTAGCTAGACACCAGACTCTGCAGCAGCGTGGCCAAACCTGGGCACTGGAATTTCAAGCATTTTGCATCTGTCTAAGGATCTTGACCGGTATGTATACTATGTCTATGTTATATATATATATATATATATATATATGTACATATGTATGTACATACATGCATGCATACAAACCTACACGTGCTATTATGTTCGTTTGCGGTGATTTGTGTCTTGCCTCTGTGTGTGTGTGTAAGTTCTTTGAGGAGTTCTCAAACGGCTGTTGGGTTGAAGTTTGGGATTCAGACTCGGGTGTCTATGCGGATGTCCACACCAAGTTACTCCTGTTGAGTCTGCAGCCTTACGAGGGGTAGCTTAGTGGGAGACCAGCTTGGAATGGAATTCTTCGTAAGTGGTTGCCTAACAAGGCTGCTTTAAACGATCCATAAACCCTAAACCCTAACCCTAAACCCTAACCCTAAACCCTAAACGATCCCTAAACCCTAAACCCTAACATAACAAGGCTGCTTTAAACGATTTCAATGTGGCTTCTGGCGGTCATACGGTTGCAAAGCCGTCGTGTAGGGATTCTGCAGCGAAGCTGCACTGGCGCGGTATTGGGCTCTTCTAAAGAGTGAGGGGTCGGTCAACCACGATGCAATCAGAAGCTTCAAGAGCGCACACGCTCTACAGGTTTTAAGCACACAAAGCGGTCGTCGCAATGGCTCTGTCGGCTACGGAAAGAGGGGCCCCTCTGAGCCTGACGATCACACGACAGGATACTGCTGAATCTCACAAGCAAGCGCATCAAGAACAGACATGTTGCAGATTCAGAACGATCCCAAGTTTAGGTTTAGGGTTAAGGGTTTAGGGGTTTAGGGTTCAGGGTTAGGGTTTAGGGCGTTTAGGGGCCAAAACCTTTAATCCAGAGGGTTCAAGGGCCTACAGGGGAGTTCCTTGAAAGAGTTCCGTATAAGGGCAATTACAGTGGCTTTAGCTTGGCTGACTTCTGAACCCCTCCTTAAAGTTAAACTTTTAGCCTCCTGAATGCAGTTCATATAGAAACCCAAAGAGTTACAGGCCTAAGAGCCAGCTAGAAGAACGCAAAGTTGGTATAATAGGCCCCTTAAAATTGCAAAAAGGCGTTGCAAGGCCTACAAGCTTGTTGCACGATGAATTTTTATGCGCTGCCCAGCTGATCTCGCGCGGCACTGCTGTCACCACCACCACAAGAAGAGCCCCATGTCACGACAGAGCCATCATCTAGGATCGCAGCAAAGGCACTCTGAGTTGCTTGAATCTGTTGCACATTCTTCAGCTGATGTGCCACAGCACTGCTGTCACCACCGCGGCCACTATCGCCCCAGGTCACGACGGAGCCATCACCCAGAATCGCAGCAAAGGCGAACGAAGTTGCTTGAATCTGCTGCACATTCCTCAGCTGATCTCGGACGGCACTGCTGTCACCACCGGTTGTAAAAGCGCCCCAGGTCACGACCGAGCCATCACCAAGGATAGCAGCAAAGGCCAGCGAAGATGCTTGAATCTGCTGTACATTCCTCAGCTGATCTCGGACGGCACTGCTGTCACCACCGTTGACAGCATATCGCCAGGTCGCGACAGAGCCATCAGAAAGGATCGCAGCAAAGGCACCCTGCGTTGCTTGAAGCTGCTGCACATTCCTCAGCTGATCTCGTACAGCGCTGCTGTCACCACCCAAGGCCGGATGGCCCCAGGTCACGACGCAGCCATCACCCAGGATCGCAGCAAAGGCACTCTGAGTTGCTTGAATCTGTTGCACATTCTTCAGCTGATGTACCACAGCTCTGCTGTCACCACCGCTGCCACTATCGCCCCAGGTCACGACGGATCCATCACCCAGAATCGCAGCAAAGGCGTAAAAATTTGCCTGAGTCTGCTGCACATTCTTCAGCTGATCTCGGACGGCACTGCTGTCACCACCGCGGCTACTATCACCCCAGGTCACGACCGAGCCATTACCAAGGATCGCAGCAAAGGCGAACGAAGTTGCTTGAATCTGCTGAACATTCCTCAGTTGATCTCGGACGGCACTGCTGTCACCACCGAGGGCAACATCACCCCAGGTCACGACTGAGCCATCACCGAGAATCGCAGCAAAGGCGGACGAAGTTGCCTGAATCTGCTGTACATTCCTCAGCTGATCTCGGACGGCACTGCTGTCACCACCGCGGCTACTATCGCCCCAGGTCACGACCGAGCCATTACCAAGGATCGCAGCAAAGGCGAACGAAGTTGCTTGAATCTTGTGTACATTCCTCAGCTGATCTCGGACGGCACTGCTGTCACCACCTTCGCCAGCATTTCCCCAGGTCACGACGGAACCATCTCCGAGGATCGCAGCAAAAGCAAACCTTCCGCCACGTATATCGACTCGTCGAAGTTCCAGGAACGTCAGTGGCTCCTGATACTGCAGCCTGGCCTTTTTCAACAGCGCTCCTCCATCAAGAACCTGGGTTCTTGTTGAGGAGTTTAAGGTATTTAATTACATTAAAGCCATCGTAAATACACGGTTTCCTTATTATAACAACTTAGTTGTCTTCTTCCCTTAACAAGAACCCAGGAACTCTTCCGATGGAGTCCAAGAGCCGACCTCTGCCAGCTCCCAGGGCTCTTTGCGCGCGCACCGTCAGCGATTCTACGGATTCGTCGTCGTGCGTCTGCAGTGACACTGTCTTGCCACTTATGAGGCTTACCTCAAGTGTAGATGACATGATAGACTGAGGACTCCAGCTGCGGATCAGCCCATGGCCAACATGTCGAATGCCGGGCTGTAGTTGAATAATGTATGGGCGTTCAACAAGTAGAACGTCCGGGAGGTAAATTGTAGCATAAATATAATGAAACCATCCTTTTGATGTTGGCTCTCTGCTCGCAGCCTATGTCTTTTGCACCGTTTCCTCAAACAGCCGCCCCGAGGGGCTAGGTGGACTAGAGTGTCATGATTCATACGGCTCAGGGTTTAGATCCGGGTTTAGGGGTTCATGGTTTAGGCAACCAATATAGGGGCCTTAATCCGCCGACCCCTTTGTCGGCGTCAAGAAGGTGGACTCGTACCTTGCCCCGCCTTCGAGGACAAAACACAACTTGCTTCTTCCTTTCCCTTGCCTCTACCCCTGCCCCTTGCTTCTCCTTTCCCCCGCCTCGCCCCTACCCTGCCCCTAGCCAACCCCTTTCAGGTCAAGCCCAAAAACCAACCAATTTTGTTTGTTTTCAACGATGCCAAGCGGGTGGAGGCACCCGGCGTCTACTCCTGCTAGCCAACCCGCCCCCACCCCCCCCGGCCAACGCCGATGGGCGATGCGAGGAGATGCAATCGGATCATCGAACGATGACACCGTCAGAGCTATAACAAGATCAATCGCAGTGTTCATGGCACTAACCCCAAACTGGCCCTAAACCCTAACCCAAAAGTAGTCTGGCCTTGCAAACCCAAAGGGTCCTATGTACTGCTATGGGGGGTACTCCTCTAAGTCATAATAGTAACTCCTAATATGGAAACCCTACATTCTACTATATCGGTACATAGGACCCTTTGGGAAACTCCGAACCTGAACTCTAGCCCCCTAAACCTCTATAAACCCTACACCGCCCTAAACCCTAAACCCAAAACCCAAAACCCTAAACCCTAAACCCTAAACCCTAAACCCAAAACCCTAAACCCAAAACCCAAAACCCTAAACCCTAAACCCTAAACCCTAAACCCAAAACCCTAAACCCAAAACCCTAAACCCTAAACCCAAAACCCTAAACCCTAAACCCTAAACCCAAAACCCTAAACCCAAAACCCAAAACCCTAAACCCAAAACCCTAAACCCAAAACCCTAAACCCTAAACCCTAAACCGTGGCATCCCGCAAGGGTCCCAGCCCAAGGTCCGCACAGGCCGCGGAGGCAGAGCGATCCAGAGCCAGGCCTCTCTTCTCTCCAAGGGTGAAAGGAGGGACCCTCAATAAGGACCCCTAGGTATATACCCTTAATATAACTATTATATACCCATTATATAGCCCATTATAGGGTAGGGGTCCCCATTAAGGGTCCCTCCTTTTCCCCTTTGATTCTCAGGCTCTCAAAACTCCGAAACGTAACATAATATAGGGGCCTTAGTAAATTAGAACAGGGTTCCCTTTAAAAAGATGATTAAAGGGATCTATAGTAGGGATTTAGGATATTAATATAGGGGCCTTAGTAATTAGAGTAGGGATCTGGACGGGAGCCCAATACCCCTTAATTAAAGAATATAGCTTACACCGAAATATGAAGCCCTATATAAATTTAGGCCATATTCCTCAATTAAGGAGTATTGGGCTCTCTGGGAAGATCGTTCGGGTTTAGAGTTTATAGAGTCTACACACTAAACTCAAAGCATTAAGCCCAGAAACCTCACACACAAATTATCTCTAAAGCCTTGGAAAAGTCAACGCAAGGTTACAAAGTAAAGGGGTGTCTCGGGTTTTGTGGGGATTTGGGTTTAGGACCTACCGTACGGGTCGTTCTCTGGAATTGCGTCCCCTTTAGGTCCCCAACCCACATCAACGGCGACCTGCTGTGACCGCGTAAGCTTCGTAAAAGTTCTATCCCTGCAACTAGGGAAGGGGCCATGACATACTTGTTGCAGAGTTTGGGAGCCTGCAGGCATCAAGGGCTCGCGTCTAGCAACTTTCGGGCCAGAGCTTCTGCTATGTACATACATGAACCTTTGTATCTGCCAGCAAACCTCAGTGTAAAAGCCGTAATCCCCCAAACCCTGGGTACCCTGAAAATTTAACACCAATCCCACCACGAAAGCGCCGCCGCGTCGCAGATGGGCGCCAGTCTTGCGAGAGCAGGGCGGAGGGCAGCAAAGACGGCATCCTGGGTACAGGGATGAACTAACGTGGGCGAAAGAATGGTAAGGCTTTAGTGTCAGGGATACTTTAATCGGGTTCTATATGCTCGTAATCGAGTTCCGAAGGGATACCTTAGATCATCAGTTATAACTGGAAGAAGATATTGGGGTGTATCGCAATATAACTAGACATGGACTATACGAGGTACTGTGACTAACCGATAATGCGTTCTCGTGGCAGTGTTTTGTTCAAATGTTGGTTTACATTTAAGGGTGGAGGAAGTGTCCTTTTTAAATTTCGTTTTGTGTGATGTTGTTGCAGTAGGTTGAAGTTTTGACATCGTATTCGGGGCAAGGGTCTTTTCTTTCGCATCCGTGTCTTAGTAGCTGAGTTCGTAAGCCCCCCCAAAAGTGTACACTTTTAGTTCTAAGGTGCATGGTTCTTCGATGTCTGAGCCCTAACCGTACACCCTGAGGTCTGAACCTCTAACATCAAACATTACAAACAAATCCTCCTAAAGCCTAACAAACCCTCCAAAGTCTACAATAAACCCTATCAGTCCTAAATCAATCCTAAACCCCATGGTTGAACCAAGTCCTCCTAGTCTGCGAAGCGCATTCAATCAAGTTTCCGGCACGGAGGCCACTGTCTTCGCGAGTTCCTGCACGAGGGTCCCGGACTCCGGTGTGTTCTCTTCACTGACCGTCAAGTGGGTGAGCACCTCAGAGTTGAGGGTTTACAGTTGTGGGTTTTAGGCTTAAGAGGTTAGGCGTGTTTAGGGTTATGTAAAGATTGAGGTTCCAGTGCTTACGTCAGGGTTATGAAAAACATACGTACATACATATATACAGAGATGTGGTCTTCCTGGTCTAGGGATAGTAAAGGGTCAGGGTGTGGGGATGTGTGGGGCCTAACTTTGATGGGTAGAGGGTTAGTAGAGAAAGGGTTTAAGGTTTAGGGCGTTTCGGGTTGAGGGTCCAGGAGTTGGTTTGAAACTTTGGTATGAGGTCTTGGTTGTGGCGTGTAGGTTTTGGACACAACCGCCGGGATGGCTCGTGTGCAGTGAGAGAAGCGGCCTACCCATTTTACCAGACCCCACAAAAGCCGGATTGAAACACACAGCAACACATCAGCATCCGAAACCCAGCCTACTGTGAATCTATTTGAACCTGAGGTGCCTGGAGGAAGAGCTCGGCTAAGTGCTGCCGCACACTGTTTGGCATTCCTTGGCCACTTTGCTTCAGTCGCTCGGGTTGGGATTGGAGTTGCAAGTTTGTGGGGGCGGAGGGGTGAAAGGGGAGGGCGGGAGGTTGGGTGGGGGGGGGGGGGGGTTCTGGGAATGCCGGGCATCTTTCTCCTAGAGTTAGATGTCATTGCTCATAATCCCGACCCCTAAATTTCATGGGCTACGATGTTCATAGGGTCCGGGGTTGCGGATTTTGGGGTTATTAATTATTCACTTAACCATAAGCCCCCGCAATGCCAGGGTTTAAGCTTTAGGGCCACACCTATTCCTCTAAGACTCCCTTCAATCCCTGTTGGAAAACTGCTTAGCGAACAGAAGCTATTGAAGATAACATCCCCACAAGCGGGCGGGTCTCAATAGCCAATGCTTTTTGCTCTTGCTGGGTCCTGCATGGACTTCTTAAACCCGTCGTCTCTACGTCAATACCTTCAAGCCTCATCAACGGATCGTGTGCGGGCTGAGTGTCGTAGCAGCACCTCGCTGCTGAAGAACCTCCAAGTGCAAAGATTACCGTTTACTGTCTGTTGCATGGGTGTTGAAGTAGAATTGAATGTTTCACTATGGACTTTCGTATTGACACGACGATATGTCGAGGGACAGAGGAAATTCCGGCTTGCGACACTCCCAATCCATGGCCCGAGACCCTTGCCCCAACCTCAAGCCCCGGACCGCTACGCTAAACCCGCTAAACCCTTGTCCCTGAAGACTTGAAGCCATAAAGACTCCACTCCCCGTTACTGCCCCTGATAGCTCTGGCTTTGAACGCTGACTCGCAGCGTATGCTGGGGAAAAAGGCAAACGACACAACCTCGAAGCACTGGCCCCTAAGACCCTAAGAACTCGGAACATGGCCAGTGAAGTGCTCATGCTATCCCCGGAAACCCCACAACCCTGAACCTTGGAAAGTGCAAACCTTACATCACACATTACTATACGAGAAGGTCCTGGAAGCCCCCCACCCTCGGAGAGCCACCTCATAGGATATAGATAGATGTAATTTGTTTATTGCAAAAACAGGCTGCTATAACCCTAAACCCTAAACCCTATACCCTAGACCCCTAAACTTCCCTAAACCCTAAACGGGTCGTGAGGGCTCTCTGGAACTGCCCGGGCCTCTGCGCCATCTCCAGCGCCCTCCTGGGTGGCCAAGAGCGATGCGGCAACTCCGCCTGCGGGTTCGCCGATGGCTAACCCTAGGGATCTGAGGACTCACATATTGCGGCTTTTGGGCTATTTTGATCCCTAGGGTAAGGCTTGGGGTTTATCGCTTTTTAGTGGTTTAGGGGTTAGGGGTTTGGGGGTTTAAGGTAACTAAACCCTAAACCCAAAAACAATGAGCGAGGCCTTCAATCGACTATGAACCCCGATCTCTTCCAACCTTACGGGCTTCTTACATCAGTGTGTGTATATATTATATATATATATATATATATATATATATATATATATATTATATATATATACATATATATATATATACATAGAATACGAAAGACGAAAAGGTGCAAGCAAGGTGGTGGGGTTGCTTAAAACAGCATCGCCTGATAATCATCCTATTTTCTGGCCTAGCTGCCTATCATGATGACCTGATGACAGGTCGAAAAGTGAACCCCAAAATCTTGAAGCCCTACACCCTGAGCTCAGCACGTTGAGGTTTATACTTTCTCTAGAGAGCTAGCATCAAGCTTAATCCTTACCGGACATGCCGTAGCCTAAACTGGCAATCCCGCTCGGCAGCACTAGCCGATAAGTTCTAAATCCTACAGCCCACAATCCCTATACCACCCGAAACGCAATACTAGCTGCAACTAGTAGCACTGACAGGAAGGTCTCTGTATACTGCAGAATACTTGTCGACCTATGATAGGTGTGTAAGATCTCAATATGTCTCAATATTAGTAGCCCTAGCCTCCTCAACCTATGAATGCTAAGCTTCCAAAAACCCCAAAACCCAAAGCCCCTGAAGCCTCAAGCCTGTACACTCTAAGCCCCATAAACACGAAGCCCCAAACCCTAAGCGCTGTAACAGCTTTCTCCAGGCGGCCTGCTGCAAAGCTGAGAGAACCAAGCGGATGGGGGTGAAGTGCACTGCCCGGATGTCGAACAGAGCCTCAAGAAGCCTTGCGGGGGAGAGGGTTTAGGGGTTAAGGGTTTAGGGGAGGTTTAGGGATGTACCTAGACCCCCACAAAAGGAGGTAAAATAATGGCCCGAAACCTATAAAGGGCTATTATTCTACATACTTTTGGGGTCCAGGCAAGCATTTGTGGGGCTTGGCGGCTTCAGGGTTCTTTGGTTTTAGGGTTCTGGCATTGGGGCTTTCTAGGTTTACGCCTTTCGGGTGGGACATGGGGCTGCTGCTAGGGTTCGGATTATGTCCAGAAACAGGGGCTTCAGTCGCAAGTTTTCGGAAGAGCCAATCCGGAAGACCCAGAGAAATACTCGAAAACCCCCGAAAGGCCGAAGCCAGAACCTGAAGTTGCTTAGAGTTTAGGGTTTAGGGGTTTAGGGTTTAAGGGTTTACGGGTTTAGGGGATTAGGGTTTAGGGGTTGAGGGTTTAGGGGTTTAAGGGTCAAACCTCAGAACCCCCGATACCTCAAACACTTACCCAATGACTCTAATGACCCTGAAAAGCGGAAATTAATGGACTTCTCCACGACGCAGGCGCTGAGTCCTACCACACCTTCTTCTCAACAGACAATCTAGATCCCCTCAGAAAAAAAGGCAAACACAAGACCTGCACAAAGAGAACAAACAAACATGTAGAATAACTCAAATCGGCCTGCGGAGCAGCATAGTTTCCCACAACAAGGGCCTTAAACAAATCGGGATTTCGATTCCCACCCTAAAACCCTCAACCTTGAAACCCTAAAGCCCTAAACCCGAAACCCTAAAACCCTAAACCCTAAACCCTAAAACCCGAAACCCTAAACCCTAAAACCCTAAACCCTAAACCCCTAAAAACCACCCAAAACAAAAGGCCACCTCGAAGATGCGACGTCCGGGCCCTCGGGATGTTGGGACCTCGGCGCCAAACTGAGCTGTGGGATCCGGGCTCCTCAGATTTTAGGGGGTTTAAGGAATTAGTTTAGAGGTTAGAGGTTTAGGGGTTTAGGGTTTTAGGGTTTTAGGGGTTTAGGGCTTTAGGGGTTTAGCGGTTTAGGGATTTAGGGGTTTAGGGATTAGGGTTTGGGGGCCTGGCATTTACTTGAAGGTTCATGGGTAGTTATATGTGGAATTATAAGTAGGGTAACCATAGTAATAACTCCTATTAGGGGACTTATAACCCCACTTGTAACTACCCATGCACCGACAAGTAGGGTCTAGGGATGAGGGTTTAATTGGGGTTTGAAGTTTGGTGATTGGGGTTTAACTGGGGCTTAACGTCTAGGGATTCGGCCTCAATTACGGTTAAAAGTTTCGGGATTAGGGTTTAACTAAGGTTTCGGGTTTAGGAAGGGTTGCGAAGGCTTTAGAATTGAGGGCAACAGGATATAGCGTACAAATGGGTTCACAGGATTTCGGATAGAGGATTTAGGGATGAAAGTTTCAGAGTCTGGAAGGTTTCAGCGACCGGGCTTTCGCAGGGTCGTCAGGTGTCTTCTTAAGCTGAGAGTCTGACTCCGAACAAGCCCGAAAACAAGCATTACTCCTTGCATTCTTGTGCTGCACTAGGATGGTTCTTGTGGTTCCAACCCTCAACTCAAAAAACTAAGAATGGGTTTGGAAGTCTCTGGGCGTGTAGTTCTTATGCTTGACCGCTGCGCTGGCAAAATCATAGTCTAGCGGGCTCTGGTGTTCCGCATTGGGGGATTATCTGCAATCATTCAACCCAAATGCTCACTAAACCTAATTAGGGTTTAGGGTTGGGCTGAAGTTGTGGGGTGAAGGTAGACTGGCATTTCACACAAGCGGGACACGTCAAAGCTTAACCCTCCCGAAACCAAGGGACTACATAGTTAGAATAGGGTTTGGGTCCATTACAGTAGCTGGACTACAAAAGTATATAGAATGGTAGCCTTTCATAGGGTTTTGGCCCATTATTTTGCCCACTTTGGCGGGTTTGGGTAGGGACTTTAACCTCAGAGACTCTCTTCGAGGGAGACTTACCCAAAGACCTCACGCATTCGGGTCTTTGGCCAAGACCCCTCCTTCAGCCACAGCAAAAACCAGGGGCACCTAGATAAGCCCGTATACAAGAGAACAATGCAGGGGCCGTAATACGTAGACTAGGGTTTGGGGCGTATTATACTAGAACTAGAAGAAGGAATTTCAGAATTGTATAGGTAATTATTAAGGCCCCTCTATAATCAAGCCCTTAACAAACCAAAACCAGGAGTCCAAACCCCAAACTCCAAACCATGAACCCTTAGTTGGTCTAGCACAGACAAGAAACATACGTGCTTAAACCACCCAGGAAAAAACAAAAAAACAAAAAAACAGCAATTCTAATCACTGACAAACGAGGAGCATAAATCCCAGGAAGAAGCTTGTGACCTGCTTCTCGAAGCTTCTCCTTGGCTGTCGCCCGAGAGTCCGCCATCGTGTTAGAAATCGGCAAGTGAATGGTTGTAGGTTTTAGGCTTGAAGGGCGTAGGGCTTACATTAGGGCTTGGGATAAGGCATAGCACTGAACTGCCTTGAGCCCTAAACGGTTTAGGGCTCAAGGCAGTTCAGCGCTATTGATAAGGTCTGTCTGCTATTATGATCGAAGGGCATCTAAGGGCGGCGGCTGCTGTAGCGTTTCGGGCTTGCTCAAACCTTGATCCCATGTCCTGAACCCTGTCGTCCACGTTGCCGCTTCGATTGTTTGAGAAGTAGACCTGCCATTGTACACGTTCGGAATACCTCCTCGCCACCTTGTTTCTCAAAACGACACTCTACACCCAAAACTCCAGAAGCAACAGATCCGAAGATTTTAAACCAAAAAACAAACTCACATGAGAAACTACAAACTTTGGACGATCAGGAACCAGCCAGTACAGTACAACCAGTAGCGTGCGCATGAAATCTTGAGAAGGGCAATACCAGTTCGCAGCATGCCCCGAATTCGATATCGCAAACCCTTGATATACTTTAAGCCGGGGTTCTCGACGTCTGTGCGCGGGTAGAGGCTGTCAATTCCGTTGCCGAATCCTGAGCGTATTAGGTTCGAACAGTTTCGCGGTTCAATTTTCCGGGGAGTGAAGACCCACTCCCCGAATCAATCTTCCAGATCCGACGCCCTAACCATAAACCCCAAATCCGAAACCCTACAGCGAGAATGAAACTCTGAACACACTGATCGTGAGCCCTACCTATAATCTCCATTGTAGTTCCTTTTTTTGGTTTAACCAATTAGATATTCAGGATCCTATAAGGCAACCCTAAAAAGGAACTACAATGGAGACTATAGGTAACATCTTGTCGGCCCGGTGTCGGGGAAGGACCTCAGTCAAGACGAACCTCTCCGAAAGTGCGGCGACGTGGAGGTCAAGGCCTCGGTACGAAGTTAGGATCTAGGGTTCGATCAGGGTTTGGGGTTTAAGGCTTAGCGCTGTAAGATGTAGGAATTAGTCTAGGGTTGTGGGTTGCAGGGGTTAGGGTTTGGGTTTAGGGGTTCAGGCTTTTTATGGTTGAGGGTTCACGGGTTTAGACGTTTACGGTGTAGGGTTTACGGGGGTCCTGTAGGATGTAGGGTTTACTTTAGAGTGTAAGCTTCAGGGTGTAGAGGTGAGATGCAAGGTTAAGGCTTCGGGGCTCTGTCCTGCAGTCAGCACAGCAGGGCGCCCACACAGCCGCAAAACGTATCAACAGTGCCCATAGCTTAAGACCCAGATGTGACTCCGAAATTGGAGTCGGTCTGAGGACTAGGACCTTGGTGCACTAAACCCTCAACATCCAGACCCGGAACTTTGAGCCCTGAGCCATATACAGCCTACAAGCCAAAGCTTCAGATCAGAACCAAGCCACACATCAGCTGCCCCAGCACAAACTTCTGCACGCTGTCGTTGTCGTGATCCAAGGCCCGGATCAGGAACACTTCCTGAGTGGCGATTCATGACATGCAGGGTTTAGGGGACACACCACTCGCCTTGAACCCAAGATGAATGCTTATGCTCACTGGGGCTCCGCATTTGTCCAGCACCAAAACCTCTGAAACCCTCAACATCCTGAATCCTTGAATCCTTTTGACGACGAAGCCCCCTAAAGGAACCCCCAATAAACAGCCCGCCGTAAACCCGGACCCCGGAATCCTAAGCCTAAAAACCTTAGACTCTAAACCGTAAACCCTAAATCCCAAACCCCTAAACCCCTAAGCCCTAAACCCTAAAACCCTAAACTCCAAACCCTAAAACCCTAAACCCTATACCCTAAAATCCAAACCCTAAAACCTAAACTCCAATCCCTAAATCCCTAAACTTCAAGCCCCAAAAAAACCCTAAACTCCAAATCATAAAACCCTAAATCTCTAAACCCCGCCTAAACGAAGGCCCTACATTATAGTACCTTTATAGAACCTTATAGGTATCCCTTATAGGTATCCCTTATAAAGAACCCTATTCCAAAATATTAAGACCCCCCATATTCCAAAAGGAAGGCCCAGGGACGAGCCAAAAGGCCCCGAAGCAGCAAGGAGCGAGCTGGCCTGCTCCTGGCAGTGGAAACCGTATATAAACCCTACGGTTGATGATATAAATCCTGCATCACCTTAAGGACCCTAAACTACGGAAATTATGGTATACTCCTTATTATGGGTCATGCAGGATTTATATCATCAACCGTATTTTTAGGGCTTAGGGTACAGGGTTTAGGGTTTACCTAACCCAGACCCGGGAGGATCTAGAAAGTAGATCCCCTAACTTGGGGCCCTATACTACTAAGGGTACGTTATAGGAAGCCCCACTAAGGGATCTACTTTTTGGATCCGTGGGGGTCTGGGAAACCCTAAAACCCCTGAAACCTAAAACTCTAAACCCTAAACCCCTGAACACCCTAAATCCTACAGGGTTTGGGGGTTTGGGGCTTTGGGGTTTAGGGTCAGGAATCTTCTCTCCGACAAACACCGCCTAGCAATTGGAAGCGGGTTCCTGTAAAATAAAGGATTCCGCTAAGGGTTCTACAAGCGTTTTAGTTCAGAGGCCTGAACAATTACAAAGAAGCGTTTTGGGTAGATGATTACGACCTCGCTGCCCACCTAAGAAAACTGGGACTCAGATTTTCTCATGGATCTTGGGCCCTTCGACCTACTTTCAGCCTTAAGTTGGGGTCATAATGATGATCTCAACTGGCTGCGTACCCCAGCCCAAAAGCGCGAAACCTTCACAGAAATTTGGGGCGCACGGCACTTAGCTTCATGAGGCTCAAGAAGGTTATTGCAGGCTGAGAGCGAGGTGCGGAGCATGGCGCATCAGGGTTTGTGGTTTGTGGGGTGTACCTAGACCCTCAAAAGTAGGTAAAATAATGGCCCAAAACCTATAAAAGGCCATTATTATACATACTTTGGGGGTGCAGTTAGTGGTTTTATTTATGGAGTTTAAGGCAGTTAAGTTCAGGGTTGATGGGGTTTAGGGTTGAGGGTTTCTTCATATTGAGCCTCGGTCTTGATTGTGGCTGGAGTGTTGAAGGGCTCCGTTTGGGGCTCAGCTGGGCGCACAGGTTTGACACATAACATATCCGCTTCCGAGAAGCTTTAGAGAGGTGTTGATGCAAACGGGCTCGGGAATACCTTTCTGGTGAGACTGAAGCTTTAAAACTCTATGTAAGCCTGAACATCTGTAGCAAACTGTCACCCCCGCCGCCGCCCAACAGCAAAAAAGACAAACAACAAACCGCAAACCCCCCATACCCCCGAAAGCCCCAAATCCCTCACCTAAGCCCCAAAAACCCATAAGCCCAAAATCCTACCCTAACCTGGCACCCCCGCCCCCCCACCCCTCCATAACCCGCTTACTGGCAACTTAAGTCCAGGGTTGACACTCGGAGGGTCGGGGGACTTAGTAAGTAGGTAGTAAGTAGACTTATAAGTACCCTAAAAGGGACCCTAATTGGGGTTATGGTACTTATAAGTCCCTAAGATAACCAGTTACGAAGTCGCCCGACCCTCCAAGCAGGGCCTGCTTTTGCTTTCTTCAGCTCTGCCAAGTACTGCCTGAAAGAAATTATATGGGTGGTTGTCAAAATTAGGGTCCCTCTTTGGCTCCCTATTCTAGTGCGGCACCTATTATTTAGGGTACCCAATTAGGGACCCTAATTTTGACAACCACCCATATGAAGAAAGGATGCTTTAGTGGCTGTTGTAGGGTTGTCACAGAGCTAAGTTAAGGGCTCTGAGTACCGGATGTTACAGTGTTTGTTGTGGGCTTTTTCTAGGAACTAAGCATGGGGTCTGAATGCAGGATGTTATGGTGCTTGTCATGAGCTCTACAGTACATGTAAGTCATCAGTCCGAATCAATACACCACAACTGCCCCGTAACCCCCCCGCATTCTCGAGTCGGGTCACTACCTAGACCCTCAAAAGTAGGTAAAATAATGGCCCAAAACCTATAAAAGGCCATTATTATACATACTTTTGGGGTTCAGGTACAGTGAAGCCGGACCCATCAACCCTGCAGACCGATCGGAAGGTCCCGCTGCAGCTTCGGAATTGCCGCCGGGGTGCATCAACCGCTTGATGAGTGCGTCCCAGCTTGCTTTGATAAGGTGGCTGGAGTAGTCCTGGAGGCCCCTAAACCCTACAGTAGAAGCCAGAAAGTTGGAATATCATTATCGAAACCTTTTTAAGGCAAATTATAGGGGATCCTACCATTAATCCATATTCCAACTTTCTGGAGTTCCCTTTACACCTAGACGCGACGTTCAGACCTAAACTCTCAGATTCTTAACGCCTGTTCCCTAAGCCCTACAATTCTGAACGCCCTCAGCCCAAAATCCTAAACCCTAAGCTCCGGAAAGCCGGTTCCCTCAACACCAAACCCTAAATCCCAAGATTCTGAAATTCTGGAGTGCATTGCTACCCAATGTAGATGGCAGAAGCCGGACACGGCAAGCCCCACGCGTGATCCAAAACCTCCAACCGCTTGTGGCGCCTTTGAGGGTTTTTTCAAGGTTTCTACATTACGGTTGATAGTAAAAATCCTGCACTACCCATAATAAGGAATATGCCATAATTCCCATAGTTTAGGGTCATTACGATACTGCAAGCTTTATATCATCGACAGTAGGACTTCGGCCTTAGGGTTCATCAAGGGGACCCCTAGGTATATACCCTGAATATAGCTATTATATACCCATTATATAGCCCATTATAGGGTAGGGGTCCCCATTAAGGGTCCCTCCTTCTCCCCTTTGACATCAGGATTTCGGACTTAGGGGTCCATGACTTCTTTGAACTTATGAGGTTTCTCGGCTGTCCTCGAGAGTGTCGAAGAGCTCCTGGCAGGTTAGGTAGGGCCAGGTAAGGGGCCGAAACAGCTGGAAGAGTGTGTTCGAGGTATCTTGCAGTATAGAGAAGGTAGGGACTAAAAGGGGATGGTCTTGCCAGTGCACCAGGAACACTTGCCATCAATCCTAAACTGTAGCATCCTTCACGCAAAGCCAGCCAAAAGCCTGTCATTCTCATGCCGGAGCCACCCAGTAGCTGCGCCAGGCACTGGACAGCGAAGAGAGCCCGACGCCTCAGCATTCAAAGTGGATCGGTCTCGGGCGTTGGGAGGCTTGATTCGAGCCATGGGATTGCCGTCATTATCCATGGAAACTTTTTATGCACCTGCACGAATCAGAACGCCGAGAACAAGAAGGCCCTTACGAGAGCCCTCAGAGCCCTCTGAAAAGCCTTAGAAGACCTTCCATCAAAACTTGTACGCCCGTGGACCTTCTCCGGAGAACATTCAACTTCTCGACAAAACGTGAATGTCCATATGCATATTATTATATCAGAATAACCTAAACCTTGGGCTACACTGCTCAGAACATCCCAAAACATTAAGCCCCTACTATAGGGGCCTTAATTATTAGAATAGGGTTTGGGGGCCCATTATACTATAACTATAATAAGGAACCCCCAAAATAAATTTTGTAATTATTTAGGGCCCTATATTAGATTCCAAACCCCAAGCAAACTCACCACCCACACTCGAGACCCGCCTGCGTGACTGCGGAAATCGCCTTCCGCAGTTTTCGCCACCAACGCCTTCCTGAGCAAATGAGCTTGCAGGTTCATGGTTAGTTATCAGTAGGGTTACAAGTCCCCTGATAAGAGTTATAACTATAGTTACCCCAATTATAACCCCACTTATGACTACCCATGAACCTCCAAGTAGGGGGGGACGTAAAAAAGCAGAGCTTAGGGCGCTTATAGCGGCTCCCTGAAGGAGGTCATCTAGGGTTACTGTACGGGTCCCTGTATGGGTCCGTTTCTTTAAGGAGTCCTAGAAGGGGTCTGTTTGAGTTTTGGAGAATCTGTGCAAAGTTCCGTTTATATGAAGGCTTCTGTAAGGGCTGCCAGAATAGATGTCAAGGGTTGCAAAAAAAGTTCTACACAACAAGACCCTGAAAAAGTAGGATTCGGGGCTTGGGGTTTAGGGCAATGTAGGGACCTGAACAGTTGGAATAGGGTTCCTTTAAGAGTTTTTGTTCAGAGTTCTATCCGGATTGCGAGAAGAGTTCTGTAAGATATCGGCCTTGATTAGAACAGGTATTCTGCTTTTGTTGTGGGTCGCAAATATAAACCGTAAGCCTCTAAAGCCAACCTGTAGACCGAGACCCTGCGAAAGAGCCGGCAAGTAGAGCCACAGGTAGAATTGCGAACCACCTTCCCGAGCGTCTTCTGCTCCCGCCTGCCGCCTTTAAAGCTTTGGCATTTGGGGGATTTAGGGTTTAAGATGGTTAGTACTATGTAGGCATATGGTACAATTGATTGACTTGGAAATAACTCCAACTATACTTACCGTATGTATAAATAACCAGTTTACAACATCAATAATTACTTCGGTTGGGGGGTATAAGCCAGTATAACGTTAGTCCTATGTCTAGCCTCATAGAATAATTAAGTCTAAGTCCGAAACCCTCCATCCTGAGTTACCAGGTCTCATGGGCGTTTCCGAAAATTCGGGGTACCGGTACTTTATCTTTGTTTTGGAGTCCTTACGATTAGGATCCTACTTTTCAGGGTCCTATGTTAGGGCACCCCTTTCTCGGACCCCCCCCCCATGACCCTTTAAGCGAGTGTCTGCACTGCCGACTCCAGGAGGAAGCGCGCCTGCTTGCGGATGCTGCCGCACTCCTGCATGGAGGGGGGCCTTTCTCAAAGGGGAAAAGGAGGGACCCTTCATGGGGACCCCTACCCTATAATGGGCTATATAATGCATATATAAAAACTATATTAAGGGTATATACCTAGGCGTCCTTATTAAGGGTCCCTCCTTTGACCCTTGGACTTTCTACATGCTTAGGGTTTAAGGCTATGGGGGTTTAAGAATCCGAAATGGTGTTTAAAACTTCCTAAGGTCTACGATTCTTAGTGCTTTGAGGGCGCTTTCCAAACTCGCCACCTTCTAGGGAACCTGTCCAGGGTTTACTATAGGGTGATACTGGGTCGTAGGGGTGCGGTTTAGGGTTTAGGGTATTTATAGGGTTCAAGGGTACCATCATATTTTCAAACATCCAGGGGTTTCGGGTTCAGGTCTTCCAAGCCTCCTAAACCCCTCAAACTCAAACCATATAAGCCCGGTAACCCCCACGGACCTAAGCCGTGCAGGTCCTAGGATTCTTGCCCAGTTGACTCCAGGAGTCAAGCCCTCTAATTACCCCTAAACCCTAAACCCTGCAGTCGTGGGTAAATTGTGGCTTTCCGAGCAGCTGTTGGAAATCCCAAAATGCACATGCTCAGCTCTCACTCGCTCCTCTGCCTGCAGGAACAGCTCCTCCACTACGGATTCTTCGCTGCAATCCTTCATGCGATGTGTCACATCCGTCAAAGCCGACCTGAGGTCCCTTTGAGCCTTCTTTTGTTTTGCGACAAGCTTGTCTCCAAGTGTGCGGAGCACGCTCCGCAGAGCAAACCCTGCAAGTTCTTGCCGGCTAGGCTCAGCTGCAAAGACCGCATCCTTAGAGTCTGTTCTTGCAAGCTACATCCAGATTTTAAGCCTCAAGTGCCAAACAATGTATTTGCACTCAGGAGGTGACATTCTCCTGGGACTCTTCTTCGTATGGTGCCGACACTTCCGCTTCTGCATCCTGGCTGTATCGCGGACGCAAAGTTGACGAGAAGCAAGCGAAAGGGAAATATCCGAGGCCCTTGCGCGGTCAGTCCCACGCCCTAAACCCCAAAATTCCGAACCATGACACAGCGGCCGCCTCAGTCTGCTCCGGCTCCAGAGGCACAGCTGAAATCTGGGTGGGGCTCAGGATCCTGGGTCTAGGGTTTAGGGTTTGGGGGGTTTTGAGTTTAGGGTTTGGGGGTTTTGGGGCTTTGGGTTTGGGGGGTTTAGGGTTTGGGGGGTTTGGGTTTAGGGTTTGGGGGTTTAGGGCCGTCAACCCTTATAAACCCTAGACCTATCTAGGTACTCTAGACCCTACACACTGCAGACTCAAACTGAAACACCCCAAGCCCTCAACCCTATTCGCCCAAGGACATAAGGAGCCTGTCTACACTGAACTGAAAACCCCTAACACCCCTAAAGACCAACAACTTGAAGCCCCAAAAACGCCTGAAGAGCCAACAAAAACTACAACCCTCTCTAAAGACCCAAAACCTTAACCCCCAAAAAAAAAACAAAACACACACACACACACAAAACACCTTAAACAACCTAAAACACCATAACAAATCCTAAAACAACCCTTTAAAGACCCAAAAATTTAGCACTCCTAAAAACACGAAAAATAACCATAAAAAAGGCCCTTAAACACCCAAGGGAGCCGGCGCCTTCAGTCCGAATCGGAGGCCCTGCGAAATCAAAGCCACGGCCAGCGGGTCGTGGTCTCCTCTGCCCAGGGTCCGAATAAAAAATCGCCCTTGGTTTAGGCTTTAGGGTTCAGGGTTCAGGGGTTTAGGGTTCAGGGCATAGGGGTTAAGGGGTTGGAAACAACGATGCTGCGATCTGGTGATGTCTTTAGGGGTATCAAGAGCTCCTTTAAAGGGTTCTATATAAGTGTACCAGGAGGGGTTAGGTTTCACGATATAGGCCAGGGTTGAGGGTGCCGGGTTTTGGGTTTGAGGTTTGGGGCCTTTTGGCGTTCAAGGGGGGGGGGGGGGGGGGGGGGGGGGGGGGGGGTGAGGTTTTGGGGTTGCGGGTGAAGGCGCATTATAGATGCCTCAGTATGTAGCAGCCGTACTATTATAATGCTCCGTTTATTGTATTCTCTAAAACAGCACCCGAAGCGTGTTCGATTTCTGCAGGTTTCTTTCTGATCAAGCTTCGGGGTTAATCTTAGACAACCTAAATTGGGTTGCTCGTTGCTCTTTGAAGGCCAAAGGTTAAGAAACCTCTTATACAAGGGCTTTGATGGGTGGTTGTCAAAATTATGGTCCCTTTTACCCTAAATATTAGGTGCCGTATTATATTAGGGACCCAAAAGCGAACATAATTTTGACAACCACCCTGATGAACAAAGATCTCCAAGACTACATAGGAAATACACCAAGGTAGCATTAGACGCACCCTGAAAACAGCTATGACCACCCATTGGTTCTCCCTAAACCCTAACCCCTAGCCCCTAAACCCGTAAACTCTACACCCTAGGCCCTAAACCCACACACTAATGTTAGAATAGGGTCTTGGGGGTTCCTTACTACATTGTTGCACCCTAAACCTCCAGGCCCTGCAGCTGCAGCCGGCCTTGCAAGGAGCTGAGCTTCCAGTGGTCCACTAAAAGCCCGGCGAAGGCAGTTGCCAAGTTCAGCGCCTGCAGCGCGGAATCGACTGAGGGCTGATAAGGGTTCTATGGGGGCAGAAAGTGTCTAGGGTATGCGGCCGTGGGATGTCTAATGCTCAGAATCATCGTTACATCATTCCCATTGGTGAACTCCTGTGGTGTCTCTTTGCAGAAACCCTTGACCCTAACCCTCCTAACTCTTAAACCCTTTTGTAACTCGACATCCACGACCCATCCGGATGTTTTGTGTCTGGGGATCTTTTGTGTGTCGGCCCGTATGGTCCCTCGGTTCAGGAAATGTTATTGCAAAGCTGTTGAAGAAGGGTTTAAGGTTTGGGGTTTGGGTTCTAGGGTGTTCCCCAAGTTCACAATGGCCAGCCCCAACCCCTCCCCTCCCTTCCTAACAAAAAACACTAAAGTGGTTTCGAATTTCTGGTTGCTTGGTGCAGCGAATCGAGAGGTGTATCTGCTGTGAAGAAATTCGAACCAGTAGAAAGGTACGTGCCAAACCATGAATCCTAAATACTGGAAGTCCCAAGCACGAATCTAGAATTCTCAGCCATGGGAATATATTACTATTGACACGAGTTGAAAACAGCCCCCGTTCCTTCACTAGGACTAGGAACATAGTCGGGCTCCTCATAACCTCGCCTTTTCTATGTGGCTTTACTGCTCAGGGTTACTGAGACTTGAGTATAGGCCTTATAAACCCTGTACCCTTATAGAACCCCCATAGATCCCTTTAAAAGGGCCCTTGAAGGAACCCTTACAACTACCCACCTTGAATAATTTCGAGCCTCTCGGGTGCAGGCGGTGGCATTGCCGTGCCCAGAATTTCCTCGCACGTCGAGCATTGAGCTTATGAAGATGGAGGAGGTGTGTTCACGCTGCTGCAGATGATGATGGTGGTGGCGATGAAGCTGATGACGAAGCTCATGATGGTATCGGTGTTGGTGAAGATGGTGACGAACACGTCGGCGACAGTGCTGAGCGGGCATCTGTGTATGTTATATACATATGTATACAGATTCATGAAGATAAAGATGAATGCCGAAGAAGAGGGCGCTGATCTTGGTGATGCTGATGCTGCTGATGATGATGATGATGGTTATGGTGATGGGGATGATGACGATCCTGGTAATGCTGGTGATAGTTTAATGATGCTGCTGATGATGATGGTGATGATGATGATGATGATGAAGACGATCCTGGTGGCGATGAGATGATGATGATGGTGAGGATGTGGATGAGGATGGTGACAGCAGCAACAACAGCATAGAATATAGAGAAGGATGCCAGAGACCGCCACAACTTGACGACAGCACCCAACACCACCTCCTGCTTAAGGGGCCTCGGGCTCAAAAGGGTTTCGGAGTCTAGGGGTTAAGTTTAGGAGTTAAGGGTTTAGGAGTTTAGGGGTTGGCAGGGTTTAGGGTTTAGGAGTTTAGGGTTTAGGGTTTAGGGTTTAAGGAGTTTAGGGGTAACCCGAAACATAAGAACTCCGCCAATCCTTCGTCTGTCCCAGGTCGGAAGAGGCCGGAGACCATCTCGGAGATGTGGCTCGCCGAGACCTCCCATGAATGGAGTTTAGGGTTTAGGGTTTAGGGGTTTAGGGGGCTTAGGGTTTAGGGGGTTTAGGGGGTCTAGGGGAGTTTAGGGTTTAGGGGTTTCGGATGGTTTCGGGTTTAGGGGTTTAGGGTCGGTAGAATAGGGCTTTGGCTGCAGGGTGAAGAGGCTTTGGGAACATACTCTAAAGGTCTACAGCGTCCCGGTTTAGGGTTTATTGGTGTTCGGGATATAGGGACTGAAGATAAGTCAGAATTTCAGAATTCGTAAGGGCTTAGGTTTTAGCACCTAAGCCATTGGCGGTGCTGGTAAGGCCCAAGGCTTCCTAGCAGCTACCTTGCATGCGAAGTAACTCTTTCTTAGGGCGTATAGGGTCTTGGGGTTCAGGGCTCCGTACACCTGGTAAGTCAAAGGCTGTCACATGTAGCCCACCGTATAGTATGGCGGCCTAAAAAACTTGAATAGGGCTTTCGGGTCCGTGATGGTATAGTTCTGTCATTGGAGACATAAGGAACCTTCACGCATGTTTAGAGAGCCAAACAAGCAAGACACCACCATGCTGTTTCTGGACTACCGCCCCTTGCGGCAGCTTTACATTAAACCCGTGAGCCCTCAACGGGTATCCTACAAACCCTTAAGCCCAAAACCCAAAAGCCCAAATGATCTCTACAGAAAGACAAACCCTCAACCCTCAACCTCTCGAACTGGTGAACCACAGAACCCCGGACACGTGGTGCCTCCGCTGGGCTCACCGCAACTAGAGCCGGGAGGAGCCTCGGATGATCCTAGTCGCAGTAGGCACTAAGAGTGGAAGCTTACCCAGTGCCCCCTAATTCAGGAATATACCTCAAGTTAAAACGAGCATGATGAGTACACTTGCTTCTCAGATACATTCCAAAAGTTATAATGGGTCGACAAAACAGATGTTCGGCTCTCAGAAACCTCTACTCTAGATATTGCCCCTGGGACTTTTCTAGTATACCCACTGTTGTTCGGCAGTCCGCCAATGTCGGAACTTGTCCCGAATCGGATCCTCGTGGAGTGGCTTTGTCATAAATGCTTCTGCAGCATCTGCAGGTTCATGCGCTCGGGTTGCAGGGAGCTTTTAGCTCGAATTGGCCTGCATTTCTTGGGTGTGAGTCTGTGGAATGCCAAACGAGGTGTTCAAAAGCCAATGCACAAGACCGCGCCTGTTGGCCACAAAGACTTCCCCTTCTTTGGCCAGTTCCCGCTAGTCAAAAAGCCTGACCCTGTCGGAGACAAACTTAAAAGTGATTCGGCGTCATCGCACGGATCCATCTACATATCCAGCAGGCTTGAAACGAACGCAAGCCGTAAACCTTGAACCCAAAAACCCTGAACGCCAACACCCCCAATCCCACACCCTAAACCCTAAACCCTAAACCCTAAACCCCAATCCCACAGACGGGCAGCTGCTGCACGCAAACGCGTCTCTCCGCGGAGTCATGGTCAAGCCTGCAGGGCAGGGCACGGACCCGTAAAGCAGCCCTTCAAAGGAACCCTTCTTGGAGGGTCGGGGGACTTAGTAACTGGTTATTTTAGGGACTTATAAGTACCATAACCCCAATTAGGGTCCCTTTTAGGGTACTCTAAGTCCCCCGACCCTCCAAGTTGAAATGTGACCCTCGTCAAGGCCGAAGCAGATGCAACATGAGATTAACTTCAAACCTAAGAATCGCCCTCATGAATGTAACTGCCTAGAGCACCGAACGGATGGGGTAGCCCAAACCCCAAGGGTCCAAAGGACTCAATAATAAGGTACTTGGGTTTAGGATAGTAGTTGTGTAGGTTAGGTTTTTGGAGAGTATAATTGGGTACTTGGACCCTTTTTGGAAATACCTGCCGAAGAGAACTCAGTCAAATCCCCTGGAGGCCTGGCGCTCTGTGAACCACCCATGAGTTGATCCGAACATGCGAGCCACCCTAAACCCTAAACTAATACTGAGGAGCTGCCTTTCAATCATGGTGGGATTATACAAAACCCCAAAAGCAAGGTTACCTACTCAGCTAGGTACTAAGTAAACTCTGAGCCCGAAACTTGGTCAATCCTAACCACTATGGGCTATTCAACCCTAAAGATCCCCTATTGGGACCCTAGTAAGGGTAGATTAAGGTACCCTTAAGGTCTAATAGCCCATAGTGGAAACCCCAAACCTTAAATCCTGAACCTGGAAGCCTCAATTCCAAACCCCTGAACTCTAAGCCTAAACCCTAGACCCTAAACCCCTAACCTCTAAACCCTAAACCCTAACCCCCAACCCCCTAAACCCCCAAACCCCTAAACCCTAAACCCTAACCCCCAACCCCCTAAACCCCCAAACCCCTAAACCCTAAACCCTAACCCTAAGCCTAAAAACCTTGTCTGGCCACCGAGGCCCAGGCATGGCATGACGGGTGACGCTCCACACGTCGGCACCTCTTGGCCAGTTCCCGAAAATGGGAGACCAAATTGTGGGATCCTTATTATGATAAAGATTTTCGGCGTTTAGAGTTTCTAGTTTGGGGGTTTAGGGTTTAGGCCTTAGAAGGGAGTTTCCGAAAATTAGGGGTACCTTATTTGGGGGGTCCTTGTAACAGGGTTCCTACTATTTAGGGTACCAAATCAGGGTCCCCTATTTTCTGAAACTCCGTTTTGTCGATGGCGACAGCTTAAGGTTTAGGGAGTTGGCCTTGGGTACTGGGGTTTAGGGTTCAAGGGTTTAGGGTCTAGGCTAGCGGCTGTTGGGTTTTGGGTCGATTGTGCGCAGCCCTCGTACCTACACGAAGCGATCACCCCAAGCCCCGAACATTCCCGAACCCTAACTAGCCCACCGAAATCCGGCTACCAGTGTAACCTGGGAATTAAGACTAACATCGCCTCTTGAGCAAATAACTGTCTAGAAGCTCATACCCTACCCCTCTCTTGGCGTACCTAGTTTTATGGCTAGGATCTGCTATGCAGAAAAGCAGCTACCCTGAAAAGGGTAGGGTATGAGCATCTAGGTAAACCCTCATAGCAATCATTCAGGCCCAAACCCGTGCAAAACCCAGGCAGCAAAAGTTGAGTCTTTTGGGCCACAGGTAGAAGAACCCTACACCCTCAAGACTCTAAACCCTTGGCCCATAAGACCCATGAGCCCTATAGTATAGGACCCCCCCCAATAATATACCCTAAACCCTAAACCCTAAACCCCTAAACCCGAAACCCTAAACAACAAAAGCCCAAACCCGGCTACCCACTGGGCTGGCGCACAGAGCTCGACGGCTGGTGATCTTTCGAGGATGGCAGCAGCACCGGTGGCGAAAGCTCGAAGTGCCTGCACACAGTCTTAGGCGGTGAGTGCCCGAGGCTAGGTAGGTTTTGTTAAGCTCCAACAGGTTAACGGTTACCTACTCAGCTTCTAAGTATGCGGTTAAGTGTTGCAAGGGTTTCAACATTTAAGGACTGTCAGTGGATTATAATTATAGTGTTCGGGCCACTTCTTTTCTTGTTGCGTTGATCATCTGACAGCACCAAGGTCCTTCAGGACCACTCTTTTGGCTCTACGCACACTTCCATATCGATTGGGGTTGGGGATAAGCTTTCAATCATATAGTCAATACAGTCTGCCCAACATACCTCATGTTGCCGTGTATGTGTGTGTATATGTATAAAAACTATGTATGTATCTACAAATACACAAATACATATGCTTGTATTTACATGCGCACATAGCACATAGACATAAACAGAAAACTAGGCATTCATACAAAACACACAATAAAACCTTCCGAACCTGTATAAGCACACGGACCCTTACAGTTACAGGGTCTGCAACTCCCATTGAATCTGCCTCCGTGCGGTCGAGAGCTTCGGCCTCTTCGAAAGATCGTTCCTGGGCATCTCGCGGATTCGGAAAAGTCAAAAACATGTAAACAACATCTTAAATACCTGACAAACATCGATCCTGCTCCTCCTCCTCATCATCATCACACCGCAGTCGTGTTCATGTGAGACGAACACAACGTGGCGCAGCACCACTTCTGGATACTGACCGACAAAGGTCACAAGCTTGATTCAGATCGATCATGCTATACTCAATACCCTCTGGGGAAACAGCTCGTGTTGGGGCTTTCGGCTTATCTGACTTTGCATTCGGGTCTACTGGTAAGGCTTTGGACCGTTTCTTCAGGGCTTCTTGTATCGAGGCTACGGACGACGCCCTTGCAGTGACGCTAAAAGGAGAGGGGACAGAATCCATAAACCCCTTAGGCCCTAAACCCTCATCCGGAACCGAAGATATCCCCCATGGACTCTTGCGATCAGCAGAGGGGTCCCGAATCTCAAGACCTGAGTTTCTTAGGTAGTTACGGTTCAGGGTTCTGGGTTTAGAGTTTAAGGGGCTCAGGGTTTGGGGTGTAAGCTTAAAGGGGTCAGAACTTGCAGAGCTTTGGGTGTTGAAGGGACGTCCACCTTGGAGACTCGGCTCTCTGACACCCGAAGCGTTGCTTCCTTGTGCCTCAGATCCGAAACCCAAAGCCACGCCACGGAAGCATCCCATGTGCTACCTTAACCCCCAACAAGCTACCTTTCTAAGGACTTCTATGAGCAAATCATAATATGGAACCTAGGGTTCAGGGCTGCTCTACCGAGTCCAATTCCTGTCAGTAAAGAGACCACAACCCCAAAACCCTGAAGCGTTAGTCCCAAACACTTCTGCGCCGGCTTGTACATGCCCGCCTGGATCTCAGAGCCGCTGCACAAGTCTGCACAGTAACCCTAAGCATCTGAAACATCTGAATCTCGGAGGAGCCTGTCGAGAAAAACAGAAATGAATCCCAAGACTCGACAGATGTGATCATGCAAGCGGCCCAGCCATCGTCTAAGAGATACACATTATAAGAACCCTTTATCATAAACCCTAAACCCTCAACCCTATAGCTCCCTTAAAGGAACCCCTTACAGTACTCTTGAAAGGAACCCTAAACCCTATCCAATCCCTGTCAAAAGGCCAAAGACCGCTGGCCAAGGGATGAAAGCCAGGCACGTGCCGAGGCCTCTGACAGAAGCCTGGCAACAACCTGCACCAGCGAATAGAGGCTGAGGGTCAGGGTTTAGGGTTTGGGAGGGTTTAGGGTTTAGGGGTTTAGGCTTGTCTTTCTGGGGGAGGGGGGGGTTGTTAGGGTTAGGGTTTACAGGTTTGGGGGTTCAGGGCTTCAGGGTTTAAGGAGCACGCCTCTTTTTAAATATATCAAAGTTACTCTAACACTCTTTGCAACAATCATGACCGTCGTCCCCTAAACCCTCAACCCGAAAGATCCCTAAAGGAGCCTCTGTAATACCCTTTAAAGGAACCCTACCTAAACCCTAGGCCTTGTCCAATTCCTGTCAAAAAGGCGAAAGTCGGGCTGACCGGCCTGCCCTAGCCTTCGGGACACCAGAGGGCCAGCTGTGGCCAGGACTTTGGGCGCGCAGTCAAGAAGCTGCCTCTCAAAGGCTCCAGGTACCCTTATAGTAAATACTTAAGCCCCAAAGTAGTCCCTAGATAGGTACTTTAAGGCCTAAGTATCTACTATAAGGGTACATGGAGCCTTAGGGCCTGGGGCAACTGGCAAAGGAGCTCTCAAGGAACCCAAGGGCTTTTTCTTACGTCCGGGCTTTTGCTATCCTTGTCTTGAAAATACAGGGAAAGCTTTGGGAAGAAGTAATGAGTAATGGGCTCCGGCAGCGATACAGAAAAAACTCAAGGCAATTGGACTTCCTGTTGTTCCTGGCCTTGCACTTCATAAAATGAAGAAGACAAGGGATACCCTTCCCATCAAGTCCTTATCCTCCGGATCCCAAACCACTGTTTATATATACATATATATATATACACATACATCTAGATAGTTTTTGACTTTTATATTTGTTTGTTTATTTACTATATTATACTATTATATTATATTGAATTATGTATCCATTACAGACACACACACACACTCACTTGCTTATGCGGCCCTTGCCAAGCTTCTGAAACTGGCGCGCCGCAGATGACCCCCGACACATCCCCACAGCGCTTCGCAATCGTTGCCATGCGGCTGGCGCCAGGCCGCGCCCTCCTTCAACGACTCTGCCGACGTTGCCTCGGCGAAGTTTAGGCGTTTGGGCGTGAGGGTTTTCATTCATGGCAGCGGTTTAAAGACTCTGGGGGTTTGGGGTTGAGAGGTCTTGGAGCCTTATGGTCGAACCGGTTTAAGGGCTTTTGGGGTTTACGGCTTCGTGCGCTGCCCACAACGAATCCGTCAAAGGTTTTTATGGACTACTCTCCAAACGAGGTGCTTGTGACCCGTATGTTTTGGGCTGGTGTTTGAAGACCTCAAGGCGTACACGGTTTGTTACAGTCCTGCCCCGTGACGTAGAGCTTAGAAGACAGAGGCGAAGCGTGGCCAGAGTTTGGTGGCTTGGTGATGGTGGTCGTTGAGCAGCAGCAAGTTGGTGGCAGATGGCGCAGGCCTTGTGACGGCCCAGTGCTGCATTCCATTTTAGTGCATGATTGCATTGTGGGCACACGGAGGGGTCCGGCTCGTCCTCCTCCGCTGTCGCTTCCTCCATGTTCCCGAGCCAAAAAGGGCTTCCCGACTCTACTGGGCAGCAGGTGCTCCTTGTGCGAAGTCACGCCAAATCTTCGCTCCAAGATCCTAGCACTGATCGCGCCTCGAAGAAGCCCGAAAGCCTGTGGCTTAGACGTAAACCCCTTATCCACAACCCTAAACCCTAAACCCTAACTTATCCATAACCCTAAACCCTAAACCCTAACTTATCCACAGCCCTAAACCCTAAAATCAGGAAGCCCGAAGCCTCCAGACATTGCAGCCTTGTATCCTCCGACGTAGCACATTGTAACCACCTAGACCTAGACCGCCCCCCCCCCACCAAAAGTAGGTAAAATCATGGCCCCAAACCTATAAAAGGCTATCTTTTTACATACTTTTGGGGAGGTAGGATGAACCCTCTTAGGGGTTCAAGCCGGATCACGAATTCACGAAGTTACCCAACCCTCCAAACTCCAAACTCCAGAGTGCTGCGCTTAAGGTTTAGGGTTTTGCTGGGTGTAGGGCCCAGGGAAGAAGGCTTAGGGCTTTCCTCTGTGATCCCGATGATGGCCGGGTAAGACCTTCAACCTCGCAGAGCTTGGCTTGCAGGCGTTGAGGTCTTTAGAGTTTAGGGCTTCGCATCCGTAACTTAAAAGAGGAGTTTACATTCTGATGTGAACCCCACAGTCAAGGAGAAAGTCCAAACCTCAAAGCCCACTGCTGGGGGGTCTCGGTAGTCCGAAGTCCCAAAACTCCAATCCCGAAGAGCCTCAGAATTGAGCCCCAAAGTCATCCAAGTGGCAAAATCCAGCAGAGTGACCTGTCTGGCAATTGAAGGGGTTAGGTTTTAGGGTTTAGGGTTTGGGATTAGGTTTTGGGTTTAAATTAGGGTTTGGCATTAGGGTTTAGGGTTTAGAATCTAGAATGTTTAGGGGCTTGCCAGAACGACATTGACATGTCGACAAGAAACTCATCAGACGCTAAACCCATGAACCTTCTAACTTATTTCATAGTGACTTAAGGAACAGGTCCAAAAAGCATGTCATTCAAGCATGGCACTCCCGAACCCTAAATCTTAGTCAAACTCAGATCCTTGACGAAGTCCGCAGCTCACCACCACAACGTGAAGCCGACACCAACAGTTCCATACGGGCCATGTTTGCCTGGTCGGCGACTGAAACGCTGGCTTGGCAGCGCACCAACTCTATAGTGCTTTGGCAAAACCATGCTCCGAAACCCTAAACCGTCTGACCCTAACCCCTAAAACAAAGTGGAGTGGCTTGATCTTCCGGAGCCTCCAGGGGCATCATGGCTACTGTGCAGGCTGGCTCCGTGGTATCTATCCTCGCTTGCTGTCTGAAGCCTTTTCAGACAAACTTAAGTCCCAAATTGCCAACCCTAAACCCAAACCCTGAACCGTAGACCCTAAACCTGAAGCCAATCGGACGCCCAACTCCTAACCCCACCTTAAAACCCACCTTCAAGCCTCTTCAGCACTGAATTTCCTAAACCACCACTAAATCCTAAACCCTGAACCCTAACCCCTAAACCCTAGCACTTACACCCCAACCACTAGACCCTAAACCCATAAGCAAGCAAATGGGAATTTCCGGAAATGGGGGACTCAGTACCCTAAATAGTAGGATCCCTATTACAAGGACCCCCAAACAAGGTCCCCCTATTTTCGGAAACTCCCAAATCCCGACTTCCGGGGACCCACACCCGGGCCACAGCCGCAGCTCCATCCCCCAGGTTGCCGCCATCCCGGAAGCACCACCTGGGCGTTGCTTGTGATTGTTTATTTATTTATTGTTGTCGCTCCTTTTCTCTTGGGTGTAGGGTTTAGGGGTTTAGGGTTTAGGGGTTTAGGGATTGTCGCCCTAAGCCTTCAAAAACTGGTAATCATGGTATATATAGATGCTGTAGTGTAGGGTTTATCAGCGTCCGTGGGTTCGGGTTATGGCAAGTGTCTCTCTAGGCTGGAACATGGGGTGCTGTGTGTAAAGGGCGCAGCATATTCTGCTGTCATTAGTCATCCGCTTCGCCAAAGCTGTGGTATTCATGCTTAATCATGCTTATGCGGCCATTGCTTTCGTCTTTCATTATTCCCTTTGCTTGACCTTCGTTTGTCTTCTTGTCCATTGTCTTCATTCATTGTTTGTGTGCTTCATTTGAGCCATGGTTCTTGGTATGAGGCTTTGCGGCAAAGGGGGCTGTAAGTTTGAGCAAGCCTTCTGGGAACTGGGGGCTTGCGGTGTAGTTGGTAAGGAGTTTGACAGTTTACCGGCTCTGGCTTTAGGATGTTCTAGGTGTATAGGGTGTATACCTGGACCCCAAAAGTATGTAGAACTCTAGCCTTTTCATAGGTTTCGGGCCATTATTTTACCTACTTTTGGGGGGTCTAGGTAGGGCTTTATGAAGCTGGTATGGGCTCGTTGGCAGCTCAGGGTTTCACGACCTGGAAACCTAACATAGAATCCTAAACAGTATAGAGGTTGATTGTTCCAAGCACCCCAAATACGCACCCCTGTTTCGTAAAAATCCATGTTTCCCAGAATAATGCTGACAGTGGGCGGCTCAACGGCAAATCAAGCACACAGACACAGAGGGCTGGATGCGGCAAAGCAAGCGACAAACCTTCCCAGCACAGTGCTCCCAATCGACACAGCCAGATCAATACTTTATTCGGAAGCTTCGGTGGGGAGGGGTCTATGTCTCATAATTCGTTGCTGGTTGCAGGAGCTGTAACAAATTGTAGCAACTATTCGTGACGTTAGTAGGCTACGGCTCTTGGCCACAAAAGTTCAAATTGCTAACGACCTGCTGAAAAATGCCAAAGAGCTACAAAGACCAGCACGTAAAACTACGTCAAACCAGCTATGTATACCAAAACTCAACCTGTGGATCCAAAAACCTACCGTTTTAAGGATTAGACCCTCTAATTAAGGGGTCATAATCCACCATTTTGTAGGGTTTGGAGCTACAGGAACACCCTGCTTCAAGAAGGGGTACCCCCGAAATTTGCAAAAGGGATCCTGCTACTTAGGGTACCCGTAGTGATCTCCTATTCGTTTTTTGATGAAGGCTTAAAGAAAGGATTTTGAGTAGAATGTACTATAATAGAGTTAAATGCTATATAGTAGATTTAGCCATGCAAGTTTTCATCTGAAGCCTTGTACCAGGGTGCGTGACGACATGGCCAGTGAAGGAGGCATCTGGGCAAAGAAGGTGTTCGCTACTCGTATTACCCTAAGTGTGCATGTACTCATATTGCACATACTTTGCCTTCCTGCAGTTGCTATTTCGGAACTTTAGGGCCAAAGTATATACATCATGCTATATGAGTACGTGGACCCTTACAGTAGGGTGACCTTAGCACGACACCTGCGAGAGTGCACTTGTCGAGCATGTCTATGCTTATATGTGCTCTGTTCGGAGTCGGAGACATAACCCTGAACCCTAAACCCCAAACCCAAAATAGGGTAGCATGTTCAACCAAACCCGAAGGCTCCATGTATCTACAGAGTATATACTATAGGCCTTAAAAGTACCTAAATAAGTACCTCTTTAGGCCTAAGTATGTACCACACGGGTACATGGACCTTTAGGGAAAAGAGAGAATATCTTTTTCGAGCCTCATCTGACATGAAGTTTGTGTCTAGAGGTACGTCACGAATACTTTCACGATGCCATCATTACGATGTGACCTAGAACCTGTACCTGCTAAACATTAGACACACACACCAAACATCAAACAACAAGCCTAAACCCATGAAAGCCCCATGCCCTGCTACAATGTCCTGATAATTTATCCTAAACTCCTACACGGTCTTACCCGCTGCCAGAATCCGTCACTAGACCTCTGGGCTTTGCTCCAGGGATCGTAGGGCTCTTGATCCGGGTTCCCGTCAAGGACCATGATAGGGATCTATAGCAAATAGTCTGGGTCCCTTATTATGGTATCTTGCATTGAACCCCTGAACAAGAACCCATTGATGAGCCAATCTCTTCAATCCATCCACCACTAGGTTTCTGGTCTCTGAGGGCCTTGGGTGCCTAGCACTTTGTTGATGGTTTGTACAGCCAGGCGAGGCAACATTGGGGAATACAGTCTGTCTGGTCTAGTCTAGTATAGTGTAGTACATTACAGGTGAGGCATGCAGCCCGAAGCAACAGTACGGTAAGTTTATTCGCGGCACTATGTTCATTTCAGGCTTCAGAAACGAAGCAGCAGAGAGAGAGAGAGAGAGAGAGACAAAACGAGGGGAACATCATGTTTTCAGTCTTGATGATGTTCAAGCAGGCATCGGGAATACCGAGAGCACCGGAAAAAGTCACCGAATCAATCTAACTGGGGCTTGAAGTATCCAAACAACCTGCCTACTTAGGAGCGTATAATTCAGCAGTCTGACATCAGGTATCCGCTTCGGCTAACTTTCTGCATCCGCTCGTCAACATGTTACAGACATGCTATACAAGTCCATGACCAAGCCCTAAACCGATACAAGGGGGGGGCCCTAATCTCCTAACCCAAAGCGATATCTAACTGGACCTGTCCATCCCAGAGACTCCAATATCCCTTAATTAAGGAATGTTCCTTAAATCATGAAAGGGATCCTACTATAATTTAAGGAATATTCCTTAATTAAGGGACATTGGAGTCTCTGGGATGTCCCATGCTGGGACCCTGGCGCTTCGGTGCGTCCGCAAAACTCGAATCAAGAAGGGCCTCCACACAACAGGACGCTTCTGCAGCTTTAGGGCTGAACGAGTCGTAGCTACTTAGGTCCGCTTTAAGGTATTCGGGGTTTCGGGTTTAGGGGTTTAGGGTTTAGGGAGGTTTAGCCCTTGGATGCAAACTAAACCAAACTTTAAAGCTTCTGGCCGAGGCGCCGCGCGCCCGTCTGCAGGCAGAAGCAGCCGCAAAGCTTCCTGCTAAGATTGCACGTATGGGGGACCAAGACCTTAACCCCAATATGGGGCCTTCAAGAACATCAGAACAGAGTGTTGGGGATAATATAGTATACCTGGACCCTAAAGAACTTTCAGGGTTCCATACTATGATTTCCATGATATATATATATATATATATGTATATATATATATATATATATATAAGTCCTAGGTATACTTTACGATTATGTTCAGTTTAGGGACCGTCAGGGGCCCGAAATCAGAAAACATCTATTCCGAGACCCTACACCCTTGAAGAAAGATCCGCGTCTCCAGGTTCGGCTTGTCGGAGCTGAAACGGCTGCATGTAGGGGGTTCCTTCTTGTGATTATACTACTTGTATAACATATATACCACCAAGACCCTATTCTAACCCTTAATAGCCCCTGTACCCCTTAAACCCTAAACCCTAAAGCCTAAACCCCTAAACCCTAAACCCCTAAACCCCTAAACCCTTAAACCCGTAAACCCCTGAACCCCTAAACCCTAAACCTACTATTGGCTGGCTTTCACGAAAGCTCTTTCCGCTTCTGACTGCTAGGGCAGGGATCCTTCAAAGCTTATCTTGGGCTTATATGGGAGTTTCCGAAAATAGGGGATCGTAATATGGTACCTTAAATAGTAGGATCCTTGCTAGAAGGACGCCAAAATCAGGTAGCCTTAATTTTCGGAAGCTCCCATATAGTGTTTAGTGATTAGAATAGGGATTGGTGGTACACTGCAATATACTTATCACTCAAGGAACCCCGTAAGGCCCCATGACAAATCTTGGTAAGTATATCGGGGCCTATAGGCTCTGGGGCCTAGATGCACAGTAAATTGGCATCCCCCGCATGAACAAACATTTTGGGGTTTAGGGTTTAGGGGGTTTGGTCTTCGGTGCTGAATAGCTTAGCCCAGAAAAGGCATTATCTAAACCCCCAACAAGCTTAGAAGTTACCTACCCAGCTACTCTGTGGTCCTCTTTGTACCCCTACAGATAGCCAAAAGGAACCTTGTAGCACCCTGAACCCTAAAAAAGTTACCTACCCAGTTTCAAAATGTTCCAACCTCCAGCTTCTGGAGCCCACCGACCAGGGGCTGTAGTTTCAAAGCATAATCCTCTGCAGCCAGGGCTTTGGGCAATAGGCCCTAGCCCTAAACCCCAAACCGTGTAGGGTTTAGGGCTTTAGGGTCTTTGGTTTAGGATTTATAGGGTTTAGGGATTATAGGAACGAGGGGTTGAGGTTTTGGGGAATAGGGTGTGGGCGCTGTATCGTCCAAGGGTCCAGGGATTTCATGCCTACATCCGATGACTCCAAACAAGGATTTTGGTTGAGGTTTAAGGAATGTGCGGTTTACCGTTCGGGGTTGAGGGTGTCAGAGATTTAGCCAGGCGTGCAGGAGCACGGAAGTTAATACGCACCATAAGGGGGGGGGTAGGATGAAGTTTCCCGAAATAAAACACAGGATCACAAAAACTAGAGCACGTGTAAGACCAGCTGTGACATATCTTCTACACCTCACTTGACCTCTAGAACCTTCCAAAGCAAGGTACAACGCCCGAAACCTTAACTCTAAACTGATGAAGCATGTGCAGAGTCAGGTTAGATGCTCCACTTTAGACTTTGCGGCCGTGTCTCCTTTGCCCCAACCATCCCGCATCAGAAACTGTACTGTGAAGCTTAAGTACCTACTATGTGGGCACACATGGAGCCTTCGGGGGAGAGGCTACCAGACTTGATGACCAAAATCGAAAATTTCAGGCTCTATGGAACGGAAACGTAGCTGCGGTCGTAAGAGTTCGGACAAAGTCATGGGGCATTTGTTGTAACATCAATGTACTGGCACTAAGTGTTGAATATTCCACCTGTGTAGTATCCCAGCTTTTTCATTTGGTCACAGCCCCGCGCGTGACGCACGATGTCCCTTGACACTCTACGTTGACCCTGACCCCGAAACTTCCTAGCCTCAACCCTAAAGACCTAAACCCTATAACCTATACACTGAACCTCAACCCCAAAACCCTAAATCCTAAACCCTGAACCCTAACTCCTAAACCCTGAAACTAAAACCTAGATCTTAAACTTTAAATCCTGAGCCATATACATCCTAAGTCCGCGGTCCCTTGGCCCAAAGCAACCCCAACTTTTAAACCCGAAACTTGGCCCTAAACCCGTGCATGAAGGATCACGATACTTAGTAACTCAGGTTACAGGCAAGCAATCTGCAGGTATAAATGCTAATTAAATATATAACCCCAGACATACAGCAATTATTGAAACGCATCACCCTGATTTCCAAGTCACGTGATCCTTTAAGCATAGCTCCGAGCATCCTAATAACCCTACACCCTCACTCCCCGATAGCCCTCACGACTCAACCACCCCCTGAACCATTACCCGGACCCTAAGAGTATGTAGAATATTGGCCTGTTATAGGGTTTGGGCCATTACTTTACCTACGTTGGGGGGGTCTAGGTAAGCTCTAAAAGCCAAAGAAATCACAGGGTGCGGCCTCGAAAGATTGCAAGGCTTTCTCCAGGTTTCCGCTGCCCGAAGCCATTGCTTTCAAAGGCTCTTGAAATTGTTCATTGAGGGTCCTGTCTACCCTAAACCCCTAAACCCTAAACCCTAAACCCCTAAACCCTAAACCCTATAAAGGGCATCATACCACTGTAGAAAGGGGGTCAGAGGGGAGGGCTGAAGGAGTCTGGAGCTCAGAGGATTCCGGGTTGAGGGTATACTTTGTAGGAATTAGGGTTAGGTCTTAGAGTCTAGGCCGTTGCTCGCCAGGTTATGAGTCTTAGTGCTTTCGGCCATGTTTGTCAAGGCTGGTGAGGCTGAAAGCTCCTTGAGGGTTTGCGGTTCATGCTGGCGATACGGGGTCTTGAAGTGGAGGATTCGGAGAAGTTGCCTGCTGTTGGTGGTAAGCAGGATCAACCGCAATGAGTTGCTTGTCAGCCGAGCCTTGAGCAAATGCATCGTGTAAGCTGTGCTGGACTTCAACTTCTCTATCAAAACTGGGCTCAGCCACACGATCTAATTAACCTTTTCAACTATAGTAGCACTATACAAACCCCAAAAGGTGAGAGGTTACCTACTCAGGTACTAAGTCGCTACGGTCAGTCAATTTCAGCCCGACAAGGAAGATATAAAGCGAGGCAGACTTTGAACCTCATGGCCTTCAGCCAAAAGCCAAAAAAAAGAGCCAGTGGACGCCGCTGGGGTGTCTCTGAACCTCTCCACCCGAAAAGCCTCACCTGAGCACTGAACACTCAACTCCTGCCTAGGACTTGAAAAGCTCCGAGATACAGCAACTTCATACAGCTCTCAAATATAGCTAATCTGACATTGACCCCAACTAAATGGCCTAGATAACTAGACTAGGTCTTCGCTAACCTAAGAAGTAATTAGTATAACGAGTTGTTCCTCGAAAGCCTTCATAAAACCGTTAAGGTGTCCTAAAAACCCTTCAAACATTCCTTTAAAGAGTCGCATGACAAACTGTTCCGGCAAACCCCTCATAAAGCCATGTAAACCCCTTCAACCCTTTTATAAACCATTGCCATCCTAAAAAGAATCGCCACTCCTATAAGACCTGGACAAGACCATAAACACCGTCCCGAACCTTTTAAGCCATCCCAGGAAAGGAATCTTATTACCCGGAGCATGTTTCGCTCCATCGGAACTCACAGATGCCTCGGCTAGCGACCTTTGGCCGCAGTGAGACGGAAGCTCCCGTCCGTAAGCAGGACCGGTAAGGGTCCTTTGTGAAAGGGCCTTCTGCGGCCCGTGAGGGTGCAAGACCCATAGTGACCCTCCTGCCTTAAGGTCTCAAGATGATTGGTTTAAGGTTCAAGGATTACGTAGGGGCCCATGCAGATGAGGATTGCCGATGAGTCGTCGCCCAACCGCTACAAGAACCATTCCCATTCTGGGAACACCCTATCCATATGTAAACCAGAATCTTCAGCAAAGTGTGAACTTCCGACCAACCACCTATTTCTTACAACATGTATTGAGGTTCAATGAGATCTGTCTTCCCATTAAGGGGTTTGCTTCCGAGCATGCGATCCGGGATCTTTATTTATGTTTCTCTGAGTGTGATATGTCTGCAAATATGATTTGTCTCATGAGTATTTGATGTGGTCGAGCGGGAACGGTCACCCAATGGAAGAGCGATGGCTGAGCGGGAAAAGCTTGCGTAACCCTAGACTTGAAACTAGATTTGAGGGTCCTTCGGGCCCTAAAAACCTAAGCTCCTAAACCCTAAACCACTACCTAGACCCTCAAAAGTAGGTAAAGTACTGACCCAAGACCTATAAAAGGCCATTATGCCACATACTTTTGGCGTCCAGGTAAACGCTAAACCCTCAACGTTTCGGATTTAAGACTTGCTACTGTGCCAGCACGGCCTTGAGGGTTGTCCTGGACCATGACTTTACGCTTGCACGGTTCCTTCAGGGCCCTTAAAAGGATGCTTTTGAGTGCCCCCCTCAAGAATTTAGGGCAATTCAGGGTCAATCTAGGCCAGCTGCGCGATCGTGCTGCTGCGGTTGGATCGCACACCCAGAAACCTCCTCCGGTTTACCCAGGGCTACGATCCAATGGGGCCCGGGGTTGTTCCAAGCCACGGCTGAGTAGTTCTTGGTGGCGTGAGGCGCTCCGCGACTTTGAGGATTTAGGGTTTAGGGTTTAGGGTTATTCAGTAGGGTTTCGGATTGTCGGGTGAAGTAACTCTTTATTGTTGTCCTGCTGTGCTGTTTAGATGAGGCTAGCCCATTACCGATACATGAAGAGGATGCCTACAACTGGGAGAGACCGATGTTGGAATGGATCTTCACAAGCGAATATCGGAATACAGGATGTGTTCAAGTTCAATGAGCTTTGTCTCTCTTGTTGGGTCTTACTACCGATTTGACAACACTGATTCTTTATGCTTCTCCATGGCCTGCAATACACATAATATACATATGTGGCTCTTATGAAACCATCATGAACTCTATGGAGATTCGAGCAGGAACGGTCACTCAGTAGAATAACCGGGGTTCCTTTGTGAGGGTCCTCTTCAGGGGTCTATGAGAGGTGGTTTAAAGCTGCCGGCTTGTATAGCTCACATACGGGTCTGATAATGGCTCTATGAAGATTTCGGGCTCAGGGCTCATCATGGGTTTAGGGTTTAGGGTTTAGGGTTTAGGGTTTAGGGGCTGGCACACATAGAGTTCTACAGAGCATCGGGCTCAGGCCAACAGCGCCTTTCAATAGGGCTCACATACCGGTCCTATGCAGGTCGTAGAAAGGGTTTTGGGGCGTCGGAAGGCTTGGTTTATCCATAGGCTCCATAGTACTTCCTTTTCGGGATTACCCTATAGGGTTCTAAATATGAACCTCAAAAAGGAACTACAAGTGACAATGGAGACCATGAGTAGCTTCAAGGTTTAGGCTTTTTCGGCATAAGCCCTAAACCCCAAAACCTAAAGTGGGGGCTGTAGTACCGGTTTAGGGTTTAGGGGCCGTAGGATGGGATTTATGCTGCCGCTTCTTTGCGAGCCCACGTGGTCCGGCCGCTCACTCTGCAGTTTGGGTGCATCGGGTTCCAGCGCCGGCCGTTGCCTCAGAGCTTCAGGGCCAAAAAAATAAAAAAAAAAAAAGGGTTTTGGAGCCCATAATTTTATTATATTATACTCAGGAAGCCCCCAACAGTATAGGCAATTACTAGGGGCTTGGGGCTTCACTATTGGGCTTCGCGGGTTCGGGTTTAGGGCTTGGAGCTCGAATATGGGCCATGGTTTAGAGCGCATGTACATGTAGAATGCAAGTCATGCCCATGCCGAGAGCCTGTCCGAGGCTCATGATAAACTCCGTGGAGTCCGAAGGCTTTAAAGGTTCCCTCCCCAGCTACTAAGGAGTTGTTCCCGCATGTAAGATCAAACCTCCTACTGGGCACCCCCCTGTAGCTTGAGCCGCAAACCCTATCAAACCACCCGAACCCAAAACCTCCTAATCCCTTGAACCCCTGAATTGTTAAACCCTACGCCCTAAACGCCACTCATCTGCATCATACCTGCAGGGTCATACCCACACGGCTTTTAGCGTACCAGCCTTTCGTTATACCGTTCCACTAAACTAGATATCCTAATGCCCCTCTATAGTGGAAGCCAGAAAGTTGGAACAACATTATCCTCATGCCCCTAAGGTGAAGTCGAGGGAATTCTAGCACTATCTATTCTAAATCCGTGTTCCAACTTTCTGAGGTTGAATAGATAAAGTATAATAAAGTCGAGCAGAGAAGCGCTTCACCGCCTCTCCGATGATGCTCGAATCTCGCTTCGCCTTCGCCGCGGTCCCGGCTTGTGGGTTTTAACGTGTGTTTATAGGGTTTCGCGGTAGTGTTTGTTTTGTGCACAGAGGCCCGCCCGCGACCACAATCAAGGTTTCGGGTTAGTTCTATTTGGGGGTTTCCGAAAATAGGGGGCCCTAATATAGTACCCTAAATAGTAGAATCCTTATTAAAAGGGCCCATAATAAGGTACTCCTATTTTCGGAAACTCACATGTCGGCTTTAGGGTTTCGCAGGGTTTCGGATCTGGGGATTGTAGGGTTTTGGGCTTCACTTCAACAATTCGAAGAAGCACCATCCCAAAATAGTGCCTGTCTCTCCTGTGGATTGAACTCAGACTCAAACCCTGAACACTGGACATCCCAAGAGAAGAGGATACTATAGGGTGGTGGGGCCTTAGAGTGTTAGAGCTTAGAGGTCCAGGGTTAATAGGGTGTTTCGGTGTTATCAGGGCGTGTAAGGTTTGGGGTTTCGGAAGTACAAACGCTTACGGAACGCGCAGATCGAACTGGGCGCGCCTGCTCAGGCAGGTAGCCCAGCGTCCAGGAATTTTGCCGGACAGCAGCAACCAAAAAGTCGGGATCAGCAAGAAGCCTCGGATGCAGACAGCCGAAGCCTCTTTGTGCACCAAGAAGCAAAATATACAGCCAATCTTATTGATAGTCCTCTGGACATCTCAAATTGCAGTTTGAACATAGTATCCTAAGAACACTAAGGTACCAAGAGCCTACCAAGTGGGCTGGCAGTGGGGGCCAGAAGTGGCGCTACTTCGGAATTTCAAAGTTAAACATACGCATAGCCTATAGTAGAAGCCAGAAAGTTGCAGCTTGGCCTCAGGCTAAACCCTAAACCCCAGAACCCCTAAGCCCCTAAATCCCTAAACCCTAAACCCCTAAACCCCTTAACCCCTAAACCCTACTTGTACTTTGCCTGAAGGGCCCGAGGATAATGATGTTCCAACTTTCTGGCTTCTACTACACACTATACGTACTTAGAAAACCCGCTGATGACCCGGAACCCCACATCATTCCGAAACTCTTGGCCCTATCCTTGTCTCTAGACCATAAAGCAATGTGTTTGGCGAGGGTAGAGCCCAGGAAACCTAAACCACAACCAATTTCATCTCACATTTTCTAAGCCCCGAACAAGATATTAAAAGATCCTCCAATCTTGAAGCCCGAACTCTATGAAAACAACAGCAGGGAACCCCTACATCACCCCTAAACCCGAAGCCACAAACCCTCTGCAAGGCCATAATCCAAGGGTAAAGGGAGGGACCCTTAATAAGGACCCCTAGGTATATACCCTTAATAGAGCCATTATATACCCATTATAAAACCCGTTTTTAGGTTAGGGGTCCCCACTAAGGGTCCCTCCTTTTCCCCCTAAACCCTAAACCCTCTACCCTTATAGAATCCCTATAGATCCCTTTAAAGGAAGCCTAAGAGCCCATAAAGGGCGACCCTTTCAAACATCGTTCAGACTTCGAGGAAGCCCTAGCAGGACCGGAGGCCCCGATACCCGAAGCCAGACTCATGGGTAGTTATAATAAGGGTTCCTTTAAGGGTTCCTTTAAGGGTTCCTTTAAGGGTTCTATAGGATTTAGGGTTTATGGGTAGTTATAATTGGGGTTATAAGTCCCTTAATAGGATCTATAACTATAGTTGCCCCACTTATAACTCCACTTCTAACTACCCATGAACCTCCAGGCACACTCAGACTCCAGGAAGTCGTATCTAAACCACGTAGGACCATTAAACCATTACATTCAAAGCAAACCCTAAAACCCCCCGGAATGCTGCACTAGAGACGCTGTTACCGCCTTAGGAACACCACACACCCTACGGTTGATGATATAAATCCTGCATGACCCATAATAAGGAATATACCATACTTCCCATAGTTTAGGGTCCTTAAGGTCATGCAGGATTTGTATCATCAACCGTATGAACAATCAACCCTGGAATCTAAACCCAATAAACCCAGTAACATAAGCCTTAAATTCTGAACCGACACCCTACTTCCGCCTTTTAAACTCCCAAATCCTCCACGTACCTTTATAGTAAGTACTTAAGCCTGAAAGGGGTCCCTATATAGGTACTTTAAGGCCTAAGTATATACTATATGGACACATGGCGCCGTATACCCTAAACCCTAAACCCTACCCTTATGATACCCTTAAGGGAACCCTTAAAGGAACCGCTATATGGGAGTTTCCGAAACTAGGGGTCCCTTATTTAGGGGTCCTTATAATAAGGATCCTACTATTTAGAGTACTATATTAGGGTCCCCTATTTTCGGAAACTCTAAACCCTAAACCCTTTATAGAAACCGTATGGATCCCTTAAAGAAACCCTTTAAAGGATCCCCCTACTTTTGGAAACCCCCCATATGGACACATGGAGCCGTAGGGACTCTGGGGATGCAAACGCCACAGCGGGCGCTGCCGGTCCCCCGGCCAAGAGCGCGCGCAGGACAAAAGCGCGGTCCTGGAGGCTGGGAGCAGGCGCTTTGAGGGTTTTATAGGTTTTTTTTTTTTGAACGCCTTTTTCCGTCCGCCAGTGCCGCTGCAGCTAAACATCCGTTTTATAGGGTTTTAGGGTTTAAGGTTTAGAGCTTTAGGGTTTTAGGGTTTAGAATTTTGAAATTTTAGGGTTTTGGGTTTGAACCAAACCCCCCAAAGTGGGTAACACAATGGCCCCAAACTTATAAAAGGCTAGTTTTACACATGGTTTTAAGGTTTAAGGTTGAGGCTTCACAGAGACTCGAAAGCCCTTCAACTAAGGAATGTACCTTACATTGTATTACCCTAGGGATCTAAGAGCTCATATATTATATAAGGCTTTTGGGTGCAAAGACCATACTATATAAGGCTTTTGGGCTATGTTGTTCCCCAGGGTTAGGGACCGTACTAGAACTTAAAGTATGTGCCTTTAAGCGATATTGGCAGGTCTGGGTTTAGGGTCTAGTGAAGCTGTTGAGGCGGGTGGCTCCCAGGTTTGGCTGAGGCTCTCGGCTTTCTTAATTGTCCAGTATCTCATAGTTGGGCAACTAAACCTTAGACTTTGATACCCTGAACCCTGAACCCTAAAACCAAAAAAACCCAAAACCCAAAACCCTAAAACCCTAAACCCTAAAACCCGGACTGCACAAGGATTACAGTACCCCCGACAAGCCACAAGCAGTTAGTCTGTCTGCTTGGGCCGACTCGCTGCGAAGATTCGGACTCTCTCTTCCACGCAAGCTGGTCGTAGACTCAGAACCCAACCCTAAACCCTAAACCTAAATCCCGAATCAAGCCTAAACTTCTAGACTGCAACCTTACCCCTGAACTCTATTCAGCTTCCCTGTCCAGTACCTTTCCGTGTGTAGTCCTGGGGTAACACCGGGTTTATTAAGGTGAACCAGCGGGATGATCAAGCAACCCAAAAAGGTAACAGCACGCGTGAGAGAAGCTCAACCCCAGCGGGAGGCATAATACAAGTACATGGTTAAAGGTTACCAGTACGTACTCTGCAGCTAGATCAGAACTGCCTCGCCTTTGTTTTGTATGTCAAATGTAAGACAACCTCAGTCTGAAGCAGCGTCCTCGTAGACGCTACAGTCCGGACGCACGACAGTCTTAAAGCCCAAACCCACACCCCTTAACTGCTGAAGCCCTAAATCCTATAAACTCCTGAAGCCCCAAAATGCCTAGAGACCTGAGTCTAAAGAGCAACTACCTTGCATGCAGGATTATTGGGCTGTTGGAGAAGAGTATTCTCCGAGGTTGCAGGGGCTTGGGTTGCACCGGCTTTCGTAAGGGTTGTCTGGGCTTGTGTTTATAAGCTTTCAAACAAGGTTTCAAAACTAACCCTCAAACATGCACGTCTTCAACATCAGCAACCATTTGGAGCGTGTAGGGTGGGTGAAGACTCCACAATCGTTAGCCCGGAACCTCTGCAACTCTCCGATGTCCTTTGGACGCCTTTTTTCTCACTTCCAAGACGCCAGCACAGCCATGAAGTTGTGCTCGATCCACCACATCAGCCAGGCAAAGACGACGGCGAAAACCAGAAAAACGACTGCGCCACTGAGGCTCCCCTGATAGGCCTTCGGATTCAGGGCTGTTCAAGGCATGGGGTCATGTACGAACCTGATTAAGGAACCCTGGCCCTTGTCCCCAAATGCAGTAGGCTTCACGCTATAAGGAACCGCCCCAAAAAAAAAACAGGGTTACGAAATCAGGTTCATTTACTATGGGATCAAGGGCTCAGGGTCGTAGGGTGTAGATTAGGGCCTTGCGTGCTGTTTCGGAACATGGTAAGTGCTGCTTGCTGATTGTCGTCTTTGGTTCGGCCACACTGCCCAAAACCCGAAACCCTAAAGCCGAAACCCTAAACGCTAAACCCTAAAAACTCAGCCATTTAAGATCTGTCTCCTAAGCTAAACAGCCAAAAGCACTCTTGCCCAAACCGTAAACGTCTAATACTACACTGCTTGCCAACTCCAACCCAAAAGACGGTTTAGGCTTTAGATGGCTTTAGGGTATGACAATCAATGGCCTCACTTGATCTCGGGTGAGGATCTAGGATTGTACACGTGTTTTGGGTTTACATCGATCCGGTAGGAATTTAGACTCGAGTGCTGCTATCGTTTGGGTTTGTTTTAGTCCTGCAACTGCAACTGCTGCTGCTGCTGCTACTACTACTACTACTGCTATTACTGCTACTGCTACTACTGCTACTACTGCTACTACTGCTACAACAACTACTGCTACTATTACTACTACTACTACTACTACTACTACTACTACTACTACTACTACTACTACTACTACTACTATTACTACTTACAATTAGCCCCCCCACCCCCCTACCGACTACCTGGCGACTAAACCCGTTATCATCATCATCATCATCATCATTGCTGGTATTGGGCTACAACATCACGAAAGTACTACAGGTACCATGCAAAATGGATGTGCTCTGCAAGAGTACAGCATCATGCAACCGCCCCCCCTTGAGATGTAACCTGGGCATGTATCCCCTCGCAGAAGTGTACAGGAACACAAGCAGCACAGGAGTCTTGTTTCCTACAGGCGCACAGCTGTAATCGTACTCTGCTAGAACCTTGAGCAACAGGCATGGATACGTGCAAATGATACGTGAAACAGACAGTCACCTTGACGTGTAACATCAGTTTTGCAACCAGGCACAAATTTACAAACACGTAGAACTGCAAGGCCGTGAAGTCGGCACTCAGCTTGCCTGTTGTGAAACTCAAGCGAATTGATCGCGGAGTAAGAAGAGCTACGAGACTGTGACTTACGAAAATTGAAAAATTCTCAGCCTCGAGACAGCGGATATCAGAACACGCACACACACGAAACGCAAACGGATCTTCGGTTCTAACTCAAAATTGAAAAGTTAGCCAACTGGATCCAGTTCCCTCTCCAGTAGGAAAGTGTACTGTAAAAGTTGTAGAGCATTCCCTTCAATAGGGAGTCTTCTGGTGATCCCACCTTCCCACGACTAGGGTTGGAAGATTTGACTGGAACCGAGGTACGGCTCTCGAGTCCACCAGGAAGAATCTTAAAGACAGTTCTACCCTTCCAAGGCTTAGAAACCTTGGCAGACGGATCTTCAGAAGTTTTCCAATCGTCGTTCTCTGTCTTGATCTCGTCCTTGGAGAACTCCATGATCGTCTCGCGGTTCGCGTCCAGGAACTCCACAGGAATCGGCGAAGTGGTGTCCTTTGGGGGCATACTTGATTTTCCTCATCTTCTTGTGACTTCGTGCAAGCTCCATCTTCGCTTCATCTATCACCCACTCATCATCCATAGCATAGGCATGTTCTTCGGGTATTTCTTCCCGAGAAAGAGTCTCCCTTGAACTGCTGATGGAAGCCAAGCTCATAGTGCGAGAAGTAGGGTGGTGCTCTGAGAGGCATCAGCGATCTGGGCATGAATCGCTCCTTCCATCCTTGTCCTTGCCTTTGCCTTATGCTTTCTTTCCTTTCTTGCCCTTGCCTTTGGCTGCGTAGGACTCCTTTGTGTTGTCCCAGGACCACTCATCCCAGAATGTGTCCTGCCATTGCCAATGGGCTTGCCAGGCGTCAGGATTCTGAGGCTGATCGTTTGCAAGGTTGGACTTGCCCTTCTTCCGCTTGAAGAAACGCTTTCCACCAGATCCTTTGCCACCTTTGCGCTTGCCTTTGAAGCCGTGCTTCATCTTTCGTCCTTGAAAACGACGCTGGAACCAAGAAAAGTTCTCATCGTCACAGATCCAGAATGCATCGAATGCATCTTCATCCGCTTCAAGGAAACCTTCGGCACCATCCTCTTCATCCTCGACCCAATATCCTTCACAATCATCCAGGTAGCCCTCGTCGATGACCAAGAAAGTCTTTCGACCACCATGACCAGAAGGTGCGAGGAGAGGATTGTCCACTGTAGCTTTTGTTGTGCAGAACACCTCCAGGTAGACCTTTCTGAGCTCAGCCAATCGATAGTCCGCCCAGTGGTCGATTCCTGTGTGCCATCAATGATGTCAGCACCTGCCGCTGATCCTGCGTTAGGTCGGACAGAGAGACGAAGATGAGGGCAACCAAATTGGCCGTAATGGGAATCGTTCTGGCATGTTGGTCACGAAGGCGTTCATTGGCTCTTTCCATTGCTTCTTCTGGAGTTATCGTCTGCTGTTCTTCGGCTGGGAGATTTGTGATAAAGGCTCTGACCTCTGCATTGGCAGGATCCGTGATTGGTATATAGGTGCCATTCCAGGCTTCCTGCATTCTCTGCATCGACAGCTGAAACCTGGCAATCCAACGAAGCATGTCTCCATGTCCACGGTGCATGTTCATGAACTGCTGGAAGCGGTAGAGGAAAACATTGGCCGCTCCTTTCACGAACAAAGGACGTAGAAAGCTCTCGAAGTATTTCACTCCGTTGGTGGGATCCTTCAGGCGATCTCTGTCAAGAAGCCTTTTGTGAATAACTGCTTCTCCTTCCAAACGGTTCCGCAATGCTGGTCCACGCTTGTCTGGGTCAAGCTCAGTGATGTCACACCAGTCGTCTATTGCATCTTCGTAGGCAAACCAGCTACTTCGTCCATCGTATGATGGCGGTACTTTTGTGGTCACCTGCTGAAGGGCAGATAGGCGATGTAGCTCATTGAGATGACGCTGATTTTTCACATAAGACTCCGTAGTTCTGAGAGAGGTATTCTTCATCTCTCTCTTAGTAATCTTCGGGCGCAGCAGAATAGCTAGCCATGGCTGTATCCTTGGAACGAGCCCCGGGAAAGAACTCTTCCGGTTATCTCCACCAAAGTGCAGTGTACCGGAGAAGCTCTCCGGTCACCTTCACCTGGGTGAAGCACACCGGGTATCCCGGGAGCTCCGCTACCACGTTGAGATGTAACCTGGGCGTGTATCCCCTCGCAGAAGCGTACAGGAACACAAGCAGCACAGGAGTCTCTTTTCCTATAGGCGCACAGCTGTAGTCGTACTCTGCTAGAACCTTGAACACAGGCATGGACACATGCAAATGATACGTGAAACAGACAGTCACGTGGATGTGTAACATCAGTGCTTCACCCCCCCCCCCAACAGCGGTGGTTCGCATTGGACTACGACATCACAAAAGTACTGTAAATACCGACGACAACTACTACAACAACTACCACTACTACTGTTACTGCTACTGCTACTGCTACTACTACTAATACTACTACTACTACTACTACTACTACTACCACTGCTGCTACTACTACTACTGCTGCTGCTGCTGCTACTACTACTACTACTACTACTACTATTACTACTGCTAGTAGCGCTACTACTACGACGACCACCGCCGCCGCTACCATAGCAGGATGCTGGTACCATTACTACTACGACTATTGCAACCTACAACAGCTACTACGGCCGTGCCCTGCAGCAGTGTCAACAGGTGTGTAACAAGCAAGACAACTGTTCAGAGCCGAGACAATACCAAAACTCAGCTACAGATCTCATAGTTCACCATGCTCGCGTCATTGCTCTAGCACTGAACTCAACCGAGCCTGGCGCCTCACTCCCCAACATAAGCACCGCAGCAGCCCCAACGAAAACGCGCCTGGACCCCACATTCTGAACCAGTTTCAGGTGTTCACTGTAGGCTGCCTGTCTCGCAGTCAGAACTATACAGGGATATGTACTAACTCACTGATCACCCGGACCTCTGCACTACCCCTGAAGACCCCGGAAGCCGAAAAAAAGAACGACATCATACTAGTACATGTATAAGAGGCCTTATCACATAAGCCTTTTTTAGAAACTTTTTCTACCAAAGAAGAATTCATAGAGGCCTAAACACATTGCCTTCAGGCTCCCTCCCCTAAACCCTAAACCCAGAGCTAAAACCCCCCAAACCCTAAAGCCTATACCTCTGACCCTAAAACCCCTGAAGCCCGAAATACCCTAACCATAAAACAGAAGCCCCGAAACCCTAATAAACCCTAAGGAGCCGCCTGCACGCAAAGATGATTCCCGAGACTGAGGAGTCCCACCACGAGGCAGTTCGCCAAAAGCGTCTGCAGGTGATCCTCTTTTGCGTGATTTATTTTATGGGGGGGGACCTCAATCATAAGTGCTTCTGTATTATTCAACACACATTCTCGTTTGAGTGATTGAGGGGTCCTTAATCACAAGAGTTTTGGCTGGATAAAGTTGAGGCAACAGGCAACACGGTTCTTTTCAGGCGGGCTTAAATCATCAGTGTTTCTGTAATAAGTTGTTTTCTTGTGGGTACGTCGGAGGTGGGGGGGGTGGTACATTAGTTTCCAAGTAACAGAGGGTCCTGATCATTGCATGCAGAAAAACTGGTGGTTGGGGTGGGGGGGTGGGGGTAGGTAGATTACCCTAAGGCTCCATGTAGCCTTATAGTACATACTAAGGCCTTGAAAGGGTTCCAAAAAGGGTACTTTAAGGCCGAAGCATCTACTATAAGGGTACATGGAGCCTTAGGGTTAAATCATTGCGAGACTTGTGTAGGAGACTGTAAAGAGGTCTGCGGCTCTTTGATGCCATCTGAGCTATAGTCTCCGTAATGGGGGGGATATACTAGGGATTATATAGGGGATATTGTAGGGGACACCAAGAGGGATAACGGAAGTTTAGACTGTAGCTCATCTGAACAGGTGATCCTTGAAGTCAACCAGAAAGCTTGGTGCCTACCTCAGCCCGGCTTTCTTCCGCCGAGGTATTGATGTCAGGCTTGTTGCGGTTGGCGTTTTCCATGTACAGAGACAATCATGATGAATTCTGTGGTGTCGGTGGCAGTGGCGGCAATGGTGGTGGCGGTAGCAGTGGTGGCGGGTGGCTGAGGTTGTGCTGGTCCCGTAAGTGCAGCAGTGCATCGTCGTCGTGGTCCTCGTCGCAATTGTCGTCGTCGCATGTTCGCCAGTATTTTCTCAATCGTACAGATGCAGGCACTTCAGTTTTAGTTCAAGGTTGCGGGTGTCATCAATTAGGGTGTTCATGCATAAGCCCCCCTTAACCCCAAGCCCTGACAACTAATGACGTAAGCTACGGAACGACAGAAAGCCAAACGTTCGTCTTGCGCGGTCCAGACGTCCACAGCGTTTGGGAGCCAGGATGTCGCAAAGATAAACCAAGAGAAGCGAACCTTCGGGTTCTTGGCTTAGCGTTTAGAGTTGACGGCTCCTAGAGAGAATCCATTTTGGGGGGGCTGTACGAGTTTCTACAAGGGTAAGGGTTCTGTAACGGTCTAGGGCAGGGCAGGGCAGGGTTGAGGGTCGAGGGCTTTGGGGTTTAGGGTTTAGGGTTTACGGTTTCAACCCAGGCGAACTACGAACAAGCTGCATCATGACAGAACCGGCAGCACCAACACCAGCAAAACAATTCAAGCAGTGTCGACAAACTTATAACCCTACTCAGATCAAGGCATTTACAGACGTATGACTTCTGAGATTAGCCAGCATACTGAACCTTTACGCAGTGTCTGAAGTTGGAGCCTCGACCATCCCGAGACTAAATTTCTGCACACGGCCTCTAGTACAGCACGTGGCTTAGAGATCCTGAGAGCTAACAGGTCCCGACACCCAGCAGCAGGGGGCCTAAACCAATCCACGGTTCCTGAGCCATACAGCTAACTCAGGGGCTTAGGGGTTTTCGGCTTTTGGCGTCTAGGGGCTTGACTCGGTGAGCCTTCAATCTAGTTCAAGGGCTTGAGAAACATGCGGATCTAGGGGCAGAAGGGGATTATAAAGCCTACGTAGGGTTTAGGGTTCATCACGTGGGGCCCTAGGGCAACCCAGAGCCTCATCCCTAAACGCTAAACTCCTAAACCCTGAACCTCAAACCCCCCGCCAAGGTACCTCAAACAAAACACGAGACGCCGATCGCTCGTGGCACGTGGCACTTGACGGCGACTCTCTGAACATCACTGTAAGGTTTAGGCTTCAGAGTTTAGCGTTCAGCAAGCAACTACCTATAGTCGCCATTGTAACTCCTTGTTTTGGGTTAATGTAGGAACCTGATTAAGAAACCCTGGGCCTACACCCCCAAAATAGTAGGATTCATATAAGCAACCCTAATAAAGGCCCAAGGTTTCTTAATCAGGTTCCTACATTACCTAGATTCTAGCTGTAAGCTGTTTTAACCAAAACATGATCCACCATGGGAATTTGTAGGTAGATCGATATCCTGGTAACTGCCGCAGCAACCCACGAACATGAAGACACTCTCAGTTTTTCTAGCAACATTTAAGGGTTTAGGCTTAAGCTTTATGGTTTAATTAGGGCTTCAGGGGTTTAGGGTTTAATTAGGGTTTACGGTTTAGGGTGAACACCCTTATGGACTGGTGGGTCCTTAGCCAGTGGTCTACATTGAGTGCGCGCGCGCGCGCGTGTGCTATGTCCAGCATTTCAGGGGCTTTGGGCCTAGGTTTAGGGTTTAGGAAGTTTAGGGTCTAGGGTTTTGGGTTTAGGGTTCCCGATCACCACCCTGACCCCCAGACCCTACACCCTAAATCCGTTCTACGGAGGTTGCCGGAAGCTGAACCCTACTCCTACAATGCCAGACCATGTAGTATAAACCTAGAAACCACTGGCAATTAGTTCACAAGCATTCCCGATCCGAATATGTGATTATGAACAGCTGTAGTACATATTTAGAAACGATCTAAACAGTCCCTGTATAGCGTGGCGGCCCTTTGAATATCGTGGGCCTCTTCAATGCGGTTTTTCCGGGCTACTTCAAGCCGGGTATAAAAAAGAATCGGGCGGCCTAATTAATGCGTGTTTTTTGGGGCGGGCTTTTTTGGGAGGGTCACCCAAACCCTAAAACCCTGGCCCTGAAGCTCGAAACTCACCCGAAACCCCACCTACTTAAGCCTAAACACCACCCTTAACCCCAAACCCTTAATTAACCCCAAACCCTTGACCCCTCCCTGAAATCAAACCCCCTTGCAAACAATGGAAACCGGGCCCTGAAGTCGACCCCTCCTGAACCAAAACCCTCTCGAAGCCCTTAAACCCTGGCCCTGAAGCCCGAAACTCTCCCTTAACCCGGAAACCCCACCTACTTAACCCTAAAACCCTAATTAAAGGTTTGGGTTTGGATCCTAAGCTTCTTTCTAAACGGATTAGGAGGGCTGAGGTTCGGGTTCTAGGTGGGATTTACCTCAGGGTTTAAGCACCGGAACCTACCGAACCCTCCCAATTAAACATCCTCTTGCACCCTCACTGGTACTTCGAAACCACTAAACACTAAACCCATCCCAAACCCTTGTACTGAAGCCGCCCCCCAGACTCCACATCAACCCAAGGCCCCCACGAAACCCTCCCATTTACAACAACCCCAATACGTAAACAAAGAAACTAACACACGCAAACCCTTCTGCTAGCCTCAGCCAGCCCCAAAACCCCGGGACCCCTCAATTCCCTTCTAACTTGATCAAAGCCACCCCACCCAGATCCTGAGCCAGCCCCCAAACCCCGGGACGAATCAATTCCCCTCTAACTTAATCAAAGCCGCCCAAATCCTGAGCCAGCACCCCCGGTTCCAGACTATTCAAGCCAAAAGTGTTGGTACTTTTTTTTTGGAAGGGGAGGGGTGCGGGGGGGTCTGATAAAAGGGCCGCCACATTGCAGTGATCGTATCGTGCACATCGAAACTCTCTGCGAATTGCCCTAGGCCCGCCCCTTAAACCCTACCGTTGAAAGGACCCTCGAACCCTCACCCAGATCTGATCACAAGCCCTGCAAGCATGGACGCCAAATCTTCAGAGCTGTAGACTGTTCAAGACCAATGGAGGTTTACGGGTTTGGCGGGTTGAAGGGTTGAGGGTTGGGGACTGTTCAAGACCTCTGGGTCTTAAGACCCCCAAATCAGTCGCAAGGCAGGCAGTAGCATAGAAGATGTCATAGCCGAAAAGGACGCCAACGGCAAAGGAAAGCAGAACATCGCCGGGTGCGCCGCCCTTCCTTGTAGGTTGAACCAAGCGAAACCGTTGGGTTTCGGGACCTGTACAGGGTTTTGGGTTTAGGGTTTAGGGTTTATATGTGCATACATACGACAGTGTAGACAGATAAACACACACACAGAGTTGTAAGCTCCTTTTTCTCCTAAGGCTTGAGAGAGTGCCTTAATATCTTCCTCAAGCAACGCCTTCTCCACTAACGCCCTGAATCTACAAGAACAACAAGCGAGCACACTGATTGTTGTTTAATCTGAAGGGTTTACGGCTCGGACCTTATACTCTTATGCAGGGATGTTGTGTGTATATATACACATAGAAGTATAACTCCATATATAACTCTAAATATAGACGAACAACAGACAGATGTATATGCACCTACGGCTTCATCCACCTATTCTCAAGCCATGTAAGCCTACCACCCCACCACCCCCCCCCATATCCGACATCCAGAGAGGTCGAGCCTGCCAAAATTCAACAACCTAAACCCTAAACCCTCAACCCCTATAACCCCTCAAGCCCCAAACGGTACCATCATTACTAAGGGGACTGGGCAACCTCGATGTTCTTCTGCTTTGGGTTCCGGAGACCCCAGTTCGCATCTTAAGTCCTTGGAGAGTGTGAGGGTAGGGTATTGGGATACTAGGGTGTTAGTTAGGGTACTAGGGTATTAGGGTATTATTAGTCTCCAACCTGCCTTACCAACCCCTCCTAAACTTTAAACCCTAAACGCTAAGCCCAAAGGGCTTAGGGTTCAGAGGCTTAGCCCTAGACCCTAAACCCCAAAGGCCTTAAGGTTTAGGGGTTTAGCTAAGGGCTTAGGGTTTGGGGGTAAACCCCAAACTCCAAATACCAAGATGCACACCGCACTTTCAACATATTACCGTAAAGGGGCCTTGCAACTCCGAGGCACCCCCAAACTCATCTAACTAGAGCCTTAGGCTTAACTTAATTAAGGGTTTTAGGGTTTAGGGTTTAGGGTTAAGTAGGTTATATGTAAAGTTATAAGTACTCTCAATGGAGTTACGCAATTATAAACCTACTTTTCCCCGACTTACTAAGTTTCCTGAACCTTCAAGTACTCCTCCACGAAGACAGATTAGGGCTTAGGGTTTAGGGTCGGGCTTAGGGCTAGATCCTAGGCCCTCAAACCCGAAACCCGAGGCCCTAAACCTCACGACGTGAGCGGGGCTTCCAGTTTGCCAGAAAGAATTCCATGGAACAGCTGAGGATGGGAAGGAGCCTCATTCGGCGGGCGACGGGTTTAGGGTTTAAAGCTTAGAGTTTACGATATAGGGTTTGGGGTTTAGGGTGCAAAGTTTAGGGTTTAGAGTTTAAAGTTTAGGGTTTGGGGTTTAGGGTACCTTGTCGGCTTCTTTTCAGGGATTGCCCTAATCTCTAGACCCCAAAATCCCTAACATCCTAAACCAGAAAACACTCATGCTGTAATATATTATGTATGATGCATAATATGTAATACATACTATATAGTGTATGACATAAAAATCTGTTTTTTGCAAGGATCACGAAAACCAACCCATAGCCTTCAGTTGTCTGGGGCTTCCAGGGCTGTGGGGGCTTGGCTGTTAAGCCGTGGTAGGAAAGCCAATAACGAATCTTAGGGTTTAGGGTTTAGGGTTTCTTCACGGGAGTCTACACCCTAAACCCTATAGGTTGCAGTGACAGGTTTGGGAGGGTTTGAGACTTGCGGTCCAGGGACGTTTAGATCGACATCCCTGCTTTCGGTCCTAGTTTTTAAAGAGATCCCCACGTAACATGGCTGCTATGCGCTCTGTAGCTAGCTACTTCTGGAACAGTCCTCAATCACCAACGTAGCTAATAACATGCCGAAAGCCTTGTAACAAAATCTTAAATGCAGGTCCCATTTTCTCTCTTGGCCTGCACACAGGTTCATGCAGTATCTGCAGAATTATATCTAAAAGAGCCCGTGTGTAAGTCTATGTGAACTGTAAATATGTATATATATAAATATATGTTATACATCTATATCTGAATACGCTGCACAGGCTAGATAAAAATTACAGATGGGCCATGTGTAGTATGCATGTGCGTACATCGCAGTAAACATGCGTAATGTTTCTGCCTGCATAAATACTCGGACACACGACCAAACAAACATGTGCACTTGCAAGTGCATCTGTCAGTGCCTGTGTGTGGCATAGAAGGGGAGAACATGGTGTTATGGTAGTTTACTTGATAAGAGCATTCCGAGACGAATAACCCTAAACCGCAGGAACTGGCCAAAGAGACTCTTGCCCTCTGCCGAGCTTGCGTCCGAATATTTCTAAGCTTTGCATGCAAAATGCTTCCAAACTACAAACTTCTTTGAGAACTAGAACAGTGTACCAACTGGCTACATTCATGTTGGGCTTATCCTTGTACTTTATGAACCCGCTCAAGCCCTGCGTAATATATGCTCTCTTCAGATTCAAAATTCCAAGGGATCGAGGAACCAGGTTACAGTTTCGGAGTATGCTTGATACAATGCGTGATAAGGTCTTGAGCAGCCGTAAGCGCTCAGAATGAACGCAACATTTCTAACAACCCGGGCTTATACTGTGGTAGAGCTGGAAACTGATTCTGTAGAACCCTAGGAGGAGCCAAGGCACCTCCTTACGCCACAAACCCTCAACCTTCAACCCGAAACCCTAAACCTTAAAGGCTAAACATTAAATGCCGCAGCCTGAAACTCTAAGCCTTGAGCCTTTAACCCTTCCTGAGTGAGGTCAGGTGAGGAGCAGAAGCAGCAAATAGCGTCTGGGTAAGCGCTGCGCAGCCAGGATGTTTTCCACATCAAACCTCCAGATATTTAGGGCTTAGGGTTTACCTGGGAGGTGCTTCTTCTGTTTGGCTATTTGGGGGTTTCCGAAAATAAGGGACCCTAGTATAGTACCCTGAATAGTAGGATCCTAATAAAAAAAACACCAAAATAAGGTGCCCCTATTTCCGGAAACTCCCATTTGGTGCCTGGAGGTCGCGGGGTCCAGGATTTAGGGTGCAGGTGGTTCTTTCGCGTAGTATGTGGGTAGTTGCCAAAACGAGGGTCCTTTCTTTTTTCGGGCACCTTAAATAGTAGCTGCCGAACTATGTTACGGAACCAAAAGAGCGACCCTAATTTTGACAACTACCCATGTGGAGGGCCTCTAGGGTTCCTAGATGATTGTCAGTAACCACACGGCAGGGACAGTTAGAGTTATTCACTCCCTATGGCTACTCATAGGGCTTTTTTCGAAGGGGGTTTACAGGGCTTGAGTTACCCGTCTCGCGGGATGGGTTGGAATCATGGCAATGCCTGGAGCCATTCCGCATGAGGGTTCGTTGCGCAATGAGTTTCCATAGGTTTGATCTAGTAGCCCTTGATAACTAGGTTCCGCAGTAGCCCCTAAATGACGAGATTACCCCTTGGCGTACTATGTTCTTTTAATAAGGGACTCCAAAAAGAAAAAGAGCAAAAGGGTACTATTATAAACTCAGGAACCTAAATAACCACCTCTCTAGATCCCTTGTACATCCCCTATAGAAGCCTCCTTCCAAGCTTCTAGACTCTAGACTCTGCCCTAAACCCTCAACCCTCGGTGCCTCAGATCTTGACGCACGAACTCCGTGAAGGCTCGCTTGCTTCCATACCACTTCTCGATAGCTGAGTGGATGAAGTCTCCTGGGTTTAGCATTTAGCGTTCACTGGCAACCCCACACCTTTCACCCCGAAAGCCCCTAAACCCACCCTTAACCTGAACCCTAGACCCTAAACCTTCAGCCCAAGAAGTTCTTCAGTTTTTGTTTGTGGAAATGAGCGTTTGCAACTTTGATTTTGCTATCTTTTTGGGGGTGGCGGTTTACCACCTTTTTGCGGATGCATTCCTGACGATTTTGATATAACGAAGGACTGGAAACGCAATTTCGTGCTGTTTGCGAAGTTTCTCTGGCATGGATTTGTTTCCTCTTCCCTCCCCCTCTTTCGAGACATGGAGAAGCGAGTGTATATCAACTGGGGGTACCATGTATATACATGTGTATATATATATATGTATATATATATATATATAAATGCATATGTTTGTCTGTATCTCGCGAGGTCTTGGACTAAGCCTGTCGTGATTTCAGGGCTAGCCTGGCATGAACGGTGGACCTAGACTCCTCAACAACATTTCCTCATCCCGTAGGGTTTAAGGAAAGGGATTTAGGGTTTAGGGTTCAGAATTTAGGTTAGGGACCTTGCAGAAAGACTCTGAGGACTCGTCGTTGTGTGTGTGTGTGTGGGAGTACCAGATGCCTCTAGCCCGGCGAGAGCTGGTCACGAGCCCCTCCTTGCAATGCCAGAACCACTACAGACGCCGCTCATACCTGGCAGGTACCGACTTTCAACATGCCATGATAGATCCCGTGACCGACCAAAAGCCTGGCACTGCAGAAGGGAAGGTTTTGCTGGCGAGCAGCGGTCGAAATCCTCGGCGCAGTGCACTTCTTCCAAATCAAAGTCCGCAAGCTGGGAAATTAGTTGGTGCTTCTCCCGGAAGGTCATTCGAAGCAAATAAGTGCCCGCAGCATATGGGCACGCGAAAATGGCAAAGGCGACGGCCATCGTCGTAATGCTTTGTCCAAAGACATCTCTTGAAATAAGATATATGCCTGCAAAGCCGTATGCCAAAGCCAGCATCACGCACACAGTCCTTTCGATGAAAAGTGGTCTGAATGTGATTGTTCCTTTCGGGTTCACCTTTTTGTAAGCCGCAAGCTCGAAGACACACCAGAGCCTCAGCGTCTTCACCAGGGATTTCATGGGGCCCATACCAAAGCGAAACACTGAAGGGCACCGGGTTTGGTTGATCAAGACGGGTAACACTCTGTTGTTGTTGCAGCTGTTGTTGTTGCCGTCGGCGTCGCCGTTGTCGTTGGGGTGGTGGTTGTCATTGTGGTTGTTGCTGTCGCTGTGGTTGCTTATGTTGTTGTTGTCGTCGTTGTTGGTGCTGTTGTTGTTCTTATTACTATTACTATTATTATATACTAGTCTTATTATTATTCTTATTATTATTCTTATTATTATTCTTATTCATGTACTTATTATTGTTCCTGTTATTGTTCCTGTTCTTGTTATTGTCCTTGTTATTGTTCCTGTTGTTGTTCTTGTTATTGCAAGTGTTCTTGTGGTCGTCGTCGTCGTCGTCGATGTTGCGGTTGTTGTTGTTGTTGTTGTTGTTGTTGTTGTTGTTGTTGTTGTTGTTGTTGTTGTTGTTCTTGTTCTTGTTCTTGTGGTTGTGGTTGTCGTGGTCGTTGTCGTGGTGGTCGTTGTCGTTGTCGTTGTTGTTGTTGCTGTCGCAGTTGGTGTTGTTTTGTTGTTGTTGTTGCCGCCACGGATCACAGAAGGCAGTGTAGCTGTGCTAACCAGGCCAGGGGTGCAAACTCTAGAGGCTCGGAACAGGCTCCTTTCGCGAAGATTCAAGGTTGTCCGACCGCCTGAGCCATATTGCGTGTGCCCCAGCCTAGTGCCTCTGTGATAGCCGGGTCCCAATTCCCGGGCCTCGCAGCTAACGTCGCAGACGACAGCAACGAGGTTGGCGGTAGGGTTTTCACCAGTCCGCGCGGTGAAAGGAGTCTCTCGGACCTCGGTCTGGGTTTCGAAACTAGCGGATGGCGCTCCGACTGTGCCTCAGTGTGTTTCTCCCGCCGAAGCTCTTTCGTTTACACAAGGACCTGCAGCACGAAGCAAACCAAGGAGCAGTTCCAGCAGTCAGTTGGCCGTCTTCTGAACTTGGGAGCCTAGCAGGAAGCTGTCGAGACGAGGCCTTGTTCCTTGCCTTCCTTCGACTTTTCCACTTCTGGACGAGACACCCAGGGACAGCTGCAGCAGTTTTCTACGCAGTTTTGTTTGCACTTTGGTTCTGCGCTTCTACGAGCACTCTCTCACAAGAAGGACTCGGGTCGAATGTGCTTGTTGAGGAGTCTGCTTTGGACTCCTGGACACTACACCTTTTTCTAAAGGCAAGGTAGACTGCCGCCGGCTGCGACGAAGGCAGTGCGATCAAACTTCTCTGCTACCGTTGAGAACCTTTTGCGCAGCACTGCAGTTGAGCCAGCGCCTTGGAATATGTCAGACACGAGAGAGGATGGGCCGCTACACGGCCTCGACAGCATCCTCCCAATGCTGGCCCCGACGTGCACCCCTGGGACTTCACTTACTATGGGGTGCCCTTGAGGGCCTGGGATGGCTATCCTCTCTTGAGGGGGAGGCCTTTCCACAGGCCGCCGGGCCAGACTTGTTTTCAAGACAAGGCGCAGGTTGGGACGCCGTGGACTCAGGTTCAGAAGAGCAGGCCTACGTCTTCAATCTCAACACGCTGTCTACCTTGGTACCGGTCCACGTCACATCTGGGCACAGTCGTTAAGCGGACGCGCTTGCTGTGCTATGGGTGTCGGGCTATGGCCACGGCCCTCCCAGTTGTGTTCGTTACTGTCCTGCTACCGACGGGGTCAGGCAGTGCTAGGAATGACGGCCTCTGCGCTCTGACGACGAACCATCCTTACGGCCCATCGCTGGTAGTCGGGGGTTACCTAGTGTGGGACGCCACTAGACGGGAATTTTGGGAGACGGCTCTTCTGAGTACGACTCGCCGGCTGCCAGTTCGTGAGTATTGGACGCAATGACTCACACTGAGGGTGACGGAGGTTAGATGACCAAGATCAGTGAGCCTAGCTGTCGCTTGAGATAGCGTTAGAGATTGCTGGGCACCGCCTGCGCAACAACGAGGGCACCGCCCTAGGGAACTGATGGCAAGGTCCAGCGACCTGCGTCCTTGCCGCCAGTGCTCAAAGAGCTGCTACTGCATTTTACAGTGGGCAGTGACACTCTTTTCCCCTAGGTCTTACTTTTCGTTCGTTTCTAGCTAAGGCTCCTTTTTTTCCTTCTCTGGGGATCCCATAGAGGTTGAGCGGCCTTCTCTGTTCTTTAGCTAGGCTTCTGTGTTTCTGTTGAAGGTTGTTGGCTAGCCCGAGGCCTCGGAGCAATAGGAGTTTGGCTCATTGCTCCAGAAACGGATGAAGGAGGTACCTGCGATGATCGCAGGGCAGTCCCCTCGAAAGGAAGGGGGGTAACTTGTGTCTTTTTTTCTGGGTTCACTTGTGTCTTTTTTTTGGGGGTCACTTGTGTCTTTTATTTGCTTCGGAAGCAACAGTCTCGAACGAGAGGTGCCTTGGTAGGACCTGACCCCGAACGAAACCCTGATGAAACAAGGCCCTACCCCTAAGAGGGGTAAACCCAGAACGAAACCCTAATGAAAGAAGGCCCAACCCCTAAGAGGAGTAAACCCAGAACGAAACCCTAAAAAGAGAAAACCCAGAACGAAACCCTAATGAAAGAAGGCCCAACCCCTAAGAGGAGTAAACCCAGAACGAAACCGTAAAAGGAGTAAGCACAGAACGAAACCCTAATGAAAGAAGGCCCAACCCCTGAGAGGAGTAAACCCAGAACGAAACCCTAAAAGGAGTAAACCCAGAACGAAGCCAAACCCCTGAGAGGAGTAAACCCAGAACGAAACCCTAAACAGAGTAAACCCAGAACGAAACCCTAATGAAAGAAGGCCCAACCCCTAAGAGGAGGAAACACAGAACGAAACCCTAAAAGAAGAAAAACCAGAACGAAACCGCAATGAAAGAAGGCCCAACCCCTAAGAGGAGTAAACCCAGAACGAAACCCTAATGAAAGAAGGCCCAGCCCCTAAGAGGAGGAAACCAAGAACGGAACCCTAAAAGGACTAAACCCAGAACGAAACCCTAACGAAAGAAGGCCCAACCCCTAAAAGGGGTTAACCCAGCACTAAACCCTAAAAGAGTAAACCCAGAACGAAACCCTAATGAAAGGAGGCCCAACCCCTAAGAGGAGTAATCGGCCCAACCCCTAAGAGGAGTAAACCCAGAACGAAACCCTAAAAAGAGTAAACCCAGAACGAAACCCTAATGAAAGAAGGCCCAACCCCTAAGAGGAGTAAACCCAGAACGAAACCCTAAAGGAGTAAACCCAGAACGAAGCCCAACCCCTAAGAGGAGTAAACCCAGAACGAAACCCTAAAAGGAGTAAACCCAGAACGAAATCCCAATGAAAGAAGGCCCAACCGCTACGAGGAGTAAACCCAGAACGAAACCCTCAAAGGAGTAAACCCAGAACGAAACCCCAAATTTTGAAAGGGGTAAGCCCAGAACGAAACCCTAATTAAAGAAGGCCCAACCCCTAAGAGGAGTAAACCCAGAACGAAACCCTAAAAGAGTAAACCCAGAACGAAAACCTAAAAGAGTAAGCCCAGAACGAAACCCTAATGAAAGAAGGCCTAACCCCTAAGAGGAGTAAACCCTAAAAGGAGTAAACCCAGAACGAAATCCTAATGAAAGAAGGCCCAACCCCTAAGAGGAGTAAACCCAGAACGAGACCCTAAAAAGAGCAAGCCCAGAACGAAACCCTAATGAAAGAAGACCCAAGCCCTAAGAGGAGTAAACCCAGAGCGAAGCCCGAAAAGGAGTAAACTGTATATGTTAGTTGCATGTGCCTATGTGTACGTATATGTTTACATATAGGTATACGTATATGCGTACAATTTGTAATATACAATAAATATCTACACATGTTTAGACACCCCCTCGCAGAGTACGCATGCATGTCTATGTGCATGTGGACGCAGAAAGGGAGCAAGCTAATTGCCTTTGCACTTTATGTATACCGAGCCTGAAACTGAGCGGGGTGAGGTCCTACCAAGGCACCTCTCGTTCGAGACTGTTGCTTCCGAAGAAGGAAAAAGACAGAAGCGACCGCGAAAACAAAGACACAAGCGACCCCCAAAAAAAGACACAAGTGAACCCAAAAAAAAAGACAGAAGTGATCGGGCACCCGCCCTCGAACCCGTGAGCTGCAACCTCTGTAAAGAACTTTATAAGGCCGCTTTACCTCTATTCGAATGTCGGCAGGTCAGCTACTAAAGAGCGGCGTCGGCTTACGGCACGTCTCGAAGTTTCTGATGCGCCCGCTATGACCAGAGCCCGCTCGCTCAGCGTCCAATCAAAATTGTTGTTGTTGTTGTGGTTCTTGTTAATGGTGTTGGTGTTATTATTGTCATTGTTGTTGGCAGCACGTGCGTCTGCCGCCGCGTGGGGTGATGCGATTTCTTGGCCGGCATGTGCTGAAACTCGAGTTTTGGCACTTTGGTCATTGGACTCAAAAAAATTGGATTCTTTTTCTCGCATCGGTATTTGCGGGGTTTTCTACAAAAAAAACACCGCATTTGGCACACTGCACTGTCCAAAAACATGCTCAGCTCATCCATTCGCATCGTTTTTGTTCGGTGTTTTCCTGTGTTTGTCGCATTCCATCGTTTTTTTGCAGTGTTTTGGCCATCTCTCGACTTTCTGCACATGCCGGCGTCGACTTGCATTTGTCTTTCAAGTCTGTGCGGGGTGATTTTTCTTGATCTTCTTGTGCTGTTTGGTGGTGCGGTGCAGTGGTGGGGGGGGTGGGGGGGTGGGGGGGGGGGGGGGGGGCTGATGACGTCCATGCGAATGCGACTGTTTTTTTTCTTTTGTTTTCTTCATCTTGTTGTGCTCTTTGGTGGTGCGGTGCAGTGGGGGGGGTGGGGGGGGGGCTGATGACGTCCATGCGAATGCGACTGGTTTTGTTTTATGTTTTCTTTATCTTGTTGTGCTCTTTGGTGGTGCGGTGCAGTGGTGGGGGGGTGGGGGAAGGGGGGGGGGGCTGATGACGTCCATGCGAATGCGA